TCAAATTAGAAAACATATTTATATCTCTATTTGATAGTTTGTCAACTAGCCTGGAATTTCCAACGCATACCTTATTGAGATGAGCAAAATAGAATTTGGTCATCCTTGCCAACAATTTGCGAAAATGTATGCCATTAAATTATTTATAAGACTCAGAATTTTTTATACCCTTAAATATGAAAACAGAGATTTGAATCCTCGAAAAAGTCAGACAAAACCAAAAGAAAAATTTTGTCCCATTTATAAATATGACTGCTTTATAAAAAAAAGTTATTTTTCATTGTAGTTTTATTTCTTAACTATTCCAATGGTCCAACTAACTTTTTTTTGTAATCAATAAATAAATTATTATCATGGTCCAACAAAGGCGCACCTTAAGCCGAAACTGGCATCGCCTTTGTGAGGGAGCCGGTAAAAATGCCGCTGCGTACATTCGCATCTGGTCTAGGTAATCTGTACCATGGGTACAACAGCACGTCACGATAAGGACAGCGCCCCGCTTGTGACGTATAATCCATCGCATGTGTTCATCTCTTGCTAAGCGATATTGTCGTTGTCCTTGTTTTTCGCATCATAATGAGAGAGAAAACAACAGAGGCACACATTTACTGTGCCCATCTTCAACTTAATTTCGGAATTCTCGGAACGTCTCTAACCGTCCGGTCGTCCAGTGTCGAATTTCCTGATTTTTTGATATGTTCTAATTGTCGACTTACCGAACAATACTGTCCATGGGCACAACTCAATTCTATGACCAGTTTTTGATATACAGGGCGTTAAACTTGCAAATTGCCGATTTTTTAAAGAGGATGTGCCTTTTAAGATACTATTATGACTACAGATATTTTTTAATAATAATGCTTCACTAATATCAAACAATATTTCCAACATAACAAATGACGTAAATTTTTATTAGTTACAGGGTGAGTCATAAATTACTGAAAATCGAATTTTAATTTTTACTTTGGCTTAGAAATATTTTCCAAATGATTATCTCTCTGTAATAGCATTGGCTTATGTAATTAAAATTAGGCACTATTACATTCTATACAGGGTAAGTCAAAAAGTTTGATAGACCCTATATGCTGTTTTTAATAAAATTTTGCATATTTAATGTCGTGTTTTAATAATAGACATCACACCATTTTAAAATATGTATAATTTATAAACCATATACAGTATAATTCAAAGAATATTTATAGAGAAAAATGAAGAAAAAGTAGTTTTTTCATATTTCGCCCTATATTTAATAATTTCGACTGTTAAATTGCGTATTTTTTTACACTTGATTTATTTTGACTATGCCAATAAAGTGTTAAAGTTACATGAACTTACTATGATCAGTTTTTGAGATGTTTTATTTCAGATTTGGAATTATCTGGCAATACTGTATTCAACCCTAGGATATTTTTAAAAAATATTACAGGGATGCCAAGCAATTAATTTTTTTGTGAAATTAGGCAATGATCAGACCCCAGATAAATTATCATAATTTAGGAAGGTTAGCAGTGATTTCAAAATTGTTTAAAATACAGATTTATAAGATAACAAGCTAACGAATAGTGGTGACAGAACTGGTTTACTTTATACAGAGTGTATTGAAACGTCTTAAGTCCCATCAGTGCGTAATTGATCATATTTATTTTATTATTGGAAATACGAAGACATTTTTAATATAAAAGTTATATGACCATATTAATCATTTTTTGTTAAATATACAGGGTGAATCATAAACGAGAAACTGTCCAAACTTATACTGTTTTAAAGCAAACCACCTTGGTAGTTACACATATCTTTTCAAATCGTCAAACAACTTTAATGAACTTGGCAGTGCCAAACAAAATAAAAAATAATAAAATTTATTTATGAATTGGGTAAATATCCTAATCATTTAGGGACAACCTGTATACATAATAAATGAATTTAAATATTCGAGCTGCAAAAAGAGAATATAAATTAAACCCCTGGTCGAAGATCGCCAAATTTCAAAACTTTTTCGGGTTGTTAATTGCATGAGAACAGCTTCCCAACAATTCAGTTAAAAGAAATTTATGTATTTTTCCTTTATTTATAATTTTTTTAATCTTATTTTTATTGCTTTTTTCTGTTCTGTTTTTTGGTTTCTTGTTTTTTTTTGCATTTTTGTTTTTGTTTTTTTTTTGTTTTTGTTTTTTTTTTGTTTTTTTTTTTGTTTCTTTTTTTTTTTTGTTTTTCTGTTTTTCTGTTTTTCTGTTTTTTGTTTTATTTTTTTTAAATTTTTCTTTTGTAATAATGGTTGGCCTCTTTTCGTATTATTATGCTGCATACTATTTAATAAAATTTTCGTGTTCGAAAGATAAATGATAGTGATATTTGGTCATAAATACGGTCCCTGCAATTACATTTTCTAGTGTTGTAGATGTACAAGTATATATCAACTTATGCCGCGTTTGAGAATCCGCATCGGATACATCTGAGATGTAGTAAATCTTTGGTCACGTGTCACGTGATTCAGTATACGTAAATGTAATGGGATAGATGTGTCCCATGTGGATAAAAAAACGCTTGAGATGTAAAAAATGCATCCGATGTGAATTCTGAAACGCGGCAATATTGTGTAGTTTTTAAAAATGACTTAGACGCAGTAAAATTAACAAAATCTCGTTCGTACCCAGAAAATGTTGAAAAACTATAATTTTTACTTAAATTTTTAGTAATAAAATCAACTACGCAAAAAAAATACATCATTAGATTCAAGTTTTTGTGCTTTTTGTTTATATGAGAAATACATAGTCAAATTCAGACATACAGGGTGTTGTTTTAAGGATTGACGAATTTACTCTTTTTTGTAAATACACACCTGGATTTCCTTTCTTGTTTATGCCTTAGTAAAGTTATGATTAATAAGTATTTTAAGTTCGTAACTTATGAATTAAGAAAGAAATCGGAAAAATAATGAAACACCCTGTATGAACAATAGATAATAAAACAAAGTTTTCCTGGTCATAACTTTATTATCAATTGCCAGTCTGATGCGACTTCAAATAATTGCCCTGTATAACTATGTTACAAAATAGATATATTGTCTAATTATTTTATAGCTCAAGGGATAATTATTTAAATGAGTAATTTGTTTAAATTTAAATTTCAAGCTGCCTATACCAGCCATCAGCAATACCTACAACAACGCCTTAATCAGGAATTTCTTAAACGGGTCAGTAAAACATGATTGGAAGAAGAGATGCAGCAGCGGTGGTGCCGTTATTTCAACGACCTTATGTCGAGTCGGTTACAATTTAATGGTACATGTAATAATAATCGATACTTTTTGTATCGTTAATTCTAATTGTTTTTTTGTCATATAATTAAAATTAATAGTTTTTAAAAAAATAGTTTCTAAAGGAGTTATTCCACTGTCTAATATTTTTTTTATTTAACCAACATTTGACCCTCCTAAATTCTACTAAATTCTAAAAAGTATATTGCGCATTAAAAAACTTGGGATGATTTAAACTATACAATTTTTATTAAATCATAGGTATAAATGAGCAAAAAGATGTGCCCCTTTTTAAGATTTTTGACTTATTTTTATCTTTTCATAAAAGCCGTACCTTTAAAGTTACATATAGATAGTTCTTATTGAAATTTCCTGTATCTATAAAAAAATGTTTTATCGAATTAAAAATACGTAGATACAGCAATACATATTATACAATTAAAAAAAAATTACTTCGTATCATGATATACGGTTATGAATCAACGAGTAAATTGCAGTGAAACTTAATCCTAATTTCTCGCAATACATATACTTTCCTCTGGTCATTTATTCATTTTTAATGGAAATCGCGTTTATTTGTGAAAATTGGTTCAATATCCAGCGGTCAAATACACAGTGTACGTCAAAAATATCAACTGTTTATAAAAGCAAATGTTTACGGATTAATGGCTCTAATTGGCTTATTGTTATGTTATGTGACAGATAGCAAACTATATTTTAAAGTATATATAAGGCTCGAAACACACTGTTTAGGTCTATGGCCTGGTTAATTTCTTCCATTCGTTCTGTTCTTAGCTTTTTCTTTCCAGTCGATGATCTTTTTTTCCTTAATATCTTCTATGATCGATTCCCTCTATTTCCTGCTAGGCCTTCCTCTCTTTTTCCCTTCCGGTGTTGTCCAAGCTACAAAACGACGTGTTAACTGTATAAAGCAATTATTAACTAAAAAGAAATATACAATATCCACATTGTTTCCTTTTATTTGTTAACCTGATATGTACAGCTTTAGTTTCATTTAGCTTAATTCGCCAATCACTACTTTTATTAATGGAGTTCTGCAATTTTTAAACTGCGTCTTTATGATCTTCTACTTCCAAGATGGCAATGTCATCTGCAAGGATGGCTATTGTATTATTTTCTAGTTTTGAAATATAACTGGTATATAGTGGATAAAGGACAGGTCCCAATATACTTCCTTGTGGTACTTTTGCTTTGATATCTTTTAATTTCGAGTAAATTTCTTCCTGTCTGTTTCTCGTGCCATACTTTGTAGAAATATTGCTCTACATCTAAGAAGATAGTAGGGCAAACTATTTTCTTACAGTGATTTTTGAATTATGTTCATTATGCGGAGGCCAAACTGATGCCACGGACTTAATTTTTAATTTCCTTAAAAATTTATTTTTTTTAATTACTTTTCAATTTACAGGAAGTAATGAAATTGTTCTATAAGAGGCAACTTTATTTGATTTAGGTCACTTTCCATATCTTAGGTACATACTTCAATCTGATGGAACCATTAATAAGATAGGTCAGTTTAATTATGGCTTTCCTAAGGAGTTGTGTTAGTATCTCCTTGGAAATTTAATCAAATTTTGATGTTTTTATGGGTTAATACTTTTATAAATGAAACTATCTAATTTTTGTGGATTTATATTTTTGAGTTCTACATTACCGTTTATAAAAGTCAATTTTAAAATAAATTCCTCGTTTTAATTATGCTTAAAATCTTTCGTTTTCTGTTTTTGTTTCAGTATGACTTTCGGTCGCCTCGTGCCTCGTTCTCAGCCTCCATCATGACCTCGGAAAACTTTTAGATAGACAGAATAGTAAAAATGCCTCGCAAATGACTCCAAATCTGCCTAAAGAGGTCATGTGTAACATGAACAACGTCGCGATCCCCCGGCCACCAGCATTACCTACAGGCCCATTGGTGCCCACCTATGGGCTGAAACCTCCTCCTAAATCGCCTGGAAAAAGCGCCGAAAACCAAGGAAACGGACATGGGAGCGTTAAGAGCAAAACGAGTCATACGTCAGAAGGTAAGTTTCTTGTTTTAATTATTTATCTATCTCTATAATTACATAACCACAAAAAAAATTTCGAGTCTGGGGATCATACCGTGTTTTCGATATGTTTTTGGGCCCGCTGAATTTGAATCCAGGGTCCATTTTACCCTATTACGTCAGGGTTTTGCCGTAACCTCAAAAAGCCCAATAATTGAGGCTGCTTTTCAGCACTTTTTAACGCATATAAGCCTGTGACTCAAACTTTAAATACAAAAGCCAAGCTGCTAACTCCAAATCCTTAATCTTATAACCCCACAAACTCATAACCTCATAATTCAATAGCCCCATAACCTTAAAAAACGCTATAATTTACAGCCACACAAATAAAAATTGGGGGTTAAGGGGGATTTAAACATTAAATTTTTACTATACTATATAAGGGAATGAATCCTGTTGATTCTTAAAAAAAAATCTGAATAGCAAAAGTCAAGCTCTATAAGGAGACAACGCCTATTGATTCAGAAACAAGAAACGGTATCAAATTGAAATCTTCAGAAAAAACAAGCTTTATAAGGGGATGAAGCCTATTGATTCTAAACAAAAAAATGTGAAGAGCCAAAAAATATGAAGAGCCAAGCATTATATCTCTTTAATTCTAGTTTTTATGATCTTTCGGCTATCTGGGTTCAACGCTTTCTATACGTAGTATTGTTTTTTTATCTTTTAAATTTTTTATTTTAATAGTTTTTTTATTTTATTATTAAAACATGATTTTTTGTTTATAGGATTTCGTTTAGTAGATATTAGCGTTCAAAACAACGATGATACTGGCAGCGTATATTCCATTTATAAGCAAAAAATCGACTCCATGTTCGAATCCGACTCCAGCAGTACAAAAAATAGCGTCCAGGCCAAAATTGAAAAAATGTTCAACGACGTTGCCGAAGACAATGGTAATACAATTTTTTATTATTGTAACCTTATAATGAGGAACATATAAATATGTGTTTAGTTTTTTATAATGGATAGTTTTTAGTTAATTAATTCAGCGAAACGATGTTTATTGTCGCACTAATTTTTAAAGAAATAAAAATTTAGGAGAAGAAATCAATTTTGTTTATCATTTCATTAAATAACATTCAAGACAAATTATCCATCCTACTATTTACATTTAGAGACTTGTATCTACAATTTGTGATTAATATTTTGTAAAAAGGTTAATTTATAGTATTACATACAGGGTGAATCATTATTCAAATATTTATGATCCAAATACGTATATACAGTGCTGGCACGTTCAAACCTTCAAAATGTAGTATATACAGGGTGTTAGTAAATAAGTGCGACAAACTTCAGGGGGTGATTCAGCATGAAAAAATAATGACAGTTTGCTATATAAACGTATGTCTGAAAATGCTTCTTTTTCCGAATACGGGGTGTTAAAGTTTTTCTTAAAAACTGACAATTTGTTTATTGCTCTGAAACCGGTCAAGATATGCCCCATACGAAAAGATTTTTTGTCACAGATTGAACGAGGAACTCAAAAGTGATTTTTAATTTGAAATATCTTAGTGGCGTACCATTTTTTTCTTTAAAATAATTGAGATCATTACCCGTATGCGCGCCAATGATGAACATAAAGTTCTTAAATGCATGTCAAAAAATGCGCAATAACTACTTCTTAAAGCCCACCAAATTTCATTTGCATATCTCGACGGGATTCAGAGCAATAAGTAAATCAGTTTTTAAGAAAAACTATAACACCCCGTATTCGGAAAATGAAGCATTTTCAGACATACGTTTATATAGCAAATTGTCATTATTTTTTCATGCAGAACCACCCCCTGACGTTTGTCGCACTTATTTACTAACACCCCATATATATTTCCATTTGCAGCTCATCTAATATTCTAGGTTTTGAGTCCATGAGACGAATAATTGGCAATTTCGATACTACGAGGTGTGATAGAAAAGTAATAAGATTTTTTAATTACCAAATTTTTATTTTTTCAAACAGCAATATTAATCCCTTCAAAGTAGTTCTCTAGGGCAGCTATAAAATATCAGCGTCGTTGTTCTCAGTCTTGGTAGCAGCGCTGTAAGACTTCAACCAGTATGGCCTTCACCAGGTCTGTCGCGTCCTTTTAAATGTTCACCACAGTCCGAAAATGACGTCATTTTAAAACATTTTTTAGTTTGGGGAAAATAAAAAGACATAAGGACCAAGATCAGGTGAATAGGGCGGCTGAGAAACCACATGGATGCCTTTAAAGGTCAAAATCTCCGAGACGGAGATAGCCATAACATATGAGGTCACCATGGAGCCTTCACGTGTTTGCAATATCTGATCTCACACGCACCCTTCTGCTGAGCCTCTTAAAGGTATTGACAGTCTGATTTCACAAAAGCCTCCACACGTTCGATGTTCTCATTGGTTTTTTAAGTTGAAGGCCTTCCTGAGCGAGGTTCATCTTCCATCTTCTCGGACATCCAAAAAAGATTTGTGTAAACAAAAAACTTGGACTATTGATAAGAAATGTTCCCCATAGGCCCATTTCAACTTATCAAAGGTCACACTTGCGGATACCCCAAGTTTAACACATCGTTAAATACAACGTTTAACACGTCGTTACTTCAAATTCCGCTGTTTCATTATGTGTGACACACAACAAAAACACTAATAGCGCTCTCAAAAACAACGTGGTGACATTACGAAGTTGAAACTCAAACTGAGCATCCCAGTTTCATTACTTAGGCTCATTAGGCTGGCCCAAAGGTTTGATCTTGCCAGAGTTGTATTATATCTCTAAATAATTATTGATTTGATGTATTTCAGGTATAACTATTGATGGATTTGGAACTCACACTTTTTCTGTAGACTATTTGGGATCTATTCCTCTAAACGAGAAAGTAACTAGTTTATCAGGATTACAAAATCCTCTAAGAGACCTGTATTTTTCTTACAAGAAAATCATCAGGACGAAAAAAGTTTTAACAGGTCGATTAGAGATTTCTGGTAGCGGTTTGAAGGTCCAATATCAAGGAGAGAAAGGTAAGCTATTAGATATTATTTTATAAATACAAATTACTAAATTTATTATAAATAAAAAATATCTTAGTTATGGTCACAAGTTTTTTTTTTTATAATGCACTATATATGTTGCCTACTTTTGGATTTTTTTTATTTTCTTATGAGATCTTCAACTATACCAAATAATATGTTGAGTACTACGAGTATATCAAGATAAGTTTGACCGGTCATTTATAAATGGGTAAACGACCATACGAAGTGCCAGCTCACTTGTGAACACCTATGCGGTCATTTTCATACGTGGGCAAAAATTGTATTTTTGAATAGATTTCTTTATAATCTCTTCAACGATACCAAAAAAAAGTTACGTACATTCACGGAAAAAAAATTGTAGAAAAAATTTCTATAATTGTAGATTTTTTCTCTACAATAAATAGTACATATAGGGACAGGGACAATTTGTAGTAAAAATTTCCAAATATTTGTGGAGAATGTATTGTAGAGTTATTATCTACAATATTTAGTAAAAATATCCAAATGCATCATAAGAATTGTTCTACAAATTGTTATAATTTTTGCTATTCATTGTATGAATTTATATTAAAAATGTATTGCGTTTTATTAAAATAAATACGAAAATTTTACACAATAAATAGTAAAAATTCATACAAATTGTAGTAATTTTTAATAAAATTTGTAGTAGTATTCCATAATTATTATAATTATAACCTAGAAAAAAATGTTCCTTAATAAAATATTCAATTTATTGTTTTAATATAAAAGATACAAATTCTTAATAACATTATGTAATAAATAACAGTAATAATAGCGCCCTCAGTCTCAGTTGGCTTTTCTGCACCTGAAAAATATGAAATAAAAATTAATACCAATTGAACGGTTCATACCCTTAAAACGGGGATATTTATCACCTTTACACTGATTTGGATATTAAATGACTAAGTCAGATAACTAACAAAAATGAGAAAGTAGGTACGTCACAATTAAGACAAAAAAATATCATTGAACTTGGCACAAAATTCGATTGTTGGGCACAACATTCGATCGTTGGCCACAACTATTTTTTTTAAATAATCTACTAAGGTTATTTAAATTAGTTATCTAAAGGTAAATTATTCAGAAACAATATTAAATGTTCTTACCACCAATAGAATTTATTATTAAAATTTTGTCAAACGCATCGGTGCTTATAATATAATAATGTGTTATAGGTACTCGTATATGTACCATGCTTTGTTATGTGAACATGGCGAACGCCTACAGCTGTCTGGCCGTTTATGATCGACGTCAGAAAACGTTGGCCAATAGCAGAATTTTGTTTTGTTCACATGACTAAGAATTTCTACAATATTGTAGAATATTTTTCAACAAAATTGAATGTTTATTATAAGAAGGGATGTAAAGTATTACTATTTTTTGTAGAGAAAATTTCTATTTTTTGTGGAGATAATTATTAATATTTGTACAAATTTTTACAGAAGTTAGTTGTAGTAATTACGATAATTGTAATAAATTTCTACTTCTACAAACAATAGTAAAATTTACTAAACATTGTGGACTTCTTTCCTATTGTTGTAGCATTTTATTCGACAATTCAATTGCTACAATAATTAATAGTTTTTAACTATAAATTGTAGTAAAATTTTCTACAAATTGTTAAGTATTTTTCTACAAGTCTACTACTACAACATTGTAGTAAAATTTTCTAGTCACATTTTTTTCCGTGTTGCTAGGCCAGATTATATACTTGTGCACATACAACCTCATACAAGTGTATTCTATAAAATATACCGCCGATCTAAATTTGATTATTCCAGGTATATACAAAATAATACAAGCCCCATTGTGTATTTTAAAGAATACACCTGGCTCTGAAAGTGTTAAATAGTCATATTCACCTTTTTTCGAAATTTTAAAATAATATTTTATCGTTTATAATTCGCGCTGAAACATCCTGTAAAATTCCTAAGTCCGCCCTTGTGATTTGATTAAAAACTGAGCAACGAATTTCTGTTTACAGGCGACCTTGAACAACTCAACTCCTTCCCGACAATAGCTGTCTGGAGCGCCGTGAAGTTTGTCATCCACGACGACCGTCCACGGCCCACTTGTGCTTTTTTACCTCTAATCACCGATCCAGATAACGTGGACAAAAGGTCCTTGTTTCGGCCTCTCGACGATAACGAGAGGAAATTTATCACCGCCGAGGCACATTCACCATTGTTCGCGGTAGTCATGAGGAAAATCGGAGTGCAGAAACAGTTGGAATGCCACGGGTAAGTTTTCATGGGCGTACGGTAAACACTAAAGAGTTTCAACCATGAATGAAAAAACTCGATATGAAATATTTCGATCAAAACAATAAAAGTAGGAAAATCTGCAAAGGAGGATACGAAATTGAACTAAGGTTTAACAACCAAATTATCTTTTAATTCTATTATAATAATAAATCAATGTAATTTTTTAAAATTCCTTTAAACAATACCTAATACTATGTTACAATTACTAACAGCAATTTAAAATCTAACATGTCTGCCCCATTTATGACCCGTATTTAACTTTGATGGGACATAATTGTGTCACTGGTCGTCTATAGATGGCTTCTATAGATGCTTCCTTTGACTTTAATATCGACTACTCGGATATTTCAATGTTGGCCTGAATACGTACTAAAGATTTTGCTTAAGGGTCAACTATTTCTGGGGAGTTTGTTGTCCATAATAAAGGAGACATATTTTAGGTTCCTTGTCTCTTCATATCATTTGGATTTTCAAGCCAAAGTTGTTAGATATTTTTGTAGTCATCTATTTCAAAAAGATTGGACAAATTTTTGGAAAAGTAATCAATGTTTTCTAATAGTTCTTTCTATGGGATCTACAAGTGTAGTTGCTTTCACTATACTGGGATTATCTATTAAAAAACGGTTCAGTGTTAGGACTCCTACATCCTGTGGGTTGGTACGGACATAGGTAAGCTGTCAATTCTACTTTAGGTGCTATCGTTAAAAGTAGGTACTTTTTTCCTGGGTTCTTTTTCTTTCTAGAAAACTTTCAAAGCGTCTTATTGATCTCTCTGTCCACCCATTTCCAAGTTCCAACCATATGTGAATTCTTAGGTGATATATATTGTGTAACTATAAACTTCTATTAAATAAGTCTACATCAAATTTTGGTATTGCCTCTTTTTCTTCTGAAAATAAATTAGTACCAGTATCACTCCAGATATAGTCTGGATATGAAACGTCTAATAGCTAAGATAGCTGAGTCAGTATTAACGGTTTCAGCAAGTTCTACACGAATTGACAAACAAATCAAGAGGATTACGTACCTCTTCACTTTCTTTTTCTATGCTGAAATAGGTAAAAAATAGTTCATACCTACAACGGTGTAGCAGGTTTTGTTATTTTCAAAGCAGGAAGTTGGCCCGTTTCTGTGATTTGTGGTTTTGCTTCCTTTAAATTACAAAAATAACAGCAGCTATGATAATAAGAAACTAGAAGTTTAGTAAAGAAGTGCTTATTGCTCAATATCCAACTAAAGTCTTACCTTGGTATAGAAGGTCCCTAACGCCTTTAAATAAACCTTTTGACCTTAAAGTCCACAGCTATGTCCAGCGAGAATATCAAAAAATTGCTGATCTATAGTTGTTATTATATGAGCCGTATATGTTAAACCCTCCTGGAACCGTCCTTGCAGAAATTTAAAGATCTTAAATATATCACCAGTGAAGGCGTCTCTTCTCTCTGATATACAAAACTTCCACCAAAGTTTCAACCCCGCTATATGTTCTTGCAATAGATGACAGCATAACCTCAATAGTATTGGAGTCCGGGGACTTTTGGGTACACGCCTTTTGGATAAAATTCTGCCACAAGGGAAAGGTTTTTTGTCAAAAGGAGTAGAGTCCTGTCGACAGAAAATTAAAATAAGGGACTTCGGTCGAATTAAATTAATTCTGAACTCAAAACACTACTACCGAAAGGGCACTACTACCAGACCTGAGGCTTCTTTATTTAGGTCAAAAGAGTAAAATTCAAAATTATATATAATTTTCTTTGATGCTGAAAAAAAGGCAGACAACTATAAAAGTTGTAATCTGACCAATCTAAAGTAAATGTATTAATGGTTGAAGCATAAATGTATTTCTTCCATGAGACATACCTCATGCACTTTTGCAAAATATACCTCATTAATTAGTTCCAACTCAGTCTTTAGTCTAGAGAAGAATTGAGAAAATTTTAAATCTTCATCCTCTTTACTTCACTCAGTGACATGGTTTTTAATGTCGAATTAAAATTAAACTCTTAGAAATTAAGGCTAGATGATGGACTGAGCTCACTTTTCTTCCTGTTAATTATAAACCCTAATAATAAAATAGATGAAATATCTTTAATAATTTGTTTACAGTATTCGGAACAAAAGATTTTTCCAATAGTATAGAATCATCTAGGTATATATTACAGATAAAAATCCTTTAGCTCTAGAGTGGATATCACAGGCTTCACAATTTTGGTAAAGACTAAGAGAGCAGTACATAATTCAAATGAGATACAACAAAATTCATATAAAATTTGATTAAAAAAGAATCTTAAATATTTTTGCTTAAGATCTTGATATTAATAATTATAAAATAAGATTCTTTTAAGACCAAAGTTCACGTAAACTCTGGTAATTAATTCTGGTACTGTACCTTTATCTTTTAACTTAAACTGTTCGCACTGAACGAAGTCCTAGACTCGGACTCTATTTAATCCGTATTGAATTTAATACAAACCCGTACTGGGGTTTAAATAAAACTCGCCGCATTTAAATAAAACTCGCCGCACTGAGTATGTCCAGTTTACCATCATCCGTCTCGAATTACTTTTATAATCTAAAACAATTTATTTACATACCTACATCCTTCTGTTTATCAATAAAAACTATCTCTGGTTCTTCTGCCAGAGATCTAAAACTGGATAAACTGAATTTTCTATATCATTCTGCTATTTATGTTGCTTCAGCATAGTTTAAGATCTCTTTCTTTTTGCTTGTTGTTTCTTAAGTCTTCTTACTTAAACTCCATACTTAAACGACACAATTTTGAGTCGCTTTTCGACGTTTCTGTTTATGAAATATAATATTTTACAGCAGTAGAATGCGGGAACTACATAGAGGGTTAGGTTATAAGTTTTTGGGTTTGGACTAAGGTGCACAACTAGCTCATAAATGAGTACTACGTTTACTTATAATCTGAAAAGGGAGAGCAGTGTATAATTATTCGTATATCATCCTGACCACATTTATGAAAATTAATAATCTTTCTATCATAATTTTTATTGTTTAGGTTTGTTTGTCAAACTTCCGAAGATGCCATAGTTATTGCAGCGACGCTGTACAAATCACTCGTAGCCCATATGAAAGCTAAAGAAAGAAAACCAAGAAACAAGAACGGCGTTACCACCTGTATGTCAGTAACTTCTAGTTTAAATAAGGAAAGATCTGGCAACTCCATGCCCGTACGACCACCCAGGAAAAAAAGAAGTACAACGTCATCTATCGCCAGCGAAAGTGACATGATAAGTGTGAGTAAGAAAGCGACATGAAAATAGATCTCAGTTTAATTCAAAAACATTCTTAATATAATCATTTAATATTTTCAGATATCAGACACCAAACCTCTTTTAAACTCTCAAAGGCTTCCAAAGAAGAGCATCAAATCCAAGAGAGCCCCTAAAGCACCGGATCCAAAACCAGAAGATCTGAATGCGATTGAAGCGTACGAAGAGCCTATCAGGTCAGAAATGAACAGCATCAGCAACAATCAAATCAGTAGGACACAGTCGCAAAGTACCAGCGATTCAGGCAGGGAGGAAGTGAAAGAATTTAAACCAAAAACATTTACTGGTAAGTATTGTAAAAAAATCTGTTTGATGTGTTCTTAAAAAGTAGAGTACTGTGATTAAGCTGGATATTAAGTTTAGTCGCTGTCAACGTCGTCTCGATTCTCTCCACATTAAGGGCAACTTTAACCCATTTTAAATCACACCAACTCTATTTTGAAAGGGTTTAGCTTTTACTTTGTCATTTTTGGTATTTTGGTTCTTCTTGATTAGAAGATTGGGTTGTTTCGGTCTTTTAGCCTTCTCGTGGTTTTTCAAAATGAGTACTCCGTGGCTTCTGTTGGCGTAAGACTTTCTAAGTATTCTTGAATGACTTGATTAGGTTCTTTTTGAATTGGGTTTGTTCTTTAGTGACTTACTTCTTTTTGTTTTCCTCAGTTCTGGCTTGTTGTCATTGTTTCCACAGGTGTCATTTCTTTGTAATTTAGACTTTAACTACCGGATTTACGAAGTTAGGTAGGTATGTGCAGCAAACCACCATAAAAATCATTTTTTTTTATTTAATATCACTTATTTGTCAATTTTAGTGTTTATATAAATTCGTGAAATTATAGAAGAATTTTCACCATTTGTAATAAGATTTTTACTTTAATTTTGTAATAAGTTTAATTAAATTGTGTCGTATTAATTTCAAGTTCAATCTTTTTCTTCAAGAATACCGACTACATTAACGAATATGGATAATCGTCATTCTATTTGTTCAATTCGGCCACTTATTATGTAAAGAGAACACCAGACTACATAATCTAATTTGTGTTTATACTATACAGGGTGTTTTATAGTATATGGGCAGGACTTCAGGACGTGATAGCTCGTCCAAAAATATGAAAAAACGTTTCTATTAACTTACCCTCTAAAATGCACCATTTTCGAGATACAGGGTGTTGAAATTGAAAAAAAAAAAATTCTACGCCACTGGAAAAAGTACGGATTTGAGACGTTAATGTTTTCTACACAAAAAGGTACTCTTGGTCATAGGCTCTAAAGGCGACCGTTTTCGAGATAAATCAAATTTTAATGTTGAAATACATGGTAAATTTTTGTAAATAAAACAAAATTTGATTTTTCTCTAAAACGGTCGACTTTAGAGCATATGACCAAAAGCACCTTTTTTATGTAGAAAACATTGGCGGTTCAAATGAGCGTCTCAAAGCCGTACTTTTTCCAGTGGCGTAGAATTTTTTTTTTTTTTCAATTTCAACATTTTTCATATTTTTGGACGAGCTATCACGTCCTGAAGTCCTGCACATATATTATGAAACACCCTGTATACACATAAGCTTCTTACTCAGAATATTTATAATTGTGTCGCCATTGTTAGCGTGAATTCAATACCTCTGTTGATGTGTATGGTACGAATGGTGAGACGAATCTGGTTAGGTGCCGCGCTTTTAAAAACCGTTGAGGCTCGCGCAATCATTTTCGCGCATACATATTACCAACAACTTTTCTTTGTTCAGTGATTACTATTGATTTTAAATTCATGCATCTATATTGGACAGCAACCGCGCTAGTTAATTTCACTTTATTGAGTTTGCCAACCCAACTTTGGATTATTCAAAGACATTAGTTGTAATGTCTTTGGGATTATTACTTAAGTGAATGTTACATGGGCGGTGTAGAAATTATTTATGTTAAAGGTATTGTTATTAACAGTCCCATTATAAAGGAATCGCTGGGACTGTAGTAACCAAATTTTGGAAGCGGTGTGGTTTTAGACAACTTCCTTGTATTAAAACAGCGGTGGTTCCTGTACAAATTGTGGGTACATTAGGTGACAGCTTGCTTAGCAGGAAGGTACCTCTTCTTATAATAGTCCAAATAGCCAGAAAACTTGATAATACTGATTAAGAACTCGTTTAGTCTCAGTATTGAGAGTATTTTATTTGCAAAGAATTAAAAAGAAATACTGATTCTTTTTATTTTTTGTTGATTTAAGTTTGGACCTGCTGGTAGCTGACAAGTTGTGTAACAGTCCAAACCAGTAATGCTTTCATTTAATCTTTTTTTAGATAAATTAAACACGTACATGACCAGGGAACAAAAACAATTAGCTGCAGAGATAAAACAGGTGATGAACGATGGAGGTACAAAATGCCTAAAGAAAGTGGTAAGAAAAAACGAAGACACACTAAGGAAAGCTGACAATTCTGGGGATATCTTGACTAAAGTGACCATTCCGAGATCTGGGAGCTTTCTGAATGCTGGAGGCTTAACTCGATATAAAAATAAAGGTTGCAGGTGAGTTACGACATCCACAAATCGGCCTAGCATAAACTCAACTTCTTTTTTTTTATTTCCTATTCATTATGTTCTACTCATTTATCTTTTTCTTCTTTTCATATAAACTTATGTCAATTTTAAGCAGAATTATTAACAGACTTACTAAATAAACGTATTCTAATCTATGCAATATATCAGAGAGTTGAAGTGATGATATGAACTTAAACATACGTATACGTGAACATTGGCATATACGCATGCGTATTTAAATACCCTTCACGTTCACGAGTTCGTACGGGCTCTAGCGTATGTATGTAATGCAAACAAAAGAACCTATTTTTAATTCTGAAAGAAGAAATCTTTGTATTAATTGCCATTATCTGTCACGACACGTAAATGTCACGATGCGTTTAATAACTTCAACTCATATTTTGGACAACGTAAACATTATTTTTCTGCGTTGGCGTTCACGTTTACGTTAACGTACTGGAAACACTTCAACACTCTATTATTTGCATTGTTATAGTAATCCGAAATTTCGTGGAATTTCCTGAATGGTATCAAAATTAATTTAGTTTTCAATTTTCAGAGAAGTTGTTTACGAAGTGGTTTAGTTGAAGGATAAACCATTCAAATGACCCAATCGATATTCGGTCATAAGTTTATATATCGTACGCCAGTAGCTGGTCTAGACTTTTCTTAAATATTTTTATAAAGGTTTTTAGTTGAACTCTGTCAGATAATTTGAGATCAATAAGTGAATAGGAGCAAAAAACATCAACACTAACGGTTCGCAAGTCTTCATGGGCATTTACGCTGTAAGTCTGGAGTCGGCATATCAATTTCCCTTACACGGGGTGTATCAACGATGCGTTAGTGGACGATAGTTGCGTTCCTATGTGAGGTAGGAAAAAATGTCTCAAATAAAAGTTGTAACAAGCAATGGAAGGTATGTTCCAAAAATAACTACCAAGTTAGAATGTGTGACTTATCAAAGTTATATTTTTTAAAGAATTACTCTATATACTGTCACTAGATTGAATTCTTTTGGAAGAGTGTTTCTCAAAAATATAGAGTTGTATTGGTTTATCTCAAGTGATTCGGAATTTATTGTGGGTTTTATGTCACAAAATGGGTTCATTCAATATTTCCAATTCATAATTTTACCGAATAACGCTTACAGTTATATTATATACTTACAGACAGCACAAAGATCCATCACCTATAAGCAGTGCGCATGGACGAGACTACAGCGAGCTATATATATAAAGAGTTGTATAACGACCAAATAATGGAAATGCCTTCAGACGAAATGCTCCCAAAACATAACTCTAAAAACCAATATAAAGTAACTATACCAGACAGAGAATTGTGACCGAGAGGACCTCATATTCACGCAGAATTCACCTGGTATACAGACGGCTCTAAAACCAATAAAAATTCAGGAGAAGGTACATATACTACCAAGCCAAAGACAAGAATCTCACTATTTAAACATGCGATAGTAGTCCAGATAGAAATAGCAATAATACAGCACTGCGCACAAGGACGTATTAGATATAAGGTAAATAGGAAAACCATTGTCATATACATTCAGAGAGTCAAGCAGTTACAAGCACTGAGTTCCATGCAGGTACAATAAAAGATTGAGTGGGGTCGTTTAGAAGCCCTAGAGTAACGAAGAGGCTGATTTGCTAGCCCAGGAAGAAGCCTAAAAGGCTCTTATTGGTCCAAAACTCTTCTGTGGTGTCACAAAGATAGGATATCTAAACATATACAAAGCAGTGGATGTTTAAAAAATCTCAGTAATGGTGTAAAAATTTACCAGGACAGACAGGCCAAAGAGTTCTTGAAAGAACCGTCACCAAAATTATCTACTAAGCCACAATAGGAAATATACTAGAGTACTATAGAGGTCTATCAAGACTGATATTTCTTTCACTTAAAGAAGAAAAACTAAGGGCAAATAGCTATGCTGAAGAACTAATTTCTAGTATATGGCGTCTACTACAAAAGACCAAACTAGACAAGGTACTTTAGACAACGATTAAAGGATATCCACAATAAATCTGAAGATGTCGAGGTGAAAGGGTCACATGGACCACAGTCCTAATTTAATCTAATCTAAACACATGTTTATATTGCCAACATGATGGCGCGCCTCCTCACAATCAAAATCGGGTAAAAAGGTTTTCAAACAGATGTTGCAGAAATACATAGGAAGAAGGCCAGCAAAGTTCTCAGACCTAACGCCTTTAGATTTCTATCTTTACGATATGTGAAAGGGGAGGTCCACCGCGAGAAACTGTAGACAGACTTAATTCATGTATGGCTCATGGGAGATTGTTTGAACACCTGCTGTGAATTTAGGGTTCTCGGTTTGAAGAAATTATAAAATAAAGTTCGTTCTAGAGTTATCGTGTCGGGGCACAAACATGCATACATACATACATACGCACAGACGACCACATTATATTTTTTTTTTGGGTTTTCCGATCGGAAACGTATAGAAAAGTGGTAAAAAATGGGGGTACTTGGTAAACATTGTTACATCGATCATAATTGCTCATAGTATGTTTCTGCTGTTGATTAACACTATTTTAATGTATTCTACAACTTTATCCATACTGGCACAGGAGCTACTTTTAAATTTGATCGTTAATTATATTCGACGTATTTCTCGAGACGTGTTTTGAAAATAACTATTTTGTTTCTTAGATTGATATTTCTAAGAACAGCAGCAATCATCGAAACTACCTTATATATCGGTTTATTTGAAGTCGTGTCACAAACAGTTGTTATATTTTATTTCATCCACAGCTTCAGCGTCAGTTAATGCGCTCGTGCATAAGAAAATTAGCTTGGAATTGTGGATATTTCGATATTTCAAAAGCGTAATGGAAAAAAAGTTGCCAAATTATGAGACGAACTTGCTGATGTTTTAAAGTTATTATCAGGTCCGGTTTCCAAGATATTTTAGGAAAACTAAATGGGTCTATTTTATTTTTTGGCTAAATTATCTTTATTTTCAAAAATATAAAAAAATGGACCATACAAATATGATAACTAACTTTTTTTAAATTAAGCGAATAACATCTAAAGCAGTGGTTTCCAATCTTTTTCGAGTCGTGGCCTCCCTTTTACCTGCCACATTTGTAAAAAAATTAATTTTCGTGGTATTTTAAGGAGGATTTTGTTTCGTGAAATTTAGATGCATAAATTTCAAAAAAACAACAAAAGGTTCTCAAAAAAACTCACCTTATGTGGTATTTGGAAAGAATATTTAACAATATGAACATAACTTTTATAAAGAACATTTACTTTGTTTCCGTAATATGAAAACGAAAGTGTAAAATGTATATTTAAACAACCATTTTCGTCGCCTTTTTGACAAATTTTACAGACGTTTCGCGCGATTGAGTGAAAACACTTCACCATTCATTGTTTTCAGATACAGTTTGTTTTGAAACTAAAAGAGGCTTATAATTGGTTGTTGTATTTGATGTATGTATTATTGCAGTGGTCGCCAACCTCTCAATGTGTTGAGCTACTTTGTTAATTTTGGAATAAACAGCGAGCTACCCACACGGAAGCCACGTAACGCAACGTAAATGAAATAATCCACAGTTAATTTATCATTATATGTATTTATTTTACTATTTAACTGGTAATACATAATACATAGGTACTAATAATAAACTAATAACAAAATAACTAATATTACTAGTACGTACTTGTTCATAGCTACATTCCTACCTACCAAACGAAGGTGTTTGAAAAATAAAAACAAACTTTTATCCAGCCACAACGGCATGTCACGTAAGATTTAAAAATAGTTAATAATAACAACAAAAAAGTAACGCACTATCATGAACATAAACATTGAAAAATAAAAAAGCACGTTCAATAAGAAGGCTGACACTCAGACTCATCGATAATTTTTTTAATGTTTGCAGTATAATTTGATACAGCCATTCGAATACAATTATCCAAATGTTCATCTGTAAGTCGATTGCGATATTTGTTCTTAATAAACTTCATATTGGAAAAAGAAGATTCATACAAATAGGTTGAACTGAATAATGCTTTTACTTTCAAGGCAACACGGCATAGAACTGAATATTTGTCTTTACTTACAATAGGCCAGGTACATTTGGTACTTGAGACTAACGATTTTAAGGTTAAATCATTTTGAAACTCAATTACTTCCATTTCTGTTGCAGCGATGTCTTCGCCAAAGTTCTGCATAATACAAGTTGCAAACTGTTGGATATCAATTTCCATAAAGGGTGAAACAAAAAACTGCGCTACTAAAGCCATTTCGTTGAAATCCTTAAAACGATTTTTGAAGTTATTCTTCAGGGTAGAAACTATTTCTACATGATATTTGCTGTCATAGGGTTCTAATGGATTTTGAGATATTTTTTCTGAAAGAATAGGAAAATGCTTGGCATCGTTGTTAATTAGGTTTTGTTCCCAAAACTCCAGCTTTTTGATAAATGCTTTTATAACAGAAATCATTTCCGCTAGTTCTTTGTCTCTGCCCTGAAGCTGCAAATTAAGTTCGTTTAATTTCTCTGTAATGTCCACGAGAAAACCAAAATCTCTAAGCCAGATTGAATTTTCTAGTTCCGGAGTCGGTTCATCGCGTTGTTTGAAAAATTGAACAATGCCAGATAGGACATCATTAAAACGTTTCAGCACCCGTCCTCTTTTTAACCATCGGACTTCAGAGTGAAGGAGTAGGTCCCCGTATTGACAGTCAACTTCATCGGCCAAGGTTTTGAATAATCTTCTTTGTAACGCTTAAGCTCTAATCTTGTTCACAATTTTTACCACCAGTTTCATAACGTTGTTTAGTTTCAGGAAATTTCCACATAATGATTGCTGATGGATAATGCAGTGGTAACAGAGAAATTGCGGAAAAGTTTCATCTTTACGACATAACGCCATCAGACCCTTATCACAACCCACCATAGCTGGAGCGCCATCGGTTGTCAAGCCTACCATTTTCGATATTGGAATTTTCTCGGAAGAAATAATATTTTTCAAATGAGAAAACAACTCCTGTCCAGTAGTGTGTCCTTTCAGTGGAATAAACTTCAAAGGATCTTCTTTAATCGTAAAATCTCTAAAAACCATCCTGACGAACACGGCCATCTGGGCAGTGTCAACGACATCTGTTGATTCATCCAGTCAAAGTGAAAAATAAACACAGTTATCTAAGTCAGTTCTTAACTGTAAAAAAATATCATTGCTCATTACTTCTACACGTCTCATCACTGTATTAGCAGAAAGTGGCATAGATTTTTATAGCTGAAACTATCTCGTCTTTATTTCTAAAGTTGGCAAATAACGAATCAGCAGCTTCTAAAAACGCCTGTTTTATCATTTCCCCGTCTTCATAAGGTTTCTTTTTTTGTGCAATTATCTGGGACACACGGTACGATGCTTCAGTTGCATCCTTATTTTTGTCGACTGTTCTTAAAAATATTGATTGTTGTCCAATTAACTGCTTTTTTAACTGTTTCAGTTTCTCCTTTCTGGCGGCAGAATGTAGTGGGAATGATTTTTCAAAATTAGAATGTACAGTTTTATGATGTCTCTCAATATTTCCTTTTTTAGCAACGAAGACCGAAGTATTACATAACAAACAGACATTTTTATCTTTAACTTCTGTAAAAAAGTATTGTTCTTCCCATTCCGAATGAAAGTGGTATGTCTTTACCTTCTTACAACTGCTTGCCATAATATTATTTTTTGTTGTTCTCTACTAACCCAACCGCTTGACGTTGGTTACGCATTCAGTTTTAAGCTAAGCGCAATGTCGCCGCGCCGTGCGTATTTATCCCGTTCAAAGCAATCCTGATCGTTCTCGAACACTAACGCGCTGGTCCGGCTGGTCGGTTCTAGCTGATTCTAGCTTGATGGCGTCAGCGGCAGATCGCTCACCGCAACGTTGCCGCTGTTTATGTTTAATATTATGACAATTAGATTTTTTTGTGGAATTTACGGAAGCTTCTCTGATTTTTGCAGTTTGTATTTTTTAAATTAAAATCGTTGTGAGAGCTACCAGAATTGCCTCCGCGAACTACCGGTAGCTCGCGATCGACAGGTTGGCGACCACTGTATTATTGTATTAAATAATCAATACAAGTAGAAATCGTAGTAAGCACCTGTTCTGGCTCCACGTCACTTCAAAAAATAATTATTTTAAAACTGTATATCCGTAAATATACAAAGTGTTTCACAATAAAGTACCGACCTGTAGATCTTAAGTAAATAATTGGAAAAGTCTAATAAAATTTTTCAGTAATGTCTTAGTTTCTAATTTAAAGGGTGATAAAGTTAATTTCATAAATACATCATTTTCTAAATATCTTCTCTTGCGGTAAAGATTTTAACTTAAATATGTATATGTTAGTTAATCGTCATTATTAGTTAACATCCTCTATTTCGATAAATTACGATAACTCATTGGCCTAAAATCAAGGGTTAAGAAAACAATCCAAACTTTTTTGTACGCCCTATATTTCATAAAAGTTAAGATTAATAATGATTTATCACGCAATTTGTCAGAAAAAAGGGACTCTTAGTTGAGCTCTGTAGAACATTCCATTTCCGAAATTTGTTCTACTCAAACATGAAATCCATGTTTAATTTTATCTAGGGCCATTTCATAATGGATATTAAAAGAGTCCATTAACTAATGGGACCAATATTTTATGGATTTAATGGTCCCATTAACTAATGGACCTTTTAATATTAATTATGAAATCAACCCTCAATAAAAATTTTCATATTGGGAATTTCATAACGTACATAGATTTCATGTGTGACTAGGATTAAAACTAAAAAATCTCAGAAATCGAATGTTCTTCTACAGAGATCAACCAAGAGTCCCTTTTTGTTACAAATTGCGCGAGGAATAATTAATAATATCAACTTTTATGAAATATAAGGTGTTTAAAAAGTTTGGATTAAAATAAAAATGTACCTCTTGGTCCACGGTACCTCTTGGTAAGAACTGAAGATCCTTTCTAGAGATCAGACTGTAATGAGTTTGTGGAATAAAAACAAATTAAAAATATGGTGAATTATCATCGACAAAAAAACCTATTTTTATTGTGCGCCTATGTCCATTGGACAAAAACTATTTTTTTTTTAATTCAGTTCTATAAAGAAGATAACATTTCTTGTCCGCTAATAATAACTTCAAAGTCATTTAGAAGTACACTATACATACAGATACATATTATTTTTTCTATATAAAAAAAGAAAAATAATGTGAAGACTGGGTCTAGTTATATCTTCTTGCGCGCTAATGGTCATTTCATAATTAATTTATTAGAAGTAAAACCATAACAGAAATAATATCAAAATAAAACAGTTTATCACCCAATATAAACTGAGTTCTTACTATTTAATTAGCAGAAATTCCTTCATGCATCGACTGTTGTTATTGAATCGGATCGAACGAAGAAAACAATAATTAGAACCATTTGTTGCAGCATCAGGCTCATTAAATAAACGTTTCCTGATAACGCTGAAGAAGCTGCGCACAATTAATGTTTTATTCTAATTGTCAATATAAATTGAATAGTTGAACGAACTTTCAAAGTATTTTTTATTGTCAAATATTGAAGTAATTAAGATCAATAATAAGATATCAACACTTCAGGTAATAGGTACGATAAATTAAAAATTAAATTAAAAAAAAAATAAACTGTAAATATTGAACATCAATTGTGTTTTATAAAATATTGTTGAAGTATGAAGAACTACTTGAAACGAAGTTATGTTTCAATACCTTTTTAATTGCAAACCCAGATTAGTCGATCGGAAAAATCAAATGTATCTGTAATGTGTAAAGGATAGATTATCCCATGGCCCTTAGACCTCACTAGGCCCATTGTGCATCCTCTTGGCTCGTTAGCCAGCTTTTAGACTAAATGTAGTTGACAACGTCACCAATAAGTGCTACCCTTATATCGGTGGATGTTAGCCACTACTCGCTGGCGGATTCTGACAGCTACATGCTATGAAGATGCTTCTGTACTAGGCAATTACCAGTCAGAATGCCTGTGATCAGGAGAAGATTGTGTCTATTCATAGTCAAGTATTTGCTTGCTGCAGTGTTGTCAGGATAACTTAAAAGCTACTGGAAACTATGTAGCTTCTTGTTTTTCTATGAATCTTACATGGACATGTTCTTTAATTAGATTTGTCACTATAGATGTTGTCAGTCCAATGGAAAGGCCAGGTTCAAAAAGTATTTGGTTGACTGCTTTCTTGGCTAGTGAATCAGCAAGACGCTTGATGTGGCGTGACTTTTGATCCATCTTACTTCGGCCAAAGGTTCGTGACATTCTAGTACTATCTTTGAGTAAATTCGTGGTCTGCTATCAGTATAGATGTTTCTTCTAATGATATTGTTTCTGATAACTTCATTTGCTGCCATGAAAATACCCGTGAGCTTGGTTTGAACTACACTGTCACTATTGCTTACAGCCTTTATTTTTTATACCATGCTCTTCGCCAGATTTATGTTTAGGTTTAAAGTGGAGTTTGTTCCACATCTTAAGCCCTATTTTGTCTTAGAACCAGTCCCTTTCGTTATAACTTTATATGGATTATGGAAGATATATCTCGGTAAAATGGAAACCATGTTCACTTGAAGCTGTGGAAGCGTATCGTATGCCTCCTCCCAAAAGCGACTTTTCGCCTTACCAGATCCTACATCAGGTTCTATTTTAATCGTGCGGAGGCGTGTCATTGTTAATAGAGGAATCTCCTTGATGTAAATATCAAGTCTGCTTGGTGTGGTTTTCATGGCTCCTGGTTATGTTGCCAGGCTGTTCTTTGAATTGGTTCTAGTTTGTTGGATTTTCGGTAACCAGACAACTGAACCATATTTTAGCATAGGTCTTACGATGGCTGTGCGACGACTCTGGGGAAAAGACCACAGGTGCGCCCCACGGTTCGACGACATTGTTCATAAGCAATGTATGCTTTTTTACATTTTTCTAGATGTGATTTTCATGTTATCTTGCTGTCAAAGGTGAGACCTATTGCAAAGTTTAGTTTTGTATTTAGAAGCTCCATAGATTTTAAATATATTTTCATTCTTTTTCTTTTGAAAAGGACCATTCAATGTCTTTCATTGTTCTATAATTTATTATTATTATAAATTGAATTTCGATTAAATGAAATAATACCGTACATAAAAGACCTATTTTGCTGATTGGCTGCATCCGGTAAAGGTGGTGGTATGATAGATTAACTTTCGTTTTTGTCGCAGATTGAAAGAATTTGTTGAAGTGAAGTTAGTCTATGTCTGCACTTAGCATCACTGTACAAAGCTACGAACATCGCTTATCTTATCGATTCGTTAGTCTGGGAATAAGTTTTGCAATTGTCTGCTATGACTTGCAGTGCCTCATCTTTTTTTTAGCATCTAGTTTCTGTATTTATCGTCATAGTGTAGTAACCTAAAAAAGTAAATCATAAAAAATTCTATTAACTACAACTTTTGTATAAAACATTTACGCGAAAAATCATAAAATTCCGCAGGATTTCGTAACTTTGTTTTTAGGATTATTTTATGGTCACCTAGTGATTCGTAATTTACAATCATATTTTTTGTGTAATATGTCTCAAAAACTGCTTTTTAAGTTATACTTGATGTACCATCCATAAATAAATCCTTTCTAGCACTTTGAGTTCAAACATGGGCGTGTTCGTCTTCTGCGAACATAAAGTACTATTAAATATAAAGAAATATTTTATTTTAGATTATAAAAACAAAATGAAGTTTTAAATAAAACGTATATCTGTTTCAGAAGCAACGACCAAGGTAGCGGTGGATCACCGCTCGGTTTTAAAGAAATCTTCAACGAACTGTCTCTCCAAGAAGGCCTCCATTCTCTTGACGACATCCTAAGCGTCATCATCGATCCGGAAGGAATGTCCTTTAATGATCTCAAACCCATTTACAAAGAATTCCTGTTGAAATTATCGGTAACGCTCACGAAAGATGAGCTTTATCAAAGATCAAAGAGCATAATGAGGCGACAAAAGAAGAAACTGCTGAGAAAGATGCCGCAGCAAAAGCGCAGGATAAAAGTTGGCGGGAAATTTCGACGATTGAAGCATATATTCCAGAGGAATTTGAAGATGAAGCTTGGTATGTATATATCGAAACGATACGCGAAGCAATTATACATTTTGTGATAGTTCAACCTATACCAAGTTTTATTATTTCAGTTAAAAGATCAAAACAACTACCGGTACAAGAACCCACAAAAACACCTCCCCAGACCGATTCTAAACTTCCAGAATCTTCAATATCAACATCGTCATACGATACTAGGCAATTCAGACCCAAAGAAGGATCAACTTCGAACAAGAAGCAGAGCTACAGGAAAAAATCCAGAAGAGATAGAGCCAGTACAAGTGAAGAAAGCGACTTTTTTTCCTTGAAAAAAAGCAGAGCGAAAGCACAAGGGTTCAGCTTGCTTCACAACCAGAACAGAAATTCTTCTTCTGGATACGTTTCTTGCTCTGAATGCTCGTACGATTCGGACACCTGTACCTGCGTATCAGCTGATAAGTGTTACTGTTCGTTGGGTCAAAAGAACTTATCCAGAAGACAAAGGTAAGAGAAATTCTCTTAATATTCAGCCCAACAAATCATCTATCTTATTTCAGATGTCATAGTTTATCCTGCCAACGAGACAACACTTGCGTTTGTAACCAAGATACCCCCACCTCCGTAGTCTACTGTGAATGCGATACAGACTCCTGTGCAGAAAGCAACAAGTGTTACTGTCCAACAGGAGGTTTTAGCAACTCGGTAATGGAGAAGCTGGAGCAGAAGGGTTTCCGCTTTGAATCCGATCACCACAGACACAAGAAGCTTTGCAAAAAGAACTCCAATACTAAAAGTACGAAAAGTTTGGAGTATATTTTGAATCCGCCTGAAACATACTATGAAAAGTTAAAGAGTAAACATAAGTTCGGCACTCAGAGTTCCATGCCTATTTTGGGCAGAGGATTCGGTGGTAATGATTATGAAAAGTTTTCTTTGTTGAATGGTAGTTTGCAGAATTTGAACAGTAGGATGTTGTACGGCAACGAAATTGGATCGTGCCAGCCTGTTACTGTTAAGAGCTATGGATCTACGAATAGTCAAAGATCAGGTAAGTTCGGTAGCTCGTTGATGCAGCGGTTCTCAGTAGAAAATATTTTTTTATTATACAAAAAAATACACCTTATTTATGATTATTTTAGTTTGCCTTATTGCAATGCTACAGTTGTTCAAATCACCTTGTTGAGAAAAACGGCGGAATTTTGTTCGAAACATGTTGTTCGAAACATTTTGTTCGAAACACGTTTGTTTGAAACACATTTGTTCAAAACACGTTTGTTCGAAAACCCTACATTCGAAAATACGTTTGTTCGAAAAATCTTAGTTCGAAAATACATTTATTCGAAAAAGTCTATTTCAAAAACACTATTTTTCGAAAAATCTTAGTTCGAAAACTGTTTTTTTGAACAAGTATTATTTGAAATAATATTCTTCTTTTCCTAAAATTAGTAATAAAAAAGATTTTCATATGCCGCCAATTTACGTTGGTGGCGTAGGAATGCTTTTCTATTACTAATTTTAGGAAAAAAAGTTGTTCTTTATAAAAAATCGAGCATGGTCTTAAACCTAAAATACAACCATCAAATATCAAATTTTATCAGTCGTATAAAAAATAAAGGTACTTTACTATTGAGTAAAACTCATATTTTTTGACAAACCTCGTATACTATTGAAAAAATTTGATATTTGATGACTGTATTCTAGGTTTAGATAATGCAGAACTTTTTATTAAGAATAACTTTTTTTCCTAAAATTAATAATAAAATAGTTTTCCATATGATTCCAACTTAGGGGGACATACTGTATTAATTGTTTGAAAATATGCCATACTAAATTAATTCATTTGCTGATTTAATATTTGTGCGTAATCTTTTTTTCTAGGAGGAAGAACTACAGCCATCTCATCGGGAGTCTGCTCCGAAGCGTTAGCTGTCAAAAAGTCAGCGGAAATAGCAGCCCTTTTCACCGACATGAAACTCAGTCAAACGACCGACATAGCCCATCTCAACCCCAACAATTTCGATATAGTTTCTTCTAAAAACAACTACAACAAACATTACTCTAATCCGAAATACTCGAAATCTCAAAAATGCGCTCAAAATAAATCCTACACTCATTACACGCAATTGCAGAAAAACAACAGCGCGCTATATTCCATGAAACTTCCGATAAATACCGTCAAAAGTGGTATGAACTCAATCAGAAGTGGGATAAACTCTGCCAGAAACGCCAACAATCATCACGGCAGTAAAAACGGGAAAACCAACATGTACAGTGCTAAAAATGGTTTATACACCATCCAAAGTCAGTCTGATGAGTCAAGAAGGTCGAGCTCGTGTGAAGGGGGAAGGCTGGAGTCACGAGAATACTTCGAATTAAAGCAGGAAGTTAAAAAGAGTATGAGGAACGTTAGCAGTAATATTGAGAATTCCTTAGGATATTTACCGTGACAGTTTTAGAAAGAAAAAACAAAAAATAGCAAGTCGGAATGTTTAAAATTGCCACTCTTATACTTTTGATTATTTATTTTCACTGTGTCCTCTTTCCCAGAGATTCAGTATAATTATTTTTATTAAATAAATAAAAAAATTAAAAGAATAGATGAATTGAGAAAATGTTTCATTGACTTGACACAACGATTTAAAGCAGCAGTTCATTTGAATGTTAATAATATTTAACTTTGCATATTTACTTTCGGCATCCGAAAATCTAAAATCAAAACGAAATTCATCAAAATGTGATTTTTACCTCTGGTGTTTGTTCTCTTACTGGAAAATTGTCGGATTATACCACATTTTCTTGAAATTTTTACGGCTTCGTCTTTAATTTCTGAATATTTATTTCTAGTTTCGTTTAAGGTCGCTTCCTTTTTTTGCATTGCTTTTGATACGGTATTACTCTTTTATTCAAGAAAAATTAACAAAAACATAATATCAAATCTCTCAATATTTTTTATGATTTTTGTTTCATCCCTTTAGTCCAATCATATTAGGAGTTTCCCCTCGGAATGAGAGATAATAAGCTGGAAACTCGGAAACGCGTTTTTAAAGTTGTCTCAAGAGTCTCATAAAATCTCATGTCTGCGTCGTAAGTTATTAAAGATTAAAGATCAAAAAATGGTTGTTTTGCAATTATCTAGGTTTCTAAAGCTCCAGTGATGTTAAAATAATTGTATTATATTTGAGACACATTTTGTTCCAAACATTTTTTCAGGCGCTCAATCGTTTTTGAGATAGAGGATGGAGAGCTGTATATTTCTTAAAATTTAAATTAAAGTGAAGTGAAAATTTACAATTCTTTAATCTTTAAAGAACAACATTAATTTTCTTCTTCTTTTTCGTAAGTCATCATCGTCGTCGTCTACTCATCTTCATTGTCCTGAATCGTTGTTTCCGGTCCTTCTAGAATTACCGGGTCAAATGCACTCTCTTCCTTGGGGTCGCTTTGCAATAAAACAGCATTGAGGCAAGCTTGTCTAATACACTAACCATAAGCTAAAGTGCATTGCAACTCTATGTCTTCTACTATGATGACGGTAGTCCACTCATGTATGCATTCTTCGATAGTTGTTTCTATGAAATTCACAGTTGACCCTTGCATTACAATATGTATGGGTGCCCTCTGTCTCAAAAACGATTCGACGCTTGAAAAAATGTTTGCGAAAAAAATTTGTCGCAAATTTTATGCATACGCGTTTCCAGCTCATTATCTCTCATTCCGAGGTTGACAACCCTTTTTTTGCTTAAGTGACTACATTACTTACCTTATCCAAGATCACTGAGTCCTCCCGTAGAGCGAGGGCTAGCGCAGATAGCTGCGCCAGCAGTGGTTACCCAAAACTTGCTACTTTTTATATAAAAATAAAGAATGAATATTTTAAATATAAACCTATAAAAATTATTACGAATATCCTTCTTGTTCGGTAGGTACATTTTGGAAATTTTGCCATATTTTACCGCTAAATATATGATTAAAAAAAATAAACTAAATATGTATTCAATAAAAGTTTTGTTAGTGTGAATCTAATATTATATGTGTGTATTAGTTTGTAATTATAACTAAAAACTATTTTTGTGGGAATGATTATTTCAAAAATAAATTTCCTTTAAAGGACTGAAATGAACTTGAATCAATTTTGCATGAACGTTCATTTTGTTACTATTTTTATTACCAATGATCATACATTCTGTTTTTCACATTACGTTTGATGTGGCCAATATATTTTTCATGGTTTGCAGAAACTACAAAAAATATATTTCACACAACAAAAATGAACGTTCATGCTACTTTGTTTCAGTCCTATTTCTACCTCTATATGACTGTCTCTTTTCAGCTTTAGGGTTATAGTATAGAACTTTAAGTGATATTTTGTAACAAAGGTGCAATATTTTTCCTTACCTATTTTCGTGCAATATTTTTTTCAATTATTTTTATTTTTGTTTTGGTTTTTTGTTTATATTTTATTTACGTTTCATATTTTTAGATGTATGTTTGTGAACTGTAGTATACAATAAAATAATTTTAAATAAAAGTATATTTTTTTAGTTGTTTAGCTTCCTCGTAGCGACGCTGTAGATATATCTTTTTGGAAATTTGAACTAGTTTTTCTATAATACAATATTAAAAAAAAACTTGGTAACAAACTTTTATTTCATAATATTCACAACAATACAATTACACAATAAATCACATTAAATATTGGTCAGTAAGAAAATATTATCACAAAAATACGCACATATAGTACTTTTTTTTGATCTCTACATTTTTGAATGTACGAAAATATTGGGTCTAACAAATCCCTCTTCGCCAAAATAGTTTGACATGCATTGAACAACATTTTGATACATAGGTATTCATTATAAATTATCATCGTTATTACAGGAAATAAAAAAATGTTTGGATAAAAGTTATGCGGCTATTACTAAATTTGGTTGAGTTGTCATTAAAAACACAGTAAAGTGCAGTTTTCACGGGACAATAAGAAATTATATATTTTTTAAATCTTTCGTGGTTTCAAAAATTTATCATAATATATGTTACGCGTACCTATCTTATACTTTAATTAAACTTACTTAGTTGGGCTATGTATATAAATAGAAATACTTTATTCTCAGCAATACATATCTAATAATGTTTACATAGTCATCAGTACCTTTAAATAGTTAGATCTACATAGAGTACAGGTTAAATTCAACACATTTAACATACATACCATATATTAAATTTAAAATAAAATAGGATTTTATATGATCATAAGGATTGACTATAGTAACAAAAAATTTGAAAAAATATTAAAAATATAAGGTGACATGTTTCACTCTCACAAAATAATCATTAATGTTAATAAAGACACATGTTCAGTAACACATTTTTATTTGCTGTTTAAGGCGAGAGTTTAATTAAATTAACCCGTACATAGTTAGTTATTTCTTTTACTATTATTTATTAACAAATGTGAATATAAGACACATTGTGAACATGGGACAAATGTGAATATAAAACTAAGACAAACTAGACTAAAAGATAAATTAATGTGAATATTATTATAATAAAATTAAACATAAGTATGTATAATAAAAAAAAATTAAAAAAAAATAGGATTATACCGAGACTTGATTCCACGATCTCTTGTTTGAAAGGTCAACGCCTTTTCCACAAACCACATTCGCTAAAAGCTTTTGTTTACGAACGAGTTAATTTTATTCATACATATTTTCTGCAAAAACTACCGAATAAATATGTAACTACATATCAGTCTACTAAACGGATGTAACGTTATATATATTCTAGAATGTATATGAAATCCATCAAACTAAATATTCTACAACTAGACGGATATTATTCATATATTCTACGCAGACTATAAAATTAAAAAGTAGGCCTTTGTTTTCTACGGAATAAATATAATTTCATATTGAATCTAGAAAGGGCACTGTACGGTTATAAAATCCATCAAACATCCTGCATATTTGGTGACCGGGCTACTATTACTTTTTTCTACACCCACATGGATATTAGCTTATCTACGCACAGAGTACAAGATGAAGAAGTATGATATTGCCTTCAACTGAACGAATATATTTCCTATCCATTCTAGGTAGTGAGAATACTGCAAAAAAATAAATTCACCAATCACAGTTCATATTTTAATCAACCGACTGCTATTATTTTTAAAATTTTAAATAAGTGACAATTCTGTCAAATTGTCAGTATAATTTTTAGTTATTGAGATTAAATATACAATAAAATGGGTTATTCTTGTGTAGAATCGATTAATAATAACATTTTTGTTTTTTTTTTTCGTCTATAATTATAAATAATTTCTTAATTTAAATAAAACTATATAAAATCAATTTAATTATGAGTATTAAAGCAACAAAAATAAAAGAATAGGTAGTCTTTGATTAGCGTTCTTGCCTTCCACGCAGAAGAATGGAGTTCGATTCTCGGATAGGGAAAAGTGAAATAAACTTTTTTTTCTTTTTTTTTTTTTCGTTTATTTTATTTTAAAAATTATTAAAAGTCATAAATTATTTTAAAATTAGTTATTTTATCTCAATAACCTAAATTATTATTTTATTTGTAAATTTTCGTTAGTGGGTCGTAGAAAAATTATACTGTACAACTCGAGTGGATTGTCCACATCGCACTCAGACGATTGAGTACTCCGCCTACGGCGTCGTGCTTAAATTTCCTCTTCGTGCGATATGACCATCATATCCATTCTTGTTGCACAAACTACTATTTTTAAATTTTATTTAGAATATAAATAAAAAAATGGGATTTTTGTGATGCATCGATAAATAAATAGCATTCCACAATATATTCGTTTATATCTACAAATAAATCGTAAATTTTATTAACGCTTCAATCTACTTATTGGCATAAAACAAAATATGTGGCGCTTGGACGGTATGATCGAAACGGTAGTTGAACCTTTAGTCATAACTTTAAGTTCCGACGATAAAAACGATTCCAGTGATAGTTCTGCAGAATCAATGGATTACGAAACTTCATAGATTTAGAATTCTATTAAGTGATACCAAGCTTAATTTACATATTTTTAAAATAAACCAAATACAATTATAAACATAGATAAATTATTATAACAAAAATAGATAACCAACCTACTTTCATCTAGTAATATTCACAAATACCCATTTAATTTACCAATATAGTATTTCTGCGACACTGGAAGAGTGCATTTTGACATGATAACGATACCTTTTACAGTTTTAAGGCGCACCTTCTTTAATATTTTGTTCTAGTATAACACCGCATTTAATTTTCCAATAGTGTTTCTATGCCACTGGCATAATATTTACATATTTTAACAATAAACAAAACAAAATTATAAACATAAATGATTATTACTACAAAAATAGATAACCAACCTACTTTCATATAATATTATTTACTATTACCGCATTTAATTTGCCAACAGTTTTTATACGCCACTGGCGTAATTCATTTTGGCAATAAACATGCATTTATGACTAGTTGGCACGTGATACCGATAACTTCTGCAGTTTTAAGCGCGTGATTCCATTCATTATGCTCTGGTATAGTATTATTGTTGTACGTGAACAGGGAGGAATTACCTTCTTCAATATTTTGTCCGAGTATAGAGCAGTTCGTGTCGAGATATTGAGATCAAACTTGGTATATGGCTGTATTGTCACGTTAAAAATAACACCCTATATATAAAATTTACATTTTCTAGTTTAATATTCATGTGTTAAATTAAATAATTCAGCAATTCAGCATAATACTTTCTATATATTTTGATAAACATTAGATTCAATTCATAACTACATCCTCTATAAAAATAACATTACACCAGACACGTACTGACCTTAATCGATAAACATAAAAATTGGATGAGTCAACAATAATGGCATTCTTGATTCGAGTCTCATCATCGTCTCGCATCCCAGTAGACGTAGTGACGTGACATGCCCTCATCCTCTCGTCGCCTTTAGACGTTTAGCCCTGGGTAAGGCTCCTTTTATATTATTGTTAACTTCTTAGATATTTTATTTGACTTTAATAAATTATTATTTGTTGTCTTGCTCTTTAATTTTCCTAAGTCAGGAAGCACATATTTAAAGTAGCTCCATCATGACCGAAAGTATGAAAATTGCATCAAAAAAATTCGCCCCTCGTCCCCTAGTTGATATGATGGGATGTCACCCTTAAAAATACAGTTTATTCAATAAAACTATTAGAATCTACGATTTTTTCTACACACAACTCAAAATTTTTAATTTTTTGATAAAATTTTTCCAAAAATTTTTTATCTGAATTCTCACAGTTCGTAAGTGGGGGGATGCTGACATTTAAAAATGGTTACAAAGAAAGATAAGAAATTCATGTTGGGCACATTTAAAGTAGACCTGATTTAGAACGTTTCTGTATAAAAAATATCCTTCTTCTTCTTCCACCATTAGTTAGAGGGAGATGGAGGAGGTGGCATTCCCAAAAATTAGGTTACAACTTTTTATGTGAAATCGTTGAAATCTACGATTTTTTTCTACATACATACCCAAAATTTCAAGTTTTTTGACAACACTTTTCTTTCCTAACTATGACGATTCAGGACAAAAAATGTTCTTTACAAAGAAAACAAATTAAAATATTGGGTTGTATATATGTGGAAAAAATCGTAGATTTAAAAAGTTCTATTTTTTTTGGGGCATGATATCTCCTCCATCTTCTCCTAGGTGACGGTTTATTTTTAGTTTTTTATTAAACTTGCGAATATGTTGCTATTATTTAATTAAAATTTTTAAGAAGGAAAATATCTTGCACCGAGGCATCTTGTGTCAAGCTATGCTACTGCTGCAGCTAACAATCATTTTTTACTTCAGTAGTGGTACCAACAATATTTTAAGTGCAATTTTAATGTCATATATATCTTGAGTTCTTTTTGATTTAATGTTCTGTATTAAATCCATAATGTCAGTAAAATAAATAAAGAAAAGTGATTAATAACGTTTTTGGTTATAACAAGTAAAATCAATTTTATTTTTATTGATTATTGTAGCTATTAATCATTTTTGAATTTGATTTGGGAAACGAGTACTAGTTTATTTAAGCATATTTCGTTTAATCGTCTAATTTTTAATCAGTGAATCTTCAGTAGATATGAGGGTGTAATTTTCATAATTTCGTAGTGGAATTGGGAATTTTTAATTTTCATATTTTTAAAACTTCATTTCAGTTTTTAAGATCTCAACCGATTTTTCTCGCTTCACTTTTTTTCAGTTATTGTATGTCCCATTCTTAAACGTGTCCCATTTAAAAATTGTGTTGTTGTATTCCGTACATTACTGTGTTTTAGATGGCATTTTAACAAAATTCAGTCATAGCTACCACAACTTTTATTTAAAACATTTTTAAATATATGCAATAATATCGATGATAAGGTGTGGATAATTTATAATGAATGCCTCTGTACAATTTTTCCATTGGAAACTAGGAAATTATTTCAGATTATTTTTATTTCATTCAGAAATATTAGTACCAAAAACAAAATCAACACCTACCGGTTTGTGAACACAACATCCAGAAAATATTAAATAATAAATATGTTAATTAGCTAATTTCATAAACTTCCTTATTCTAGAATATCCTCGGTTAGATTATGCCACTGTTCGTGTCTGTGGTCGGGATACCGTATCATGTCCATCCAATGTTTAAGGCGAAGACCTAAATAAAAACATATTTAAAGCAAATACAGAATTTGTTTTGGGTGTTTTTGAATGATATGCGAATATTTAAGGTTTTGAATCTTCATGTTTATTAATGATAGGTTGTTTAATAAAAAAGTTCCTTTGCGAAAATACGGGGTGCTAAAGTTTTAGGAAAAAAAAAAAGAAATAAATTATTATTTTCGTAACCGCTTGAGATATTTAAATGATATTTAATATTTAGTGACAGTTGATAATGGTGTCCATTTTTCGATATAACGCCTTTAATGGTAGCGTCAATATTTTTAAAGAAAACATTAGTATATAGCATATAAAAATTATTTTTTATTTTTCGTTCAATTTGAAACCTAAAGGATTTTCTGTATTGTTTTTCTACGTTGGTCAAAAATGTTTTGGCCGAGACAATTAATATAATTATTGAAAAAGCCAAAAAAAATATTTGGACATTTGGACTTTTTCATGTAGATTTACACCCTTAAATATTCCCATTTCATTAAGGAAAACCCTATATACAGTGCTAGCAAGATTAAACCTTTTGGCCGGTATTGCCTATGTTAAAATGAATAATAAATATAACATTTGCGTATTATATCGATGGCTTAGGCACCTTCTTATTTTTCGAATACCTACTATATTTTTTAATGAGGTCAATAAAATTTTCAAATTACAAAGTTTTTTCACAGGTGATTTCAAAGTCCTCACGGAAGGTAACCGCCATCTGGTGGTTATTAAAATTTACCCCAATTCAATTAAAAATTTTCACTGGTTTTTTTTATGTTCTTACGAGTTTCGAAATTTATTTATGAAGGCGTAGAAGGACCACATATTTAATTTTTTTAATTTTTGCTTTATTTTTGAAATTTCGACTGTAAACTCGGAATTTCGACTTTAAACTCGGAATTTCGACTTTACTCATGAAATTTTGACTTTAAAGTAAAAATTGATCTTGGCACAGGTTCTACTCGAAAAGAATAGGAAATAATGTATTTTGAACAACATTGTTTTTTTGTCCGATTTGTAAATAATAATAATAATAATTGCCAGTTACTATTGGTCTGATCATAACCCTTACTTGAAGAAGGTTACACCCAATAACCACAACAGTCAAATTTTTGGGCTCGTTTAGTTAGAGGAAGAATTATTAGACCATTCTTCATGAGAGGTGATCGTTATTTGCAACTTCTTCAAGAGCAGAATTCAGTTCCAGAGTTAGTTAGTTAGTTAGTTTATTTCCAAATCATAGAAATCACTTAGAACGTTCAGATGAAATTTGGTTCCAGCAAGATGGGACTCCTCCTAATTTCGACGGTAGAATGAGGCAGTACCTAAACACAATTTCCGCAATTTCCGCAGTGGGTGGGTCAAAGAGAACATAATGAGTAACCGTCACGGTCACCGGATTTATTCCCCTTTGAAATCAGTAGTTCATAAAGACCTACCACATTCGCTAAAAGAATTGAAAGGCAAAATATGAATTGCTGGTCAAGAAAAAACACCTAAAATTTATCAAAGTTTGTTAGGATTATTTGTTGATAGACTGGGATATTGTCAAGCAGCTGGAGGCTTTAATTTCGAACATATAGAATAGAATAATTTATTAACCTTCATTACATAAAAAGATACACAAGGCAAGTCGTACAATAAATATACAGGGTGTTTTTTTAAAATTGCAAAAAAATTCAGAGGCTTGGACGAAATGAAGCAAAAAAGTTCCTATGAACATATGTCCAATGGCGTACCGTTTTAGTAATATTCAGTTCAAAGCCCGCATGAACGCCAATGGCGAATGTAAAAGTTTAAATTGTGTATCGGAAAATGGCTTTGGATGCATAGAAACTGCGTACCAATTTTCAGAAAAATATCTACAGGGGTATTAAATGTATTGCAAAAAATAAGTTTTTTTCTTATAACTTTATCACCCTGTAGTTCAAAATCTAAGAGGCGTAGGATATATTCATAGGAACTTCTTTGCTTCATTTCGCCCAAGGGACACGCCTCTGAATTTTTTCGCATTATTAAAAAAAACACCCTGTATAAATGTAAAATTTAACAATAATAATAATAATATTTTTTTTTATTTTTGCAGACCTGTATCACACAGTTTTATTGATAAATTCCGTAATAGAGTAAAAAGAGCTTTTTTGTAGGTATATTTTAACTTTTTTTTAAAAGATTCGTATGTTGCTTGTGATTTTAGTTTTTTATATAAAGGAGACCTTCTGAAAGTCTTAAATTGTCATTCCTTGTGTAATGAGAATGAATTTGAGATTGTTTAATAAATTCAGAGAGATACTTCCTTGTAAACGTAGTACATTTGAAAATATATATACACGGAAAGGTTAAAATTGATTTCGTTTTAAAAATGTTTTTGCAATTTTCCATATTTTTTAGAATAAATATTAAATGAAGTATTCTTTTTTGGGACACAAACACCCTATTACTCTCTGTGGCTTTTCCCCATGACAAAACATTATAAGATAAATGAGAATAAGCGAATGCATAATAAAGATCAAGCAATTCTTTTTCATCCAAATAGTCTATCATCTGAAATATTGCATAAAAAGTTTTATTCAGTTGTCCACTTTACATAGTCTATATGATGTTCAAAGCTCATGTTTGAGTCCAACCATGTACCCAATAGTTTGGCATGCGTATCAAATTTGAACGGAAGCTCTTTACTTATTGACTCTGGTAAAAATTTCTTTGTATGGAAGTTTAAACATACCGTTTTGTCTTCATTAAGAATTAAAGAGTTTTTGTGGCACCATTGTTTCATTTGACTGAATACAGATAAGGCATTCTCTTGAAGCTCCTCCGGAATCCTGCCTGTGACCGTTATTGTAGTATCATCTGCAAACATTATGGTCTTACCTCCATGTATATGTGTGGGCAAGTCATTTACAAAAAGCAAGAATATTAACGGTCCCAAAACAGAACTCTGAGGAACCCCGAGAGATACAGGGTACATTTTTGAAATTTCAGAATTTATTTTAACTAACAATTTACGGTTTCCTAAGTAGGACTCCATCCAGTCTAGCAGTTTCTCACGAATTCCCAATGTAGTTAGCTTATTTAAAATGAATTCTTTCTTTAATAGTCCAAGAGCTAGTAACACACATTCCGCATTAAGTGTTTGATGCACTTTGAAATTTTGTAATTTGAAATTATTTGGATGGAAAAGCAGATATACCTGTGTTGGCTAGACCCATCCCGGGACACCAGGTACTGCGCCTAATAGAAAGGGGTCGTAAAATATGACCCAAAAAAAGTTTTTGATTCAGAGGCCAACAAACAACAATTGAAAGTTTAGGTAATTCTAAAAATACTAGTAATTTAGGCAGACACTTTTGAGAGGGTTTATAAATAATAAATCAACCCCAAAGTTGATTTTTTTAAATATGATTTGAAGTGTTTGATTCACGCTGAAATTTTAATAGCGTCTTAATTAAACTCAAAAAAAATAAATTCCAAAAAGGCAGACACTTTTTCCGGGGTTTAATTGCCGGCCAACATAAAAATGAATGAACCTCGTTATCCGCCACTATACATTGAATAAGTATATACTTTTTAAAAACTAAACATTTTAAATTACCAAGACTGTGAAATAATAAAACAATAATATTCTTCCTTTTATTTAGGAAAAAAAAACAAAAAAAAAACTAAAAGTTTCGGGGCTCAAACCACCAACTTGCTATCCACACTATCCAAATTTTGATAATAAAAAAGATGTATCAAAAAAAAATTAATATTCGAAAAAAATATAAATATAGAGTGATTTATTTAAAATTTCATCCGATGACGTCATATCTTGATAAATATGACAGATGATGAAAATCCCCAAGCGTCAATAGTGCATAAAATACACAAAAAAAACTTTATTCGGATTAATTTTAAATAATATTTTATTTGGCATTTTCTATACCCAATCGCATTTTTTCTCGAGATTTTGATGCATGGTTTTGTTAGACACATTAAAATTTTTCTATTCATAATTGGCTCTAAAAACCTTGGTCATTACAAAACTAAAATAGATAGGTCTAATTGATTTTCATACTTCTTCAAATAAAATAAGCCTATTTTCAACTTAATTCCTTTAAAAACAAAAATATTTTGTAACCTAATTATCATTAGTAGCTCTAAGTTACATAGTTTAAGACACTAGAAAATTACAGGTAAAACTCAGGAACTGTAACAGAGGGACGTCTTGAAGTAATTACGAATGAAACAGCTAACTTTATGACACGCCTATAATTTTTGTTAACCCACTTTTCAGAAATAATGGATAGTTTTCTGTTCTTGTGACGTCACAAGTAATATATACTATGATAAATAAAATAATATGGAAGGAAAAAAAATAAATTATAGAAATTAATTGGTGGTAAACATACAGGGTTTTCCATTTAAAAAAATAAAAAAATCGTAACCTCGCGTTTTGACATATCCTACATACAATATAGCAAATCAATAAAGTATATTTAAATTGTTTGACGATTTGAAAACAATCAAATATATTATGCGTAACTATCTACAGGGTATTTCATTTATAAAATTATACATTACAGACTACCCTGTATATTTAAGAATAATTGTAAAATCATACAACTTTTATATTAATAATTTCTTTTTATTTCCAATAATAAAACAACTATCGATAAATTATTACGCTCTGATAGGACTCTCTGTATTTGTATATAGGCTAACTTATTGGTATTGTTGAATAGGTTTTATAAAGAATTGTATGCTTAAATAATGTGCAGTGTTTGATTTGAAAAAATTGAGTAAATTCAACATAAAATTTTCCATATTTAAAATCACTCTGTATAAAATAAACCACCACTAATGGATAGCTTGATATCTTAAAAGTTTATATTTTAAAAAATTTTGAAATCTTTACTAATGAATTTGAGGTCTACATCATTCTCTAATTTTACTAAAAATGAATTGCTTGGCAAACTTATAATATATTTTTAAACATTCTAGGCTTAAATACAATATTTTTATTTGCCAGCCAAAAACGTAATACGCTGTATATCCAACAATATTTTTAAAATATATCTTTTTTAAATCCATATAACTTTTACTTGAAACTTGTTTGCGTGTCTTTAATTGAAAACTCGAGCAATTACGCATTAATGGGTATAAGAATATTGAAACAAAATTTAACCACATTATTCATTCAACTGAAAAAAATTTCTAAAGTGATTTTCAATGAGTTTGTATCGCTCACTTCTTTTTCTTATATTCTTTCTTTAGTGAATAATATTTCTATTTCGCAATAATAAAATTATAATCTCCTTATAATTGACTTCATCATGATTCAGCCCCTGAAGTTCTAAAATTAAGACTTTTGTTAATTTTGTTTACCGCAATGCTCATTTTACATACAGGTGAGAAAAATGCGGAAAAACTCCACCCATAATCATAAAAAATAAATAAATGATTCATTACAATACTGAATAAATATAATTATAGATAATATTTCATTCTTAAATATGATTTACTTTTGTTTTTGAAGTTAAAAAATCAGATTTGTTGGAATGTTTCATTAATTTGTGGAATTGTCGAAGATTTCCGAAGTCAAAACTGATCGAGTTATACGAGTAGAATCATTTTTAATAATTCGATCGATTATCTTTAATTAGTTCAGCATGTTTCACTATAGTATTGGAATTGCTACTATTAATTAAGAGGTGTCCACTAACACTACCCAGATAGTTATTGTTACCATATTCTTTATTTTGTTCCTTAATTAATCAGATTTTAAACATTGTTTAAGAGATATTTAATGAAAAATTATAAAACCATGTTAACACGTGTTTTACGAAGGGTGATAATCATTTAAAAACAATCATTTTTAAGTTATTTCGTTTAAATTCTAACGGCATAGTTTTTTTCAAAGCTGCTCATTATAATCAGTTTATACAATGTTTATTACCCATTGTGACATTCGTAAACCTTTATAAACAAGTTTCAATTCAACTGTTTTCTAAGTAGTACTGTTATCACTTATACGTTAGGATTATGCAGTAGTAGGACTAGTAACTAAGAGTAAGACTGAGAAAGTTTTATTAACTTCTGGGAATAGCAAAATGAATAACTAAATTCGCTATAAAAAGCATCCATGCAGGTACTTCGGGAGAAGAAAAAAATATCCACTTGGTGTACAACCTATGCAAAGAATAATTTTGACTTAAAACCCAAAATGACATTAAATTCGAAATTACGAGTATAAAGTCAAAATTTCGAAATTAAAGTCAAAAGCTCTAAGTTTAACGTCAAAAATTCAAGTTTTAAATCAAAATTTCGAATTTAAAGTCGAAATTCCGAGTTCAAAAAAGAAATTTTAGTTTAAAGCCGTAATTTCAACTTTAACCCTTTTCTTGGCGTCGTATCTCTCAAGATACCAATTTTCCCGATTTTTGTAAGTAGTAAATCGTTAAATTTGGGGGTGATGTTGGCAAACCGTATGTACCACACCCTGTATTAACGGCCGTTTAGGTTTAAAGTCAATTATTTCCATTTTAGTCGAGATATGTCATTTTAAACATTTTGAGAAATGGTGGGCACACCTGTTTATAAAATTTTATTTGTTTTGGAAATTAGGCGCGATAATAAGATATGAGTACGCATACACATAGAAATATATCATTACTATTGTACTACATGCAAACCTCAGTAAAGTACTAACAAAAAAATTAGAGACTGTCTAAGTACGCTGCCAAGTACATAGTAAATTAAATGTGTATCTGGTGGGACACACTACAAAGTACTCGGTAAAAAATCACGCCCGTGGAATTCAATGGCGTACACCATATTAATATTTTTATTTGTAGGCCAACCGTACAACATTTTTGTTATACCCGGCTGCATAAACTTTCTGTGATTTAAATTTTTTTTATAGAATTGGAAATTATGTTTGATTTTTAGTAAATGAACTCAGTAATTCTATTTATTTTGATTATTATTCTGCAATAAATTTATATCATATGAATGAATGCTACGTTTTTTTTTTTGTTTATTCGTATTGTAGTTTTAGTTTTGTTTCAACTTTCTGTATTTTTAACTTTTTTTACAAAATTACAAGTTTTGTTTGATTTTTATAAATAAATATGAGTTTTCCTACCTATTTGAATAATTTTAAGTTAATTTTTTGAAAGCGAATTACGAAAATATGGTTAACTTTATTGCTTCTATTATTTGTGGTCAAAACCAGTGGCGGCTCGTGACCAAAAAATTGGGGGTTCACAAGGAGAGAATTTAGGTCTCAGTACAGATTTAGGTAAAAAGCTTTCAGTGTTTTGGAAAGGTGTATTATAAAAACTGAAAGTTTTTTACTTAAATCTGTACTGAGATCTATATTGTGTTATTGTAAACCCCCAATTTTTTGCTCACGAGCCGCCACTGGTCAAAACCAAAATATATACGTTACCAGTATCTATATCCACAGTTCTGTATTATAAAACAACATGCAAAAAGAGTCATTATTGACTTTCCTGCTAAAGAAGGTTTAGAATTATATGCCCGATAAACTGCCTAACGTTCCGCCTATGTCATTAGTGTACAATTTAACCAGAGAGAACACTAAACTTATGTATCCTTAACCAGGCGTAGTATCTCGTAGGATACGAAACAGTATTGCCGCCAAGCTGGCAGCTATCTGACAATATACATAAAATAGGGGTCGGTAAAATGAAAACTAAGCAAAAAAAATTGTTTTTCTCTTTTTACGTTATTTTGTTCAAATATACACCAAATATGTAAAAAAAAAAATGTTTTTTCTCCAGTAGATCTGTTCTTGTCAAAAATAGGGTTAAAGACAAAATTTAAAAAACATATATACGGCCCTTCTACGCCTTCGTATTTATTCCAGAATATCCTTCATTATTTTCTAAATATAATTAACTCACCTTTAGAGCCAGTTCCACCTAATATGAGCCCTCCTAAGTAGTCGTTACTCTTGCCGTAATCCTTGTCGTAAACGGTTATATAGAGGCTTTGAGTACTCAACTCGGTTGGTCTGGTTTCAAACGCAAATTCCTCGTTAAACACCGGATTAAGGTTCTTCCATTTTATCGACGTTTTGTGTTTTTTATGATTCGGATCGGGTTTCAACTGCCTAACAAAAGAACAAGCAAATATTTTTAGAGTTTTTGTAAGACTGACATGTTGGTTTAGAAGCTACAACCAGCTACAAAGGGTATAATACAAAACTGAAATGGTTCAATCTGAAATTATCTGCTATTAGTGAAGTAAAATAGAGTCTGAATTCTGCCCACAGGTTGTGTACAAAGCGTTTCAAAAGTATCGCTAGTTTTTTTTATAAGGTATGGAATTCCAAAAAACAAACAAATTTTTCAAGTAACTTTTTACATACCTAGTCAATAATTAGAGAGATATATGACTCTTTTAAGATATCGTTTTTAAATTAGCATAGTTACTGGCTTAGCAAATACAACTGAGGGTTTGTACAATGTAGATCCCAGTCATTGACACGGATTTTAATCAGTCAACTGAATGATTTTTGTTTAATGTATTTTTGTGTTTTAGAATTATTTTAAATGATTATTATTATTATTATAGACGAAAGAATGTAGTCCAAAATACATGCACCTAATTGAGCTTCTATAGACCTGTAGTACAAACATTTTTTTTACAATGAAGAAAAATAACAGTATTTATGAAATATGTTTTTTTTTACTTTAAAGGTAAAAAAGTAAACCTTAACATGGATCTGTGATGTTGAATAATGGTAAAGGGTACAAGTAATTTGGATGTGTAGAAAAAAGATTTGGCAATTAGGTTGTATTTACCATTCTCCAAATGCGAGTCATGCCGAATTTTGCGCATATTTTGATAGAATTTTAGAACAAACTGATTTTAGTCAAGATTCATGTATTTCTTGAGGACTTTATTATTCGCTGGGATATATATACAAAGAAATTTAAAAAATCATATATACTATAAGTTTTTAAACAGTTTGTTACATTTTACACACGAGTAACACAATATAGTGCAAGTAGATACAATTGATTTAGTTTTTTCTAATAACTATGATGTTGAAGTGTATAAATTAAATAATAAAATTAATGACCACGAGACATTAACATTATATAACCTGAATATGAAATTATTCAAAATTACTATCAATTTAAAAAAATTGACTACAATAATTTGAGTATAAAATTTATTTAAAAGGAATGGCTCTATAACTCTGTTGACGTAAACGAACTCTTCACACATTTTATGTCAAACATTAAAGAAACCCTTGATAGAGAATATCCTCAGCAAACCAGAAAAGTTAAAAAATCAAAAGAATGGTTTAGTGAAATCGCCAAAAATGCTATATTTGAGCGCAAATGTGCTTATAACCGTTTTATAATCTCTAAATCTGAAACTGACTTATTTTGAAAATAAAATCGATAATGTTAAAAATAACTTACAATTATTATGGAGAATATTAAAATCTTTAATAAACACAAAACCAACCAATCAACTCACAACTATTTTTAAAAATATTGTTGAAATTTATGATATTGAAAATTAATTTAATAACCATTTTATTTCAAGTATTGAACAAATTGTGAACAACATAGTAAATTGTTTAGTGAAATAGCCAAAAGTGCTTTATTTGAGCGCAACTGTGCTTATAACTGTTTTATAATCTCCAAATCTGAAACTGATTGGTTGTTTCATGCTCAAAAAATAGATAATGTTAATTTAATTCGCAATCTTAAATAAACTTATTTTGAAAATAAAATTGATGATGTTAAAAATAACAATTATTATGGACAATATTAAAATCTTTAATGATCACAATACCAACCAATCAAATCACGACTATTTTTAAAAATATTGTTGAAATTTATGATAATATAGAAAATGAATTTAATGACTATTTTATTTCAAATGGTGAATTTGTTTTGGATGAAGTTTCGTATTTTGAAAATCGAGCAGTGAACCCAAATAATGAACTTAAAACCTTTAAAAAACTATCATCTTTAATCAGCACAATAAATTTTCAGAAGACGAGATAAATTTTGAATTAATAAAAAATCATTTTAATGTGATTGGTTACCTTCTGTTACATTGTATGAATACATCGTTAGAGTTTGGAGAATTTCCTGATAATTTAAAAACCTCAGTTGTAATTCCAGTACCAAAAATATCCAGCACTAAAAATATTGAGGAGTATAGGCCTATAAACACTCTGCCTTGTTAAAAAAAAAATTAAGTTGTCAGTCTATTAACTAAACAATTCACAACTTATATTGATACTCAAAACTTTCTTAATCAAAACCAGTCAGGTTTTCGAAGCGGTTTTTCATGTGAAACGGCATTACAAAAAGTAACGAATAATTTCAAATATTCTATTGATCGTAGCGGTTTTCTTGGATTTGAGATTATAAATATAAATATTTTATTAAAAAAGGTTAAGAATTACTTTGGAGTAAACGAATCCGCATATAAATGGTTCAAAACATATTTAGAATATAGATGCCTATCAAAAAACTAAAATTAATAATAAATTATCACGAACAAAAATTGTTTTAGCTGGAGTGCCACAAGGTAGCGTGTTGGGTGCTCTGCTTTTCATATACTTTATTAACGATATTTTAAAATTGAATCAGGGTGAATGTAAAGTACATCTATATAATTGAAATTATTTTTAAACGTTTGCCTTCACAGTCCAAGGCCCACCCTGTATACAAACTAAAGTATCTATTTTTTCTTCTTATAAACAATTTTGTGTGTATCTGTGGAGGGTGGGTTGGTTAAACAATTTTTTTATATTGTGTAGTAAATAAGCCGAATTATTTAAATGATAACTACTAATTTAACAACATATAAGAAAAACACTTACAATTTAACAAATGGATCAGATAAACCATTATTATCCATTGGCAGCAAATTAACACATCTTACTACGGAAACTACAAGAGCCCTTTTCTTCGTATTGTAACACAGACCCAAAAGGATTTGGCCCCTGGACCACAAATCGTCGAACCACTCTGTCAACTCTGTCGTTGGTACTGGACCTTTCTGTTCAGCTCGTAAGTTTTCCAGTGGTACAGTCAACTGCAAAAATCCAATAATTAAAATTATTTCGGTTAAAAGCTAGTCAATTCAAATAAAATACATAAATGAGTTACAAGTTATTTTTTTATTTAATACAATTAATAACAGAGACAATTAGTAAATAATTATGGTACAAGAAGATCTTGAAGCACCATCGGTCGCCATTTTTTTTGGTGCCACTTAAGCCGTAGTGTCAGTCGTATGTATTTAACATCTGGTGCCAAACGGTGGCATATTGGAGTTCAGAGTAAGGCATCATCAGGAAAAGAGGCACTTTGGCATATCCCTTCCACTTTTTTCAAGCCACGCCCATACTTCATAATGCTGTTTTTTTTGTTTGAATTTGACCAATAATAGCTGATATATAGACTAAGGTAATTTGGCTACTGCGCATGCTTTTTCTTTTCAACGTTAATATGTGCGTATGCTCATACACCCTTCTAATACTCCTGTTGGTTTGTACGCCCTTCTAATATGACGCCCTCGATATAAATAGTAATTTTTTTGGTTTAGATAACATATTTTTGCGTTTGCTACAGTAGAAATTTATTTAATTATTTAAAATTTTAAATACTAAAAGATATATACGAAAAAAAACATTATTAATTCCAGTACTCCAGCTCAATCTGGCTTTAGAAGGCACGGTTAAAGTTCTTAAACATAAGTTAGATCGAAGTACAATAATATTTAAATTTAGTAATTTGTATCTGCGCACAAAAAATCTCAAAACCAATCCTGAAGCACCTTTGAATTTCTTCGGGCCATTTGGAAATCCACTTTAGAGATACGTGGACACTTATTTTCAAAACGATTTTACGTGACGTAAATGCAACGAACGCATTGAGTCATAATTTTCATTCTTATACAAGGTGATCTTCTCATAAAACACTCTCGGGTCCTCATACCCTCATTATAATTTTTTATATTTTATACAGGGTGATCTTCTCATAAGACACCCTTATTATATTTTTTTTATTCTCATCGTCGATTCCAAATCTTAACTACCACAACATAAAAAGACTACTATTGTTACTATCGCTGTTTTATCTGTTTATAATAGTAACTCTATTCATTTTCGATACTGTAATATAAACTACCTACTTTAAAGTTAAAATATTCCAAAATTAAAAAAAGAGTACATCGTATTTATTATTAAAATTTAACTTATTTTTAAAACCCTCGTATGTATCTAAACCCAGCTGCTCATCTAAATAGCATCACTCAACAACGTAACCAAATTCAACCAGGCGACCATTGCTTGACTGTAAATTAATATCACACATTCTATATTCTTTTTGTCATTTTACTAACTCGTTTTAGTGTAATTATTTTTTTTTAAATACTACAATATATTTAAAATAAAGAAAAGATTTGATGTTATCAAATTTTAATTCGTTTTTATGCTGTAAAAGCATAAACGAAATATATCTTTTTGATTCATCTATGGAAGCAGGAATGAACTAACTATTGATTATTTTCGGAAAGTGAGGACGCCATTTTTAGTCCAAAATTTTTTTAATAATGGATTACACATAAGATGCAACCCAAATTTCATGTATAACTATTTCGGAGGTCTGAGCCTTTTCGTATTTTCCGATTGAACGATTTGATAGGAAAATGTTTAACTTAGGTGGTTCAAGGTTTCATTTTCAGAAAATTTATTGAATTTGTAGTTTATTCTTACAATGAAAAAGGTCTAAAAATAGGCCATTTTCTACCACACGTTTTTAATTAAAAAGAATGAATTTAAAAAAAAATCAATGCTTGAACCACCTAAGTTGGACCTTTATCTACAATTATAAAAAATAGTACGATATACGGTATAATTACGGAAATAGTTACAATTAACTTCTGGTCTGCAGACGCCATTCTAATGCACAAGGATACCGTTGTATGAAGATTATATAGTAGGGTAACCTTATGGACTTATCATTGGAGGACGATGGATATAGAATGTAAATGGCGACACTGTACTTATATCCAAGTCAGGTCTTTAGGTCATGTCTGTGCTTGAGTATGAATTATAATTTAAAATCTTCTTTTTCATTTATACTTGTCTTCGGTAATGTATTTGTATAGTTAATATTTACTATTGCAAATTATTACAAAAGGGTATTTGAAGGTCACATAAAATACCAAAAAAATCAATATAATAAAATAAACCAGTTTTTGTTTGAAAAATATTGAATGATTTAAGATTGGATGGAATTTTACTATAATAGGGGAACATTTTTTTTTCTATATTGTGGTTTGATTTTGGATTGATCGCTGATGGTTAATTAAAACTTGAATTTTACGCTGTTTATTTTTATTCACTTTTATGGTATAATGGTATCAAATTAAGAATAGGACATGAACAACTGAAGATTATTGTTCAAAATGAGTCGAATAGACAAAAATAAAAAATGCTTGGATAAAATATTCTGAAATACAGGATGTTAAGTTGAAAATTAAAAAATTAATAATGGGTAAATATAAAGGTGTAGTTATAATTTTTTTATTCAATATAATTTTACTAAAATCGGCACTGACAAAATTTAACTAACAGTTTTTTTTGCTATTAGGTAAACTTATAATACCAAACACTTTTAGTGAAATTATACTAAGTAATAAAAACATTTAAGCCACTAATTTTCAGTTTTCAACTTTTATCACCATTTGAAAACGAATCGAGTACCAATTTATGATAGCACAGTAGCACATTTAGGAGTATTATTTTCGAAAGGCAAAATTACAAATTTTTCATTTATTTTTTTGTACATGGAAATACTTTCCTGCATGCCCTACAGTGATGAAGCGCTCAACGAAGGCGTCTTAAAAAATAAATTATAGAAAATGCGAATGTTACATATTTGATTAGATAATTAACATTGACATAAACCTTCATTGCTCAGGACGTTAAGTGCTCAACTTTGGATTTCATAAAGTTCAGTTACCAACTACTACTATTTTTTCTGAACTGTTATCAAAATACTATAAAATTTAGCAGAAACATTGCATTAATTGTATTTTTTATATTTTTTCCAAAATAAAAAAGAATGTTTTTATCTGTAATTGAATCCGGGTTGGGAAATCCAAACTTGAACGCTTAACGACTTAAGTCTTGAAGGCACTTATATCAAGTTAATTATCTAATCAAATATATGACGTGGCTTTTAAAAATACCATCATTGTGCGCTCCACTGCTGGTGTGTTCATCTTCTACAAGAGAAAAAGAAGGAAACATTTGTAAAGTTGTCTTGCACAAATGTGTACCAAAAATGGGCAACTGGCTCTCATATGCCTTTTTGGTTTAATCGTCTCATTATTTGAACACTAAACGCCAGCATGAGAAATATATGTTAAAGTTAGTTTTAAGAACTTTTAACATTCAAATAAACAAAAACAATTTATAAATCTATTATTAAAATCCGCGTTGGAACAAAACATGTAAAATTGTTGAATTTGAAAGATATTTTTAAAAAGGGAAAGGACTTCGGTCGAGAGCCTATTGGACAGAATATTCAGTTCAATCAATGACAATTATTTATATTACTATTCTTAAATATTTTGATGTTTAATTTACTTGTAAATTTATGTGTGAATATATTTATAAATTACACTGGTCACCAGTGATTTTGTGGACGGGGGTTTAAGAGCGTTTTTGGGCGATCGTTTTACCGATTTCAAATCGCTTCTCCAGCCTATAAATCTTCAATTTAAAAAGAATAAAATAAAGTAGTTCTGTCTAAAACTAAAATAAATTTGCTATCTCGATTATTTCCAAACCTTTCCTTAACGCCTTAGTTATAAGTTTCATATTACATTTTTTTTATTTGCTATTTCTGTGGAATCATTAATTTTCACTTGCGTTCTGGTTCTTCTAAAAAAGCGAAATGTTACTCACGTTTTGCTTGATTGGCTTTAATTTTTTAGATAGTCAACCAGTCGAAATAAAAAAAATTCAAAAAATAATAAGACATATTATTTAATCAGTTTTGTCTGAGCTAACTAAAAGGCTGTATTCTATAAACAATGAAAAATAGTGATTGTTTTTTGAACTACTTAAAACATTTTCACTCAAACTGCGTGCGTGATTCAATTTAAAAATACTTTCCAGAATAAAACCACGTGTTACAGTTTTGACTTTATTACTAAACAGCCCAGTCATATACAAAAACATTAATCCAAAATCTAAATTAAAAGTACCTAATAATAAATTGCCTATCTACTAGGGTCGGTAACCAAATGTATAAACAGAATGGGCGGATTTTGTTCATACTTAACATTACACTCTGCACTGACACTTAACCTGGATTAAATATAACTATAAATACAAATATTTACAAACAAATATACTTTTCCAAACAGTGATAATTTATAAAAAAAAATGTTTTTTATAAGATTTTCTTTTATGTTCAAAGTTAGGACTTTATAATTATTGTGTCGTTCGTAGAATTCTGTACTAAATAAGAGCACTGATTTTGGAAATAAATTTTCACCATTTTGGCAAGTTGTTGAACCTTGTAACATTGCATAATGAAATATAAAGACTAACTGAATATGTCTGCCACAGATAGACCACTTGTAGGTCTATCGATTTCGTCTTGAGCTATTCCTAAAGAGCGGAGCTATTGAAAACTTCCTTTCAACGTGATTTATTTCAACACTCAGAGCCAGCCGAGAGAACATTTTTTCTTATATTCATGGTCAACAGCCAAGATACATTTGGAAGTCGCTAATATATCCCTGTGACTATTTTTTTTAATTTGTTTTCCAGTGTTGATTGTTGATTGATTTTTCCCTGATTAGTGATTTTCTTGTTCCTTAACTCAATACCTTGCAAACTGTTGATAGCTTTAGTAAAATTTTGTAGCAAAGCTTGTTCAAATTTTGAAAACTATAAAAATATTCAGCTATTTTTATGGTTATAAACTTTTCCAACACTTAGTCCAATTAGAGGTACTTAGATTACATGCAACATTTTCAGAAGCTTATTCCTTTTTTGTATTCTACTTGGAACTTTTCAATTTATTTAAAACATTGGACATTGTTATCAGTTGTTATTGTTTATATATTTTGACATAACCGCACATAACCAAAATATTGACCAAAGTCCTTAACCACTTTTTATCACCTTAATCCAAAAATTATATTTGTACGGTTTTGTCAACTGGAATAAATTTTCATTATTATGTTTAATTTTTCATATCTTTTATTATGAATTGTTATTTTTAAATAAATAAAGACGTTTTTAACTATAATAGGTAGGTGATAGAGGCCATGTGCCTGAACGAAAAGAAGACGTAGATGGCGTATCTGCATAGCATTAAAAATTGACTACTTCATTAAATCGTCACTAGATGCCGCTCGAGATTGCGTCCAACACTTTTTACTGTTGCATTATCCTACTATATAATCTTCATACAACGAGGATACTCTGTCCATAAGATTAATAAATAGTCATAAAATGTATATTCTTCTTTTTTATAATGTAAAGCCAAGATTTTAGGTAGGTAAATAGGTAAGTAGTTAGTAACAATTATTAACATGTAGGTTTACTGGATACATGTCTACTTATTTATATGTAATACACATACAAATGGGTATTGGCATTAAACCTGCTGAATGAATGAAAAAATAACGAAAACTATAGTGATGAGTGATTCCTTGACTAGAACTTAATAATCGGAAGGTAGCTAGTTCGAATTTTCATCACCAGTTTTTTTATAATTAGTGATTAATTAGAAATTTGAAATTAATGGTCTGTTCCAGGTAGGAGTCCTCGTTCGACCATCGACTGCTGGATTCTAATTAATAGTTTAGTTGGTGTACGGAACACAATGCCAATAACCGCAGTCCTTGATGGCCTAGCGAGGGAATTAAACTGTAATTGGTCAGATGGATTCGTGTGTGCGCATCAAAATTTACTACTAATCTCCAAAGACAATTTAACACGATTTTCTATATTTTAATTATGGATGAAGCGATCTAGCTGGTAGAGGAAAAGGTGAAAGTGTAGGAGAGAGGGCATCATTTTCTAAGCATCATTTTTTGAAATAAAAATTTCTTTTGGCGTGCCCCCACTTCTCAATCCATTGAACCCGTTCATCTCAGCCTCCCGTAAACCCATTATCCTACCTCATTCTTTACTTAATTGGTAATACACGGCACGTCTTCTTATGAGAGACATTGCTAAGCAATGTTTTAAATACCATAAAAGCAATAAAACTAAATTCAACAAAAAAAAAATAAACACTTTTTTGGTTAAATTTAAAAAATACTCTGGAATTTGAAGATAAATTAGGGCAAGAATGTTATCGTTTACTACAATTCAAGTTAACAATAAATTGACAAAAAATTATAAATTTATCTCAACGTATACAGTGTGTTGCAATGTCAATGTCACACAGTTGCTAATACTATTATTGATTTGATTGAAATAAATTATTTGACCAATTCTAAAATCATATAGTTCATTTAGTTGAATAAGAATATGTGTATGTGGAACCGTAATTTTCGCCCATAATCTTTTACTCCATATAGTTTTCCATATCAGTTTTAAGCTGGAATAAAAACAACACTATTGGTCTCTTTCATCTTCTTTCATCTGCTTTAAACATTTTGTAAATAATGTTTGCAGAAACAGATATTTTGTATTCACATGAAAATAAAATAGAGTACCTATCCGTGTAATAGTGCATTTAAAAATATTACTGTAGTAATAGGTACCTTAATTGATTTAAATTAACTTACCTCAAAATGATCTTCACGACAAGATCGATTGCATCTACTCGAAAGAATTTTGTTTATTTTATTGTCCCTCTTCATTGCATTATACTGTACTTTCTCTCCTTTTAGCACACTAATCAATACTTTATTTGGTATAGTTATTATAATTGAAAAGAGACGGCCTCACTCAGCACCGAGTTTCTGGTGGTTATCTTCTGGGTTTGGTTACCTGCCGCGCTGATCCTTCTTACAGCGAGGCTACTGTTATTTTTACTGATTATAGTGTACCTGACGACGTTCTATATACCTATTTGTATTACTTAAATTCATTTTTAAATTTATTTGTGTCCTTTCCATGTAAGTTTTTGATCGAGAGTTAGACATAGATATATTTCACTACATGTAATAAAACTGTGAGTGTTTTAAGGCCATGTGTGTCGGTTCGTGAAGGTAATGAGTGCGGATTTTGTATGTTTTCTATTTATGGATATTATTGTAGTATCATCGGCGAATGTGCCAATCGTGGTCAAATTTGTGATAGGAATGTCAGAGGTAAATATTAAATAGATAAGGGGAACTAGGACACTTCGTTAAAATACGACGGATTGTATTGGATAAAAGTTAAAGATTTCAGTGATAAATTTTACTTGAAAATATCAGTTAGGTATGATTTTAGGATCATGTAGTGAGAAGGGGAAAGATGATTTTAGTTTACATAGAATGGGTAAACGATTTTATTGCTCAAATTGTTTCATATACGATCTATGCCTATGGGGAACATGAGCTCAGCAAAAATTATTTTAGGTAATGGACCGATGTGAAAATTTCTGGATGCCAAATTAATTACGTTAGAAGGATATTACTGGTTTTTCAAAATTTCGTCATCAGTGCTATCGGAATGGTGTTAAAATAATGTAATTTAAGAAAAAAAAAATTAATTTGGGAATGTCATGGGATTTTAATTTTGATTATTGTTTGTGTTGATTATCGGATGGGGATTTTAAAGTCAGAAGGGTTTGGAAGATTGTTATAGCTCTTGGATTTTCTTTGTATGTGAATTAATGCAATTTTTTGAAAGGAAAAATATAATCTCCAATTCTTCTATGAGACTAAAAAATGTATCCCTACATACCCAAAGTAAAAGCAAGTCAAAGAAAAATTGAAAAAGCTGAGGAATAAAGAAAATAAAAATGAGTCCATCGGTCTGGAAACGAAACTGGAACCTCCGACTTTAGCCGTTGGCGCCTCTAGTAATTGTACCACCGAGACACATAGCTACGACAGTCGAAAATATTAGATTTGAAGTTATTAGATTCAGACTCTCGGCGGCACACACACATTCTGTTCCTCATCTCACAACTCTCTAAATTCTCCTTAAAGCCACCCTTGCAAAATCGTATAAAAGGACGTCAATCCCAGCTTGAACTAGAATAAATTCTAAGATCCATCATTTGACGTAAGTTGGAATTTATTAAAGTTCATAAATAAAAAAATATATGTATAGGCCCTAAGACTAATTGAGACGAGCTCAGAGAAATGATTTTTAACTTTGGTTAATTGTTCTATAGAAAAGTAGGTTACTTATTCTGGAATCAAGTAGAAATATTTTCTTAAATAGATGTAGGAAATTAATTTCCATGCTCATGGGATATACAATTTGATAATTCTACAGGATTTTGAAGAAGCGTTTGCCAAAGCGGCGTGTTTTGTAGTATTAGAAAATCTTTAAATCTGGGTTTATTTCGTTAATTTAGTAGTTATTCCGAATTTAATGATGAAAGACTTGCATTTTTAACAAATTATTACATGACCGCATTTTTTTATTTTACTGAATAATTAGCCACAATTTTGGCAATATTACCAGACCCATTCTCTAAAATTTAGATAAAAATATAAAACGGCCTGGAACCATACAACAAACTGCAAATCAAAACCAAAATTTGAAGAATATAAATATTAAATATTTTATTGGGCAAAAAATTAATTCAAATAATATAGGAACATTATCATAATATTGTTGCAAATCTATACAAATTCAAAATTTTTTGAGTATTTGATTGTGTGCTTATTTTACTTACTTTTACTAGTTTATTTTGTTTTGTTACATATATTTTTTTAATTTCTTTATTTATTTTGTTTTTCTTCATTTATTTCTTATTGTTCAATTTTTTAATAATAATTTAAATATTATTTATTAACTGAGTTGCAGGGATGTCACCCTGTAAAGTAAATCTCATACAGAGAATAACAGTGCAAGTTAAAAGTTAGGATTACATTCAATTAAAGGGAAACTATAGATTTTTGGAATAATTTCCAAAAAAGTAAATTTTGTTTTAAATTTCTCTTTTCTGATACACTATTCAAATATACAGGGTGATGCGTATAAATAATATTCTTCTTTATCTTTATAACGTATAGTAACAAAATTATTAGATTATTAGGTTAGTAATATTACAGAGGTCAGAATATGAAATAAAAATGGTAGTTGCTATTTAAAATAAATACCGATGATGTCACTACATTCACACGCATCACCCTGTATATTTAAACATTATGTCAAAAAGTGCGTAATTTAAAAAACAATTTGACCTATTTGACTCGCATAGTAAACAGTTCATATTTTACATCTACGTGCAGCTTTTCCAGTGAACATTTCTAAAATGACCTGAAAAAAGTCTTGTAGTGGTGATGCTCGAAAATATCTTCATCTTCTTCAAGATCTGCGTCTTCTTCATTGTTTTCTTCGCGTTGTTTTTCTAACGATTTCGTCTGTAACCTCATCAGTTTCTTTTCGTATTTTTTAATGGTTCTGGTTAATCTCTGAATGCGCTTGTTCAACAGGGGCAACTCGTTTTTGCGTTTCTGTTTCAAGCAAATGCAGCCGCTCGGTAAGGATTGCTTACTGGATAGGGAGGTCGGCTTTAGACGACTCGAAGGCCAAATAAGACCATCTTCAGAGCTACGAAGCAGATTAGTCAATAAAATAGTATTAAATGAGTAATATCCCAATATAAATATATAGTAAATAAACAGGGGATTTATTGGGAAAAGTGAAATACGTTAGGGTTAGATAAGGGACACCAAGGTAATTCTAAATAACCTATATTGAATGAGAAAATATATAGTGAATATGAAAAAATATACAGTTTGATTCGTTGGTTATGAATAATTGAGGAAGTGACCCTGAATCTTGGTTATAAAGAATCAGAGACCTATCTACCTCTAACGTATGCACATGTTACAAAGAATCACCCTATATTCATGTACCATCTTTTAATCCCGATGATGAAAAATAATTTAAGGGATTAAGCTTTATTCTTATGTTATATAGGCTATTTGCTTTTCCCTGGGGACTAAATTATCTCTAATATCCCTAAAATAACAGTGTGAGATAGAAAGAGCTTTTCTATTTCCTATTGGTCAACCCTATTCTGAAATTTGGCTATACCATTATTAAAAATAATCTTCGGTTGGCATTAAAAAGTTATAATCCCAAAGGAATAAAAGTTTCGCTTTGGGCCTAAAAATGCGAGCTTGAGATCCTAGTTTTAAACTCCGGTGTAAAAAAATGTAAACGAACCAACTAGATAAGATTTTGATATCATAATTTGTTAATATTCGCAAACATTTTAACTATAATCATTTAATTAAAAAAATAAATCAATAAAATGTCAAAATAATACAATGGCATAGATTTTCAAAAAGATAAAGCCATATTAATGGCTCTGGGTGATTCTAGAAGATTCTCTTATGAAAAGATAACACATAATAAAAAATATGGAAAATATTATGACAAATAAACGAACAGCCTCATTAAATTGTTGTCTCTTAATACTAATTACTAGTTAATTTAAGTTGAGGAAGGAAATCAGTTATTTAAACTTTAAAATGTTTGGTTCCTACTTTGATATGTGGCAACGGTGTAAGGGTTATTTATTAGGAATATTTAATTCGTTCTGTATAATTATTGCAGCGCTATTCTTGACATCATTCGCAATTTCACGTATTAGCAAGTTTACGAATGATATATTTGCGAACACTTGATGAAATTGAAGAGATTACTCCTCACATTTAGTGGCGAGCGTTGATTTGATAACAGCGCAATTCATAAAAATGTAGGTGACTGCATGTAAATAATAAGGTGTATTATTGCGCATCTATAAAATCCGGACCACTAGGAATAGTCCTCCCCACGAGATTTGAATATTATGTGAATACAACTTTCTTATTTTAAATGCAACACCCTGTATATTTTTTTAATTTTTGGATTCTTCAGAAAATTTTATGTATTATGTCCTATACCTAACTGTTTCGGAAATATTAAATGTTTTCCGATATATTGCAAAAATTAATATTAATAAAATAAAATAATTTAATTACAACACACTCAAAAACTAATAAGTAATATTGTTTATTTCTTGATAATGAACCAAAAAAAACACATCAATAATTTGAAATAAAAATGTCTTCTAACGTTACTTAACATCTCAGGCGTGACCGATATAATCGCAAGCGTTATTCGTCTTCTTAAGTCAGCTAGGTCGAGAGGTTTAGTTTTGTATACATTATTTTTGACATACCCCAATAAGAAAAAGTCTAATGATGTGAGATCAGGGGATAGTGCTGGCCATTCCCACATTCCAGTCTCTGCCCACAAACATAAATGTTTATTTCGGAGAAGTATTCGTTGAATTTAAACAGTTTGGTGCAAACCACATCGACATTGTATTTTGTCTTAAAAGGCCTTGTATAACCCATAATTTGATTAGTTCACTTCTAAATATTTTTTAAACACGTATTAATTAAGGCCGATTCTCACTAGGCACTCAGTTCACCCTCCGCTCGGCTTGCTCCCACTACGGGCAGTCCCATTATTACGGGCCGAGACCCTAATGATGCCAGTACAGGTCCTCCTGATTGTATTAACCTGTATTATTTTGCGATTAGGAAGTTAGGGTATGCCATATTTATTATGTGAATTCTATTCTAAATATTTTTTACTTTTGCATTAGATAACTGAAGTAGAGCTTTGGCGTCATTCTGATCTCCCCTTGATTCAGTAAATATTTTGTTTAAACGTCATTCTACATCAATGTATCTTGAAGCACGTCTTCATTTGGAATTGCTAGACAAGTGCGTGTGTGTTTGTAAAAATTAGTTTATTTTCTTGATCTGTTGTTATTCGTCCACTTCATTGTCCAGTTACACATTTCTAATTATTGCTAATGTTTTTGTTCATTCTTTGTAAACAGAAAAATATGTCGAGTTTTTACACTTATGACAAAATATGTACCAACAAACATTAAAATTGATTTTGAAACAGCAGCAATATCTGTCTGTAGAGAAATGTTTTCCGATTGTTAACTTAAAGGTTGTAATTTCCATTTTAACCAAGCATTATGTCGACATGTTCAAGATTTCGGACAACGAAATATAAAGAAAGTCCAGATATTAAACGGCCTATAAAGCTTACAGCTAATTTAGTACATTTACTTCCAGAATTAGTGGACGAGGGCTAGTTATATATAATGAAGTGTAGTTCTGCTAATCAATAAATTATCGAATACAACGATTATTTAGTAGCACAGTGATTAGCAAATGAAAACGTCCATGACATGTAGATTTGTCACGGAAAACGCCACAGAACAACAAATATTTGTAAATCCTGGCATAGTCGCCTTAATAGGTAATTATTAGAAAATCCAATCCAAATATAATTCAATTGATTTAAGCTTTAAAAAACGATTTATTACGTTACTACTAAGACTTCAGTAACAACAGTGCTACCTATTTTGAAGTTCGGACTCCTATTTATAATGTTTTATCTTTAATACTTAAAAGGAAACATACATTAATATTTTTAATAATTACTATACATTAGCAACGAACATATTATGTTCGGTGACATTTGTGAAAAATGTGGACTAGGTAACTCGCGGCTTGAGTGGAGCATGACCTGTTTACAGAGAGAATGGGCCTTTAACATAAAATGAAAATAAATTACAAATTAAAACAAGTACCAAACCGCAAAAGGTTTTTAAATTCGACCTTTTCCGAATTACTACTATTTAGTAGTTTTACGAGTAAATCAAATGCAGAGAAACAAATATCATCCCTCAATCCCAACATGGTTTCAGACCTCACCGTTTTACACAGGACGCAATCTCCTCCCTCCACACTATTACGGTCACTGCAGTAAATTCCATACAAATTTCTTTAGCCGTTCTCTTGGACGTTCAAACAGCCTTCGACCAAGTCTGGCATGTCGGACTAGTCAAAAAGCTTATGAACATAGGTCTCCCCCCCAAATCTCCAAACTCATACACTCCTACCTCACTGACAGAAAAATCACCGTCAAAGTGAGCAACCCTGTCAGCCACATTTTCTCCACTCGCTGGCCCCTCTCCTCTACCTCACCTATACACACGACATTTCCTCCAAAACCACCCTTCGTCCAAATACCTCCTATACGCCGACGATACAGCTCTAATCTTGGTACCCAAAAATTCTAACCAACTAAATAATCGAACCCAAAATCTGTTAAACCATTATTCTCGCTGGTATAGCAAATGGAGGGTCTCATTAAATCTACAAAAAACACAATTTATCGTCTTTAAACACCCAAATTCTCAAAGAACCTCCCAGAACCCCAACTCGTAAATGTAAATCTCCTGGAAGTCAGGCTCGCTCAACAGACTGAAGTTGACTATTTGGGGGTACAATTCTCTCGTACACTCAACTGGTTCTCTGATGTCAATCGCTCTCTTGATAAGATGCGAAAACGAGTCAGCTTCCTTGGGGCTTTGTGCGGACGAATGGGGCGTTGCAATACAAACACCCTAATTCACACTTATAATTCCTTTATCCGCCCCGTTGCCGAGTACAGAGCTGTATTCTACGGCGTACTTCCCACACACCTGGCCCACAAATTCACCACACTCGAGAGACGTATACTCAGACGTTGCCAATACCTCCCCTATCACTCTCCCAGCGGAGAAGTCTTCGAAAACATATCTAACCCCCCATCCTCACACGTTTCCAAACCCTCAGAAAACAATACATCTCTAGCACGCTGAAGGGCACCAACATAACACTACAAACCCCATGGCGCCCTTGCCGACTCTAACTTTTTCTAAAATCGAAAACAAAAATGCCGCAACCAAATCTAAGACTACTTTCAGACTCCCAAGACATCTCTCCCTCACCGCTGACCACCAGGATCTGCTGGAATCAGCCCTCCTAAGCATCAGATAAACCCCGATAATTAGAATTCATACTATTTGTAGAGTATCGTGATTTAGGTTCTCGTGGTTTCCCTAAATCATATTCCCCCACCTTATACTTGAACTTGTCCATTTACGAGGTTGAAAATAACAAAATTAGCGATATTTTCGAAGAACACAACCTGCCACACAGGTCCCACATACGCACACGACAACTATATGTTACTTATTGTAATCAGGGCAAAGCACCCTAAAAGAAGGATAACTCCTATAGCAGGGTATAAGGAAAATAAAATGTCTTAGAAAAATGTAATAACTTTGAGTTTATAAAAATTATATCGCAACATTTCAAAATTATCAAATAAACTTAGATGTTAACTCTGTAACAAATCACTCATAGTTTTTTATATCTACATACGCATTAATATTCTGTAGCAGTTTTTAACTTGCATATTTTATTTATATATACATATTTTGAAATCCATAATTCTGCCTTTCTCAGACACAAAGCAACTAAAAAACTAAAAAACCTACATATCTCAACTTCACTTACATTTAACTAAAAGGTTTAGGGATATTCCACTATTGATAAGATAAATGGCTGCATATATGCCACAAGAACTTCAAGGGTAATATTCCAAAACAAGAAATAATGTAAAGCAATCCATTGGTATCTAAATGTTTTTTTTTCGACTCGATGAAACGCGAAAACAACTTTATAAAATGTGTTTTTTTTTCTCGAAACCTGCTTCAACTGTGATACCGTTTTTGGTCTTAGGGCAAAATTATCAATGAGAGTCAATTCAACCCACCCGGTGTCAACTCGACTTCGGTTTGGGAGTCAATTCGACCTAGAATTTAGCATCAAACACCTTGTGGGTGTCAACTCGTACCCGGCCATTACAATCACTACAATAAGCCCGGTAAGCCAATCAGGTTCCTAGAAGTGACTGTTTATACATTATTGCTGTTAGAGCCTTCAATTACTAGACACTCTTACCTTTACGACTATTGTCAATTACTAAGCACTGTTGCAAGATATCAGACTCGAAACGGGACATTTTAGTTAAAAAACTACGATTAAAGTGTTTTTCTCGAAATTAAGTATGTATTGAAAAAAATATCTATCAATTTTTTAATAAAAAAAAGCAGGATAATAGCCCATCATTGAAAGTGCAATATTATGGTACCCACTGTATAATAAGGAGATAGCTTTTTACCCATCTGAGTCTGTACTTTTTGTTTCTTGCATGAGCGAGTCAGAATATTGCTCCAATAATGAAGGATTTGGACCCATGTCGATGGCCTCTGAAGAATCCATATCTTCTGAACTACCCGACAACAAAGAACTTTGGATCTCTTCAATAGAAGAAAAAACAGTTTAAGCCATTTTTTTTTGTTTTAGAGCAAGGGAAAATATCTTAATCTATTTTTGAAAGTAAAAATTAAACTATAATTGTTGGTAGTAATGGTTATTTAACGAACAAGTGTATTAATAAGGGCGATTAACAATCGAGATAATTTAACGCGCGAGCAGAGAGAGCGCGTTAATGTTCGAGATTGTTAATCGATATTTTAATTCACGAGTTCGTTACAGAACTTTTCCGTCGACCGTACGTTTCAGTTTCTGCCACTTCTGGTTAAATTAAACTCTTCGCCAATATCCATCTTTTGATTTTAAACTATAGGTACATAGAGTTTTTGAATTTTAAGAAATTAAATAATGACATACAATGACAATAGTATTAATTAATTTTAAATGTATATATATGTTTGGTTGCCTACACCATAGGTAACTGTCAATACAAATGTATAATAAGAACAATGTACGTTGGGTTGCATATAATAAAATCGTTGATTAATAGAAAATCATTAATTAATAGGGGTCATTATTCAACGATTTTGAGTGAGCTAAAATACATCATAAATGGTCGGTCGACGGAAATTAGTACTTTATGCAACAAGTGCGCAATTTTCTCAAGAGCGCATATGTTTAAGGCACTATCACACTTTTGAGAAATGTGAACATATATAATAATAATAATATTAAAACAACATTGTAAATTATTACGTTATTATCATATTAAATTATGTATAAGGAAACTAATACATATTTTCTAATTTAAATTCAATAATAAAGTCAATGAGTTTCAGAAGTCGTTACTATATTTATTAATAGACAAATATATTAAGAAAACGAAAATTATTGCATAAAATTAAAATAATTCTATAATATGACGTAGGGAAATTTTCAAACATTTTAATTTTCAAATGTTTTGACGCTACCCGAACTGTCAATTGATAGAATACTAAGGAAAATCTACAAATTTTAAAAATTATTTTAAGTCATTAAGACAAAATAACTAATTTTAAAATAATTTATGACTTTTACTAATTTATAAAATAAAATAAACATGAGAAAAAGATTTAATTTAATTAGTACCCAGCCCAGATTTGAACCCTGGCCTTTCGCATGGAAGCCAAACTCCCAGTTCTCACCTCCATCGACACGCTCAACATTTAAGTTTTAATATTCATAATTAAATTAGTATCATATTGTTTGATTAAATTTTATGATTTATTTGTAAATGTGGAAGAAATAATAATAGAAATGCAATTATTTATCGATTATACACAAGAATAATTTATTTTTATGTATATTTAATCTCGATAACATTTGACAGAATTGTCACTTATATAAAATTTAAAAATAGTAACCGGGTGACCAAAATAATAACTGTGATTGGTGAATTTCATATTTGTGCAGTGTTTTTACTAGGTAGAGTTATTCTTGTATAGAACGCATTTTTATTTTTATTTCGCCTATATTTACAAATGAATCAAAAATTTTAATAAACTATATGATATCAATTTAATTACGAGTATTAAAACTAAAATGTTAGGTGTGTCGAAGCAGTTGAGACTATCGCATTTGACTGTCAAGTGAGAGGTCCTGGGTTCAAATTTAGTATTGGAGAGTAATTAAATTAAATCTTTTTTCAAGTTTATTTTATTTTATAATTTAGTAAAAGTCATACATTATATTTAAATCAGGTATTTTATCTTAATGACCTTAAATAATGTTTATTTGTAGTTTTTCGTTAGTGGGTCGTAGAAAAATATACTGTACAACTTAAGTGGACTGACTATCCGTATCGCACTCAGACTATTCGTCGTTAATCTCACATACTGACGTATCTCATGCAGTTTTTGAGATACGACAACACTTTATTTTTATAGATTTTCCTTCTCACAAAGTGGCGTAACTTAAAAGCCAATAACCAGGGCGCACCCACTAAAAAAATAGTTTTTTTAGTTAATAACGTTTAAAATAATGTTTTAGGCTCAATTCCTGAGATATTGCTTTGATATTGTCTTTGATATTAGTCTAATGAAATATAAATATAAAATATACTGATTTATACAGAATAAACGAAATTCTCTACTTTGGTACACATTCCGTCTTTGTTTATAGTACAATTTTACCCAAAATTTAGGAGTGGTAAAGGTTCCACATGCTTAAGAAGGCATGAATATTTTGATATTTATTTTTACTTTCCCCCAGTTATACCACTCCCAAAATTTTGTCAAAATTGTATAATTGGGAGAAAATGGGTGCACCCTGGTTATTTGCTCTTAAGCTGTAACCGTTACGTAATGATAGAAAACTTCCATGATAGGTGTATCTCCTTTAAATTATTCTCCTTTAAAATTAGGAAAAATGAGATAGGTCAACTTTGTGAGATTGACGTGCTATATGGACATCATAATATCTACTCTTGTCACATTTCAAATATTTCTGTATAAAATTGAAATAACTTTTGTGAACTAGTTTAAACTACAATTCAACATCATATCAATATCAGGTGTGATCGTTTATTCAGTGATTTGGAGCGAGATAGAAATTAATTTTTTTCAGGTATTTTTCACATTTAACTCTATTAAACTATCAGCTATGTATCACTATTATGAAAAAGCGAAAATACACGTTTATAATCAAAATTGTGAATGGAGCTTAAATAGACGATCACACCTTTACTTGACATAAGCGAAGTAAAGTAGCAACTTTGCACAAAATAAATTGGAGTCAACGAGTTATTTTTAAAACTAAAAATTATGAGTACCTCCATTGGTGTAAAAATCATTATCCGAATCAAACTCCTGACTGCAATTCTCTGATTTTCGTTCAGATGAAAGGACAGATTTTTTTTTTCTTTTGATCGTCTTCTTCATCAGATTCGACTTTTCTAACGGATACGACGATTCCAGTTTACTTTTGTTTTCCTCACCAAATAAATACATGTAGTCCATAGCTATGGCAATATGGGCATTACAGATAAATATTATTACATAAAGTGTGGTCCATATAGTGGTTTCTTTTCAATTTTGTTTGGTATATAATTAGTTTGTTCAAAATAGTAAACATTTCCATTATTTATGGAATACAATTTCAATCTTGTGGCTGTCTCGGCTGGCTTCGCAGTAGCGCATCCTGTCAACCCAATTTTCCAAGATATTGGTAACGGTTTCTTGCTCTTATGAATGCCTTGCTCGATATTTGCCTTAAGGGTCTGAATTGTTAATGGATTGTTTGCATAACATCGGTCTTTCACGACACCCCACAAAAAAAGTCTAAAGGAGTCAAATCGCAGCTGCGAGATAGCCAACTGACATCGCGGAGATGGCTGATAACACGATTACAGAACTTGGTGCGCAAAAGATTGATTATGGCATGGCGCGCCATCCTGCTGAAACAAAAGATCGTCCAAGTCCATGTCTTCAGTTTCCGTCCACAAAAAATAATTTATCATGTCTCTGTAGCGCTCACTGGTGACCGAAATGGCGTCTCCAGTAGCATTTTCAAAGAAAAATTTGCAAATGATTCCACCGCTTCAAATTGTCACTCTCTGAGGATGCATTGGCTTCTCAATGATAACATACGGGTTCTACGATCCCCAAATGCAGCAGTTCTGCTGGCTAACAAATCAGCCGAGATGAAAATGTGCCTTGTTAGAAAAGATGATTTTTCAGGCAAAATCGTTGTCCATTTCGAGCTGCTCTAAGGCCCAAACTGAGAAGCGATAACGTATCGGATGGTTGTGTACCTTCAAATGCTGATTCAATTGGAAAGGTCCGCGGATATATTATATTAACGTTTTGTCAATATTTCGAGCGGAAAAAGCTTTGAGTTTCAAAATAATATATGATTTAAAAAAAAACCACTAGATGGACCACCCATTATAATATTTTAGAAGCAGTTCTTATAGTTTGTAAGAGAAAATCATATGTTTGATAAATTGATCTGTTATAACCAAATCTCCACCAGAAGTTGATATTGTGGGATGCTTAAATATGTAACTATATTATGTATGTATTAACCGACTTCAAAAAAAGGAGGAAGTTCTTTTTTTATGTAGGTTCAGCGATAATTCTTTGCCACGTTATCCGATTTTAATAATTCCTTTTTTGTTAGAAAGGGGGTATTTTAGAGTGGATCCCATATAAATTTGTTTAAGATTCAACAATTGAGTCCATAAGAAAACGTAATATTAATTGGTGATTTCTATGTGGCATGGAGGCCATGGCACCCCGAGGTGAAAATTCTTACGATTTACGGGCCTTTTATTCAAAAAAATATGCTAAAAAGGGAATGGCTAAAGGCAATGGCTCCCACCCCAAAAATTAATCTTGGAGCCGCCCTTGCCACCCATCTTTCTTGATTAATGTTTTACTAGATCAATTTTATTATTATGTAATCAAGTTAATTTTTCAGCCACTTGCCAACCTAAAATGATTAAGCTGATTTTCCAAATTTATATAGTACTTTATAAACCAATGATTAGTTATTTTTGGATTATATTAACGACGTTAATGTAGCTTGTTTTTATTCAAACCTAAACTCTATTTAATTTATTTGTTCCATTGCATAAAAAAGATACACATAAGACCACTTTGGTATAATAAAATATTCATAAACTTTACTTTAAAATAAAAAAAAGGCAAATATTAGACGTTTCGCAAAACCTTCCAGGTACCCTTCTTTTTTATTACCAAATGAGCGAATTGTGACGTTCCAAGGTACTAGAAATTGAAAACGTTTTTAGATTCCTTTAAAAAATTAATATTTGAAATAACTTTCAACGACTGAGATAATTCAAAGAATTTCTATTAAGAACCATGTGCACCTTCAGCAAAATAAAATTGAAACATCACATTGGGTCGTATTGACAAAAAAAAAGAGAATATGAAGGATATCCTTCAGTTTATATTATTAGTATATGATGGAAAACCTTAAGCTTCTCGAGCATAAGCATATTTTTTAAAATTGAATGATTTACTTCATACAGAAACAAATAAGTATTTATTTTATAAAAGAATATCTTTTAAAAAGTTTGGTCAATTTGGGCATTTTTTGACATATGTGTTGTTTTTGAAAGGAAGTCTACAAATATAAGGTAATTATTATAAATACATAAAGAAGGAAATGTTTGTATTTCAACCCTTTAGTTTTAAGTGACACCTTATACTTCTACCTTACACAGAGGATACCTTCACATTTATAAATACGGCCCAATTATCATGTTGAATAATAGTTACCTTTAAATCTTTCAAAAAATGGCACCGCCACGTACAAGCAACCGTGTTGGAATTCTTTGGCGTCATGCAACGGTTCCCCAAATACAGTGCATATGTTCTGCACGCCATCATTCACCCCCAAGACTTTTGTTACGTAACTTTTGATAAGGTTCCAATTTTTGAGATCGACAGCTTTGAAGACGACTTTGAACGGACCGTCCAGCACACCGTTCAACGCCATGTAGACGAGCGTGAGATTGTGTTTCTTGGTGATTTTTAGAAAGGGGAGGATCTTGGAGTCGAATTCGCCTACGTAGTGTCTTCTTATGGGCTTTGCTGCGGCTGTTTCTTTTTCGGAAGAGGTTCGGTATAAGTCTTTGTCTGTGTTAAAAAAATTGGTATCAGTAATTCGATTGTTTCATGAAAGAATGCCTTCCAAAATTCAGAAATCTAAATGTATAATATGGAAAACTAGAATGTTGTTAGATTATTGACGAGTTGTTGGTACACCATACTATAAAATTGAAGAAATCTTTAGATTAGATTTAATTAGGACTGTGGGCCATGTGGCCTCTTCCACCTCGACCTTTTTAGATCTATTGTGGATATCCTTTAATTGTTGTTTAGAGTACCTTGTCTAATTCAGTCTTGCTAGACCGTCGCAGTAGCATAATACGTGTTCTGCTATTTCCTCCTCTTCCTGGCAGAATCGGCACAAAGTCTCTTCTGTCAGGCCGATATTATACATATGTTTGCTAAACCTAGAATGCCCTGTTAATACACCTACTAGTACTCTAGTATTCTTCATATTAAGGCTTAGTAGATGCTCGGTGAGTTTAAGAGATGGTCCTTTTAAAAACTCTTTGGCCTGTCTTTGTCCTGGTGTGTTTTTCCATCACGCCTGAGATTTTTTAAATATCCACTGCGTTGTGCATGTTCTGATAGTTGTTTTTGTTACACCACAGAAGGGTTCTGGGCCAATAAGAGCATTTGAGGCTCCTTCTCGAGCTAGTAAATCAGCCTCTTCGTTGCCCTGATGTCCTCTGTGGCCTGGTGTCCAGGCTAAGGTTAGTCTGTTTTGACTATCCAGCTCTGTTAGGGCTTCCAAATAGTCTCGTACAAACTTTGAGTGTACCTGCTATTAACGTCGCTTGACTGTCTGAGTATATAACAATAAAATTGTTTTTGCATTTACCTTCTGTCTTAATACCTCTTTCGTGTAGTGATTTATTGCTGCTATTTCTGTCTGGAATACTGTTGCATGTTTTCCTAAGCTCAGTGAGATTCTTGTCTTTGGCTTGGTACTATATATACCTACTCCTAAACCTTCATGGGTTTTGGAGCCGTTTGTATACCTGGTGAATTATGCATGAATAAGAGGTCCTCCTGTCCACGCTTCTCTGTCTGGTATACTTACTTTATATTGCTTTTTAAAGCTGTACTTTGGGAGCATTTCGTCTGAATGCTTTCCCATTATTTGGTCGTTCTCCAATTCTTTATATAGTTCGCTGTAATCGCGTCCATTCAAACTGCTTATGGTTGATGAACCTTTGTGCATTCTGTATGTGACAGACCTGGCTTAGCCTTGAATGAATATATGTAATGGTGCTAAGTTTAGCATAACTTCTATAGCTGCTGTTGGAGTCGTTCTCATAGATCCCGTGGTACTCAGGTATGCTTGCCTTTGAATACCCTTGAGATGTCCAATGGTTCCAGCTTGCCGAGTCTTTGGACACCATACCACCGACCCGTAGGTTATCTACGGCCTTATGACTCTGGTATATAACCATAGGGACACTTTCGAATTAAATTTTTTCCACACAACCTTCCACATCTCTAACAAATTCCATTCCAGTCCATTTATGTAACCGTTAATTTATGACTCCCTGTTTAATAGTTTGATATTAAGAATATGTAGTTCTTTATATTGTTGATTATAGAGTAAGTATATGTATTCAATCCTTTATGAACGACATTTTGTATTGTGCCATCGGAAGCAATATCAAAGCATCACTGGTTCTACTGCTACTACAGGAGACTGTTACTAACGTACGAAATTACTCTTCCTTTATTAACGGTCACAAACTAATTACAATTAATTGATATTAAACTAGTAAACTCTTACCAATCCTTAATTTCTGGTTATATCCAAGAGCAACATATTTCCCACTCGTATCCAGTTCTTCGAAGCTAGTAACAGGTGCCATTGTCCTCAACGATATAAGCTTTTTGATAGGCCCAAATCTGGATTTCGTTTCTTTAGATATGTAATTTAGTACGTGAGTCCAATTTTTCACCGCCCTTGGATCAATGAGTAACTTGTAGCAGTCGGATTCATCGTTTAACCAAATCCTAATCCGTTTCGGTTTATTTTGATGCGGTTCTTCGGTAGCCTGCTGAGAGGAATTGTTAGGTGTTTGAGTAGCCATCGGTAGTGATGCGTAGTGAAATTTTAACTTATGATTTTGAGTTTTGACGGATAAAAGTTTTTTGACAGTAATTGGAAACTGTATTGTCAAAGATCGAAGGTTTAAGATAAAATCTTCTCAACCGCTGATGTCTGATCTACCCACGGTTCGTAGACAAAATGGTAGTCTCGTCAGGTTGCTGTGGACAGGGGTGTGACGTCACAGAATGAAAAATCGAGATGGCCGAAAATATTCTGCTATGTATCGTATATTATTGAAAAATCTAGGTAAAATGCAGTTTATAGCGAATTCACGTGTTGCTAAAATTAGTTTCATATATACAGAATAAATCTTAAATTAATAAAGATTTCCTATTCCCATCTTTGATGATAACCTATTTATTTGACATTGTTTGAAAATGTCTTGCTGTCGAAATTAATTGATTACTCTTGATTACAAAATAATTAACGGTTCATGAGAAAATATATAACTTAATTATTGAATTTTTAATTAAAGAAAATATTAAAATATAAATAAATAAACAAAAAATTATTCGGTTTACAAAAGTCTGTGGCAACAAAAACTATGTTTAGCAGTTTCTTTTTATTTTTTCATTCCATTTAAGTTATATTATGCTATGCATTTATCTATTGTAAATTTTTTTTGTCGAAATGCCATTTTTCTACTCTACTTGTACGATCTCTCAAAAAAATATTTGGCAACACTGGTCTCTCTACAAACGACGTAGACCTGTAGTTAACATCTGAGACGCTATATGACGCCATCGTTGCTGCGGTCGTTGCGTTTCCAATCTTTATCTCCTTTATCTCTGGTTCTGGGTTCATTATCGCGTTTTTTTAGAGATTCGGAGTGTGATCTGTCGCGTTCGATATTACTCTGAGTATGAACTCCAAGTGCACTCTTTTAACTCTGTGTTAGAAGATCAAGATCTATCAGGAAGTTAAATAATGAAATGTCAATTATGTCAATGAACGGCACATATTATTGTTCTGTGAGTTTGTGCTAGGTAATATTTGTATTTTAAATATTATTTAACTCATAGATTATTACAAGTAAATTTTGAAACTTTATTTTATGTTATTCTATTGTAATGCATAATAATTAATTGACCGTTGACTAACATACTGGATTATGATTTTTACTCTGAGTGACAGATCGCGTTCGCGTTACTACATTTGCTACTAACTTGATATGACTCTGCTCATACCGTGGCCACTCCATAGGGCATCATCTCGAACTTGCCCATGGTTAGCGTTTGCCATTGGCATGAACTGAGTTCATCTATGCACTGAACCGGTGCGATCCCGGTTCATTAAAAAATTGCAACAAAGTACAAAGTCAATGGAACAACCCACATACTTTGATCAAAGTATGTGGAACAACCACATGCACCTTAGACATGCACCGACTAGAAATGTCATGTGTCAATACTGTCAGTCATATATTTATCTTTCACCCCGTACACATCACATACTTTGATTTTCTTTTACTATACGGCACATACTTTGATTACTATGTAATCAAGGTATGTGGATTACTATACGAGGCAAGAGAGAGGTCCGACACGCCCAACATAGGGCGCGGCCATTTTGAACCCTGTGACACAGTTTACAGCTAAAGAATCAGATCGCTCACTCTGCGTCGGCACTTTGGATCTCAATGTTTCAGTTTATACACTGTGCAACTCGAATAATACAATATATGACAACCGCCTATAATAAAACAGCAGTCTTCTGCGTATCCTGCATTTGTATCCCTGGAGTGGATCTTATTTTGAAACTTTCAACTGATCCGAGTGAGCTAACTGATTCTTTAGCAATAATCTGTGACTCAAAAAATAATATTCACTGACACTGACAGCCGCAAGCAAAATATCAGGTGCGTTTTAATCATCCGCTTCTGCTTCCGGAATTGTCGGTTTAGTCGTTTTAACTTGTCAAATTAAAACAAGAAAACCGACAATACCGAAGCAGAAGCGGATGATTAAAACGCACCTATTAAAAATATTGCGCCAAGATGTAGGCAACACGTAATAAGGGTTCAAAATGGCGGAGTTTTCTATCTCCTTTTAAAAGGCACTCAGAAAGCTGCGCAGTGCGACCATTCTCCGTATAGTAAAAGAAAATCAAAGTATGTGGCTCATCCATATATAAACAAGACGACGAAAAGCGGGTCATATTGCTTGGCTTGCCGAGTGCTCACCAGGCAGAATCGGTCTGGCCCAAATGAGTTTAAAACACATATTTCATCAAAGTAGGAATTGAATTAAAAAAAAAATATCTGTATGTTTATTTCAAGACAGGAGCTTGCGTTAGGTATTTTAAAAAAGGATTTTGAGTCATAACGTCTAGTTTCCCAATTTTCAAAACATTTTAAGAGATCTAACCAATTTTGAACATAGATATAAACAATTTTACACTCATGTGTATATAACTAACTTTAGACCATGACTACTGTATAGTGGCACTATTCGGACACTTGATTATTCTTTTAAAATTTATTTCGCATTATAAAAGCAGATATTATGCAAAAATTGAATGAACTTTTTAAAGATTTAAAGTAGCTTTTTCACATTCTAAAGTTTGTCCCTTTAGACAATTAAGGATTATTTTGACGGTGAATGTGAATGATTTGATGAATAATAATAAAATTCCAACAGTGGAAATCTGATCAACATCATAGTAAAATGGACTAGGTACAAAGTGCAATCTTAGTTGACGTAAAGATCCGTGTACCTTAGCATCGGTAAGAGGGAATTAAAGATTCTGACTTACAATCACAAAAAGAACGTACAACTAAGCTTAGTCGATGTAAGTTAGCTCAGATTAGTGGTAAAAAGAAAGCGACTATTAATAAAAAGAAAAGTAATCCAGCTAAAACAAGAATTATGGCTACTGTCTTTAATAATGATATATTGCCAGTACTAGTAGAATGTTAAGTGTTGAGTTATCTTCTTCAGGCAATGGATGTACGTATGCATAATTTAAAATATTTGGTTAATTATTATTATTATTATTATTATTATTATTATTATTATTAAACAGAATTGTTAGTGCTAAAGAACTATCTACTTTAATAGGATTGCAATCCTTCCAGTTATTAGCCACCATTGTGGAATTAGTAGCAGAGTTGTTTCTAAAGAATAGGAAAAAGGAGATCAGTTATGTCTGTAAAGGATCAAGTTATATTTACTTTTATGAAGTTGAAAACTGATATGCAAGATATAATGTCTTATTCATTTTATTTGGAGTGAATTAAACTTTTTATCGTTAAATTTTTTAACAGTTTTTAATAAAACTGGTAGAAGTTCTTAGTATGGTATAATTCGGCCTTCAAAACAAGAAATATTAAATAATGTGCCTCTATGTAAGTAAGAGTACTACTACTTGATTGTACCGAAATCCCAATACAGCAAGCCAAATGTCTTTGTTGTAGGCTAAAAAATTACCCTGACTACAAAAAGAGGCATACTATTAAAATATTGACTGGAGTGTCACCTACTGGTCTCATTACTTACAAAAGTGAAGCATAGGGTGGTAAACTTCAGAAATAGACATTTTTTAACAAAGTTCAATACTTGAAGTGTGTGAATCATTTCTCGATAGTAAAATGTTTAACAAAGGTTTTCTTATTGGAAACATAACAGAAGCTGAAGGTATACAAATTATACATCCTCCTTTCCTCAATAAAAAAAATCAGTTCAGCCATCAAGTGGCTTTACTTAATGCTAAAATTGCCAGAGCTAGAATTCACATAGAAAGAACCTATCAAAGAATAAAAGTATTTGTCTCTCTGTATTGGTACTTATGTCCGTTTTTCTTCTATTTATATTGAGTTTTTATTATATGATACTTCTCTGTATCTAACTAACTTTTAAAATGTACTTGTAAAGCCCAGATAGCTCTAACTCGGGCATTTGAATATAATAATATTTATGTAATTGTATTTACAATAAATACTTTATTATTATTAATATTATTATTATAATTAATTATAATTCGTAAAATTATTATAAACGTATTTACCTTGTACCTACTTGTATTGATACTTGCGTGAAAAATGAAATGTTAGTTTTTATATTTCTGTAGCTGGTCTTACAAACCTTTATAGAGCAATTCACCATTTAAATTTAAAAACAAAACAAGTTTTTATACTCAAATAATTAAAAAACTTAAAACAGAACAGAAGTATAATTAAAACTAAATAAAAAACAATTCAACAAAATGTCCGACTGAGTAATGACAATGAGAACAAAATCTCAACTAGACTAAACTTTCTTTAAAACCGGTCCTGTGAAAGGTTTGCTTACCAGTGAGCACTCAAAATTGAGACAAAACACAAACATTGCATGCACTAGACAAAGAGAAAACATCTCCCAGTTCGACCCACTTTTCATCGTTTTATTTACGTATGGATAAGCAGTCTATTTAAACTATATATGTCATTGAACCTAAGCTAATCTCAAAGAAAACTCTTCAAGTCATTGGCTAATCTAGCGCCGGAGTACTTCACCAGACTCAAACAAATTAACGTCAAGATTTACATTAAATTTGACAATGTTCATCATTTGAAGTCATCTATTAACATCATCAAAATCAAAATTAACAGTGGAAAAACAGGCCAAATGAAACACAGGAAACGCATAAGTCAAGTACCTCTACCAGATCCCGTTCACGGAAAATCCAAAAAAATAAGAGTTTGGGAAAATGGTAGTTCAGAGTGTCATGTTTTCAATATCAACCCCAAAGATTTCAGGTAAAAATATTCTCCATTGTATCAATGGTGTACACATTTTGGGAGTATATCCATTGAAACATTGTTGAACTCCAAATCTGACTCAAATGATGTGTGATCTACAGGAAATATTAACAACTTAATGCTATATGAAGCATCGATACAACTCTAAAAATATATTTTATTAGCCAGTATAGTTTTTGTATGCGTATTCAGTTGCCGAGTGCTATACAATAGCTTCATTGTATTGTAATTATCTATATACAGGGTGTCCCCGAGGGTACTGAAAAATAGGAAAGCTTATTGTATTACAAAATGTTATTGACTATTTGCACATTTCACCACTGATATCTTTTAGAATGGATGGGATTTATAATGGACGTTTGACATTTGACTTTTCACTTCCCATGACTTAACATTTTAATATACAATATAGTTTTTTTGCTGTACTTTGTGCTTCGCTTCTCGACTCAATAACCGGTGCTTGTGATTGTTAGAAAAACGTGTCTATGATCGAACACATTACCTCTAGAAAGGGTTATACCCTTTCCTATCAGTGGTTCACCCACCATCAGTTGGATGATTCCCTCGTCCCTCGTCCCTTTAGTGATTTCCACCTGTTAGGTCATGGAAAAGACTACTTACTTCCTCTCGTCCTCCTTTTATATCTCTTAGTTTCTTATTGTCTCGAGATCCTTTTCATGAGACCAATTATTACTTTGGTGTGCACTCCACTCACTGGAGATCTTATCCTCCAACTGATATTTACTAGACATGTTATCTACACTCTCCTAACGTTTTCTAACCTGACCCAACAAGATCCATCTTCCCTACATCCTTACATTCTCAAGATTTGCAGAGAAAAAGTCGAGTCTTTCACAATCCGGACCTAATTTATCATCCAGAGCAATTTAAACACATTCGTAGTGGCTCATTCTCACCTCTACTCTCGTAAATTTCATACCCATTTTTCTTCTTGTTAGTTAAGTTTGCAATACCCATCTATTTTTCCTTTTCCACATCTTTAATTCTACAATACTGTACCGCTACAATATGGATCCATTTTAGTGATTTATACATACTGTCAACTATTTAATTTTAATTGTAAGTGCCAACCAACTCTTATATTGTTCCCATTATAATTAAGGTTTATTGTATTATAGGTTTGAAGATGAGACCCTGTGAGATCGAAACGAGTCACTCCTGTATTTATATATAATAAAATTGATGTGGTATTAATTGGAGTTCAGTGTTAAAATTAAATTTATATCTTGGCTGTCTTTTATTTTGATATAAATTAATGCCTGTTGTGGTATTAGCCAAAGAAGCAGTTGTTTTCCGAAGGGAAACGATCGCTCGTTTTATTTTGTGACACAAGGTTCAGATAATTTCTTGTTTTCATATATTTTATACTTAATAATTTTAGGACATGGGGTATTATTCTACATCATATAACGCACATACTTCATCCGACCTTCGGAGCTGTCAAAAAGTTGATAGAATTAAAAACAAAAAAAGAAGTAAAAGATTTCGATGAATTAGATCCGAAACAAAAATATATAGCGACTGGATTTAACGAGAAATTAAAAGAACCCATTAGAGGCTATAAAACACATGCAGGTAAGGGTAGACGGACATATATAAATTATTAAATTCCATTAATCCTTAAAAAGGCCTATGTAAATTGAGATTGGGGACCAAATTAAAATTTAGGTCGAGGTAAGCTAAGGGAGTAATCTTCTGGATAGTCTAAAGATAAAGACATTAATTATTGAGGTGTGTTAAAAATGTTTTTCCATAAAAAAATAACGTATTTTACAAATCGTTTTGAGCATAAAATATGCAGTCAAATTCTCTAACTACGTATAAATATATTTAAAAAACTTCGTTTGTTGTAAATACTGTGAAGAATTCTATGCTTCCCAAATACTTGAAGTTTCCTCTATTAGAGTTGGGTCGGATAAAGGAAAAAAGTATCCGAGTACCAGATACGAGTACTAACAATGTACTCAGATACTTTAAAAAAAGTACGGATACATTCACCTAAAAATGTATTCGGATACAAGTTTCTGAATACTTTAAAGGATACTTTTTAGGATACTTTTAAAGTCTGTTAAATTAATATTTATAAGCTAATAGTTATAGTATATGAATACAATATAATTGAATATAGGCATGTACGTAGAGTATTGGCAAGACCAAACCTTCAGTCCTGCTTTGTGTTAGAGTGAATATTAAATGATGCTCGCACATGCAATAAACGACACATTATCAACGGTGCCATTCACAGTTAGAGTCACAGATCGGTAAGCTACTAATAAGCGGTATACTGACAACGCCAATACTACATTATTACCTCTTCTGCACATCCGAACACCTTTTACCTACAGAAGCAAAGCGAGACCGAAGGTTTTAATCTTGCCAGCACTGTATATCAAAAATATAAAGCGATATAATAGAAACAGGAAACAAAAACTGCTCAAAAAAGTTTCTTGTCTAAATCATAATCTCAAACGAGATGGTGGAATAAGTTTTTGAAAATTTTAAAAACTCCGAAAAATGTATCCTATATGCAGGTACTTACAAATTTGACCACGGATACATACAACGTATACTTAATTTGAAAGATACCCAGAAACAGCTTTTGGATACATATAAAGTACCCGGATACTGAATCTGGATATAGAAGTATCCGGATACTACCCAACTCTGTACTCTAAAGCCTGGTAGAGTTATATCGTCCTCTTAATTCTACAATTGGGTAACTCGAGTTATCTACTTTGTAATAATACAAGTGGGTAAGTCGTAGAGCACCTACGACTTATCCACTTGTGAGTTGCTCTTTATAATGGTACAAGTGAATAAGTCGTAGAACATCTACGACTTACTCACGAAACACTAAAAAATTGAATTACCTAATTGAAGTAATTAGGGGGACGATATGGTCCTGATCCAAGCGTCCAGGTCGTAATCCAACAAATCCTCCTGTACACGGTTGGTCTTCAATTTACATGCAATTTTTGGACTCAATGGTATTTACTTGTACATATATCCAGGTAGACGTGTATAGAATGATGAGTGGATTCTCCAAAAACTTCTATTGTTGGCATAAAAAAAAAGAACTTATCTGGCCCTTGCCTTAGATTATTTAGTTATCTGTTCTTTATAAACGTAGGTATGCTTTCTATTATCTTTACCAGTATATAATTTGAAAAATTGGTCATGTCCACAAATATAGTGGCGTTAATGAGAGACAGACATGGGTCTTTATCCTTAATAAGTCTTTCAAATATATGACTGTAATTCAACTAACTGTTAGCTGTAGTCTTCACACAGGTCCTCCACTTCTCTCGGTATTCAGTAATTTCTTTATAATGATTTCACTTTTTTTGTAATTCTGCAATTCTTTGTTCCATATTCCTCTTTGTTTTAACTGTATATCAAACTACACACTTTTCAATGTTCTCTTTATAGAATTACTTAAAGAAGAACGAGAGGCAACTCAAAGATCTCCCATGTACTCAGAGACCGGTAGAGTCACACACAATTGGGAGTTTCTAAAGCAGACTGAAAAATTGAGGAATACAGTGGTGTATGTAGCACTTAATGGAAACACAATTCCACCTCAAAAAGCTGTTTTTAAAGAGAGTGAAATGGAAGACACTAATTTGATAAGTAAGTCTTGAATCATTTGAAATTTTAATAATTTGGTATAATATTGCAAAAATTAGGAATAATTTTTTAGTGCTGTATTTAATGCTTTTGAGTATGTTGAAGATCTGTTACAGAAACATACTTTCCTTCACGAAAGATTAATAATTAGTATGACAAATATTCATTGGCATCAATTGTTGACAGATACAAGTGAGATTCTTTGCAGCCCTCTAGACCATCAGTGGTCAGTGATTTTTTTTAATTTTTACCAAGAATATCCAATTTCAAAAATAAGAGAAAAAAAAAGTAGTTTAAATAGACAGGCGCCGATTTATAAACTGGGGGTTGAGTAAAAAATAATTAATTTTTTTTTTTATTTATTATTTCTTAATAACCAACATGGGCTCATGTAAACATATATGCTTCTATTTAAAAAAATTAATTCGTCCTTCAAATGGGCCCCGAGTAACCGAAAATCAAATTAGGGTATTTTGTAGAATTAATAAATTCAAGTTACTTTTGCTTAATACCTTTTCTGCTGAAAAATTAGAGACTGTAAACCAACTGTAGTTTGGATACATATTTTAATTTCTAATAGTGGTGAAAATATTGAACTTTTTTACACTAATGAATTACCCTGTATAAACCACTAAAAAATTTCCATTTTTTCTAAAATCGCTTGTATTTTGCGTCACCATATGATTGGACTATAACCTAAACCTCTTTTTATTTTAAATTAATCTTTTTTAAACAGACAGCTACTGCTCCAAAATGTTGGGAATGCCGGACGGTATCAGCCATTTCTGCACCATATACGGCAGGATTTTGAAGGATCCGAAGGACTTCCAACACGGCTACTTGTACGTAGCCGTACCGTATGGCGAATCATTCATTAAAATAGATTATATGGCGCTGTTTAAGAAACATTATAACTATAAGAAAACGAAAAAGCCCAAAGTAAGTCGCAAATTTCAATACCAGGGTCGTTTCTAGGATATTTTCCAAAATATTTTAATAAATTTTAACTTTTACTTTTCTTATCGGAACATACCCTGTATATATTTTTAATTTTTAAATGCAGTGTATGCTAAAACAATAACACATGTTTTCTTTTGTATGCGCAGGTGATAGTAAAGCCTCAAAACCGTTACAAGACACTGAAAAATATCACTAGAAACGACTCTGTGAAATATTATAATGATTTATTGTTGGGAGACGAGGTCCTTCCTATTGACGATGATGAGGTGGAAAAGTATTTGACACCCGTGTGCAAAAGGTACTTTAAATTGGGCCTTACATATATACATCGGTCGCAATTTATTTATATCTAACTCAAGGCTCGAAAGATTTAAAATTTTTGTATAACGTTAACCGCAATTTATGTCGAATCCAAAATTTTGTATACAACGTCAGCGGCAATTTATATCGTACCGAAGGTTCTTCGCACGGGTTTAACTTTTTATATTATAACGTCCGCCGCAATTTACATCAAATAGAAGGTTCCAAAGAAATTAACTTTATTTAGACTTGCAGCCGCAATTTATCTACATCGAAAGCAAGATTCGGAAGGTTTAAATTCTTATGTTAGCCACAATTTATTCGAACCAAAAGTTCAAAATTTTATTTTTTTTACAAGTTCAGCGGCAATTTATTTATTTCATACCGAATGCTCTAAAGGTATTAACTTTCTTTATAACGTCAGGCTCAATTTATTTATATCGAAACGAAGGTTCGAAAGGTTCAAAAAACGTTTTACAACGTCAGCCGCAATTTATTTATTAATCCTTGAGTTCTAAAGGTTTTTACCAGACGCAATTTACTTGTATTTATATTAAACAGAAAGTTTAAAAAATATTATTTTCTTTAAACACTATGGCGCAATTTATTTATATTAAACCGACAGTTCGAAAGGATTTAACTTTTTTATGACGTCAGACGCCATTTATTTACATCGAACGAAAGGTTCGAAAACTATTAACTTTCTTTAAACCCTCGCCTCAATTTATTTATATCAAAACGAAAGTTTTGAAAGGTATTAACTTTCTTTAAACCGTCAGCTACAATTTATTTATATCTAACAGAAGGTTCAAAAGGTTTTGAATTATTTTATTACATCAGCAGCCATTTATAAATTCAAGAGAATTAATTATCCTAGGAGATTTAAGCATTTCTCATGAGAAATTTTTTTTTTAAATTTCGTGGTATATTTTTTAATCGCATACAAATTGTACCACATTGGTAAAGTTGATAATATTTATATTAAAATAATTATTTGTTTTAGATACCGACCATTATAGTAAAACCTCATAGTTCGGTGCATTCCAGATGTTCAAGACGAACCGTGAAAATTGTTGGAAAATCTGGAAAATCTAGAAAGTCTGGAAAGACAGTGACTGATAATACCACGAAAACTAAAATTCCCTCCTACAAAACCAAAAGTTTTGACTCATTTGCCAGGAAGGTAATTTCAGAAATTTTTAATATCTTTGTTTTTACATTTTCAGGTAGTTTTAAAATAGTTTGACTTCCCTCTAAGATTCTTTTTAATTTAAAAGATTATAATGGGCCAGTTCTCTTTTCCGCTATTCACTTTTTCCGCTATTCGACAATTTCACGAAAAAAGCGCGGGACTTTTGAATCTAGTAATTTTCTAAAGATAGCAATCTTTCTCTTACAATATTGTTGAGTTGACTACGACAGTAACTCCCTGTCATCGTTAGTTTAAAACAACTGTCATCGATTCTACATTATAGGGGAACCAATAATACCTTTTTGGTACACATTTGCAAAAGGCTAAGCTATAAATGTATCGTTAATTCTTACCCAATAGAAGATCGAAATAGTTCGATGCAGGCGCACTAGAGGTGAAGCACTCGACGACGTCTTCAAAAAGAGGATGTAGAAAAACGTTTGCTGCCATCTTGGTAGCAATGGAAAATGTTCAAGTTTGGAAAATTAAATTGTTATAATAATATGTTGTATTTACACAAGGCTTATTTTTAATGATTAATGAAAACTGTAAGCTGCTATATTTGAGACATTGAGACGAGATACACATTATTTTTCGATATGACAAATAGACGCACTTCGAGTAGTGGAAAAGTTTAATTAAAATGGCGACTTTGATTTATTTGAAGTCAATAATTTTATATTTCAAGATTAACGGAATGCTTTTATATCATTTAAATGAAGCTACTTTTAAAAAATGGCTCGTATTTTCATCAAAACTGATTAGCTCAAGTTTGACATACTTATGACGTAAAATGTAATGCAAAGTTGCGGCCACTTTTATTATTTTCATAGCATCTCCTCTTTCTATCTATCTATCTATTCTATCTCAATGACTGCAATCGATCTGAATCTGAAATGCCCTGTCAGCAAGCAAGAAGGTACTGTTTTCCAAATTTCATTAAGGTGACAGCAAACTTACTTCCATTAACTTTTGATGTCAATAATATCTGAAAGTTTCAAATTTGCACTTCTATCCATTTGCTACACAAGCTTTTATAAGACGTCTTTGTTGAAGGCTCCATCGCTGCAGGGACCCAAATAGCTATTATCAGTATATAACAAGTATTATGCTACATTAATTTTTTTTCGGTGTATTAAAGCGACCATCCGTCTCATACGTTAAATTCAAGGTCACAAAATTTTAATCTCTGAATTTCAAAGGACCGACAGTTATTGTTGCTTCTTTGTAGTTTTTATTCTCGGCTCTTTTCAATATTGATAAATGGACAGCACTTTTTTGCAAGTATTCTTGTTTAATATGCAACACTTCGGTAACAAAAATTTTTATTACAGAAAAATAAACTCACTAATGTCGATTCAAAGCTAGCAAGTGAAAAAGAATTAAAAATTACCTACTATTCTAAAAGCGAACAGGATCACATACCATCTTTTAAAGCTAGAACTGTTAGTAGTATACCACATCAAAAATTTGTTCCTAAACATTTTGATATTAGAAAGCCCTCTTTTCATACCGTAAGTATTAATTTACAGTAACATAATACGTCTAAGAATACATCCCATTGACAAGAGTATCTAGTGAACCATCTATAAACTACGGAATGTTCTTTTTAATTTTGACATATCATTGCCAACCATTTTTTTATTCAATACTTATACTTATTTTTAGAGTACAGTAACTCTTTCTCCAGAAGAACTTATTCGCAGTAACGAAGCTGGATGTATGTCCGATGAAGATCGCAATAACGACGAAACAACTGTTGATCAAGAGAATTATGAACGGATAATGTATGAACAGCAACAATTCGAAAAGGCCAACACTGATAAGTTCTGCAAACAAGAACCACATTCTATTCCATCTAAGATCATCCAAGAACCTTCGGAGAGCAAACAGACTGTTAAAACAAAAGTCTGTAATGAAAAAAAATATCATCAAACTAAAATGGTGCAGGACTGCCAACAGCTCGTCTTTGGTTTGTGGTACAATCAAGCAACGAACGGAAATAAAAATGAAACTGTAGACGTAGACAATATTGGACAAAACAACCACGAAATGCAGCTAATAAACTATCAAGAACCTTTAATTGGAGTAACACTCAAACTTCCAGATGGTGGAAAACAACCACATCCAACAGGAAGATGTGAACAAGCATATTGTGAAAAAAACACCGTAACATGGCGAGAACTAGGAGAGAAAGAACAAAAACAGAAAAAGTGTTCTGATGAAATAATTTACGAAATAAACAAATCTAATACTTGGAATTCCAATGATCATGTACACCCAATCTCTGGTAAAAATGATAGCACAGTGTATGAACAAATAGGAGGACAAGCATCTGAAGAGCTTCGCCAAGAAAATGATGAACCAGAAGAGGAAGAAACTGATAGAAATGGTGAATACGAAAGGTTTAATAAGCATACAAATGAACATGATAGTTTAAATTCATTTAAATCGGATGATAATTTGAACTATTACTATGTGAAACTTGTAAATGAAGGTAACCAGACAATGTTTAGAAAAATTGAATCGAGGGAAAAGTACGTACAAAGTGATATGAGACGTCAATCATGTGGACACAAACCAAGGTCAAGAAAGTGTATGTATTGAATATGTTATTTTCCACTTCCTGAATAAAACAGTATCGACAAGTTCTTTACGGTCTAATGTTACTGTATTTATTGTATTTATCTGGTTCTAGGTGAAAGAGGAAATATTTTAAGTAGCGTCACTGAACCGATTCTGACCTTGTCCCAGCAAATAATGGAAGCTGATAGCAGTATTGCTGTTACATATCATGCTCAGTCTCGACAACGAACCAAAAAGTAAGCTTTATTTGTTTCACTAGTTGACTGTAGAAGATAGTCAAGGTTTGGAAGGGTAGTCTAGACAATAGAATGCATAAGATGAATGAATGTGAAGAAGTAGTGCACCTAAATGGTAGTACAATAATCCCATGAGTCTGCAGTAAGGCCACATGATCCCAGAAACGGGGGGGGGGGGGACATACCGGAACCCAAGCTTAACTGCTTAACTGAAGGAGGAGCATAAAGATGCTTGAAAGAGTGAATAAAAAAAGTTTTAGTTTAATTTTTGGAATGTTTCGTGTACAATTCAATTTAAAAAAAAAATATTATTTTTGGTGCAGGTCATTACCTAGATCTTTCACAGTCAAAGAAGATCAATCCGATTTGCAAAGGAATGTAGAGTCGAACAAAAGAGCAGTGCACCTAGACGAATATTGTAAAAAATCGAAAAAAACTCTCAGCCAACTAATTCTGAGCGTATCGAAAACTATAAAGACCTACCAAGATATTCTGAAGGAGGTAGAAAAAGATATCGCGGATGATCCAATTGCCCAAAGATTAATGCGAGTAAGTATAATTTATTCAGGCAAAATTGATACCTCAGACGGTCATGAATGAACTTTGTTTGCGTTACCATTCAAGAATTAGTCGTTTGTAGTCCCATTATGTACCTAGAACGTTGCATTTTCTGAGACTAATAATATGAAGTGATGGTCCCGAAGGTACAATTTTTTTTTCAAAGATATTTTATTACTCATTTAGTTCATTTAGTTCATTTAGTTCATTTAGTTCATTTAGTTCATTTAGTTCATTTAGTTCATTTAGTTCATTTAGTTCATTTAGTTCATTTAGTTCATTTAGTTCATTTAGTTCATTTAGTTCATTTAGTTCATTTAGTTCATTTAGTTCATTTAGTTCATTTAGTTCATTTAGTTCATTTAGTTCATTTAGTTCATTTAGTTCATTTAGTTCATTTAGTTCATTTAGTTCATTTAGTTCATTTAGTTCATTTAGTTCATTTAGTTCATTTAGTTCATTTAGTTCATTTAGTTCATTTAGTTCATTTAGTTCATTTAGTTCATTTAGTTCATTTAGTTCATTTAGTTCATTTAGTTCATTTAGTTCATTTAGTTCATTTAGTTCATTTAGTTCATTTAGTTCATTTAGTTCATTTAGTTCATTTAGTTCATTTAGTTCATTTAGTTCATTTAGTTCATTTAGTTCATTTAGTTCATTTAGTTCATTTAGTTCATTTAGTTCATTTAGTTCATTTAGTTCATTTAGTTCATTTAGTTCATTTAGTTCATTTAGTTCATTTAGTTCATTTAGTTCATTTAGTTCATTTAGTTCATTTAGTTCATTTAGTTCATTTAGTTCATTTAGTTCATTTAGTTCATTTAGTTCATTTAGTTCATTTAGTTCATTTAGTTCATTTAGTTCATTTAGTTCATTTAGTTCATTAGGTTTGAATTGATTGTTAAACATGCAATTTGACTAAATAGATACATCCAGATATATCACATTTTTAAAATTATTATTAAAAAGATTAATTATCATTTTTTGTTTCAGAAAATAAAAAAAGGTTCTTGTGCAGCTACTGAAGAAACACGTAAATCAACTTGTACCAAAAGAAATAGTAACACTTGAAGACTTTTAAGATATATTTTATATTCTTACCCGAAAATAAGCAAAAATATAGAAGAAGATTATAATAATAATAATTGCAAAAAAAACTCCTATACAAATTTTACTATAATTAAAAAAGTGAGCTCACAAAAGAAACAGATATTTTTTAAATATGTTTTTCGTGTTGTCTCTAACGTTGTTTGTGTTGCTTATTGGAGCGACTGTCATGATATCTATTGTCGCCGCGTCAGTCGCTGTCCTGGTAATTGTCGCAATCACCTTGGTATTTGTGATATTTACCTTATTTGTGACGCTTGGTACCGCATTTGACACTCTGCTTTCATAAGTGCAAATGTAAAAAAGAATATGCTGCATTTCTGTTATTGTATCTACCACAAAATGATTTTGTATCAACTTGAATCGTAAAACATAGGAAATTGTCTAGTCGTGATGAATTTTGCCCCGTAAAACCACGCCTACATTAATTTAGCTTTGAGATAATGTGCACCATATCAAAAATGTAGTAGTAAAATACGAAATAACTCGTAGTGGTTTCATCCGTATTTGACTCGAAGAAACAAAAATTAGCAAAATAAAAGAAATTTTTCTTTCACCAAGAAAAAAGAAAGCACCAGTACGTTTGTGCATAGCTATTTAGTACAAATCGATAGAAAACTAAGTGGGTCATCACGAAATATCTCGTAACTTGGCAGAACTACTTCTTTTAAATAATATCATATTATTTATTTTTATTTATTTATATTCAACACTTTTTGTAATATTTTTTACACTCTTTTTATATTTAATAATCGACTTAATAACCAAATAGTCGTATTTGGCCGTCAATGTATTTAAAATGTGCAAAAACTAAATTTTTAAAATTACTTATTTTTATTTATTGTTTTACGGGTCTATAAGTCATAATTCATCCTACAGCTAGGTTTCTTTCAGCTATATTATAATGCTTACAATTAATAAAATGGTAGTTACATCCCCACCTAACACATCTTCAATAACAGTTTTTTTATATCTTTGATAATCTTAGGAGATTAGATGATTAAAATGTAGCCAATGCCAATAAAATGTATACTAAATGATTTGTAAACTAAACGAATAAAAATTTAAATAATACTAAATATGTTGTATTTGTATTCGGAAGGACTCTACTGTTTCTAAACCTTTGGAAAACGTATATGTACAATATCCTACAGTGCCTGTAAGATTCTATAATATTCCCGATATTCAAAACTAGACAGATTAATAGAATTACTTATTATCATCAAATAGTAAACTATACAGGATGTTCCGAAATGTCATGCCAAAAGGTATCAAAAAACTATAATATCCACTCTGGAAAACTACTAAGGAAATTAAAAGGTCCATACTCTGAAACCCATTAATAATAAAAGCAGACAAAACCTGAGCACGTAACTACTCCCAAAAAAGCAAGAGAGATTTGATGAACATTTTGAAATGAGATATCAGTCAAAATATGAATAAAAACATTATAACTGGATTGAACCAATTACAGAAAAGATCATTAGATATACTTTTTCCAATGAGGTCTCTGATGAAATAAAACAACATTACTTCAAAAAAGTTGACTTAATAACCGGTGAAATTTTTAAAAAAACTTCCATAGAAAGCAATTGTAAATATAGCTCATCTAATTATCAGTGTATCATAACATTTTAGACTGACGTACATGGGGTACCTAAGCTTTACTGCCTAATTTTGAAAGACATTTTCAAATTCAAATACAGGCTGAGAATCCTGTAAACAGGAACATACCATACAAGCTGAACTCGTCTGGAATACAGACGGTTTGAAAACCAAGGAAGGAGTCAGAGCTAAAAGCTTTTGGACCCAAGTCGAAAACAACAATTTTGTTGAATCTAGAAGAATATGCAACAGTATTCTAGGCTGAACTAATAGTCATACAAAACCGTGTAAGAGAAATAATCAATCAGTAAGTATCAGGCAAAATTACTGCCATCTACTCTAATAGGCAGCTCTAAATGCAATTCATTCAAAAGAAATCAAATTACGATTGGTGAAAGACTGCCTAGAAGACCTGGCAGAGTTAAGTAGTCAAAACAAGGTGTCCATAGCCTAGGTGCCAGGTCACGAGCAATATTATGGCAACGAAAAGGCTGACGAATTAGCCCAAGAAGGCTCGGGTAAGGCCATGACAGTCCCCAAACGCTTCTGTGGAGTTGCTAAGGCATTCCTGCAAGGCATCTATCAAACAATGGATGCAAAAAGAGTCTATGGAATAGTGAAATAACTATCCAAGATTGAGACAGGCTAAACAGTTAATTAATGAACCATCGGCCAAGTTCACGAAATACCTACTGGATCAAACACGTTAAATAGTTAGGAATAGGTCTTTTTTACCGGATACTATGGCCTAAGAAGGCACAAAAGTGTCATCAATCCAACAGAATAAGTAACATTGTATGGATTCTGACAAGAAGGGTACTATCAATCCACGTCCTGTGCCAGTATGAAGGCCAGGCTAGAGGTTTCTAACATTAGGCGAAGAAAAGCCAGACGCATGGAACTGCATACGAGACTCACTGTCAAAGCTACTAAGTCTAATAAAAAATACCAAGCTAGACGACATACTTTAAAAAACGGAGTGCACAATAAATCTGAAAAGGTCGCGGCGGAGAAAGACAAATAATATCAAACTCCTTTCAAATCGAATCTAATATAATCTTTACTCCCTGTAATATCGAAACTTTATGAAAAATTACTCATATTTCCATTCTTCAATAGACCAAGTGCACAGAATCACTATAAAAAATTGTTAGATGGAAACAAAATTTGCTCTAGAATCTTCCTGGACGTAGCGCAAACTTTTGACTGTGCTTTTGATAAAGTATGGCATGAAGGATTGTTCCACAAACTGGTCACACTATTACCAAGACAATATTCAGACCTATCAATTTCATATTTAACAGAAAGGTGTTTCTAAATTTAACAAGAAGATGCATATTCTGAATTAAAGAAAATCAAGGTAGGAGTACTAAAAGGTACGAGTACTCGACCACGTACTATACACCAGTGACATATATAACCTTAAACAATACAATAGCCACATTTGCAGACGACACTACAATACTAGCAACAGGAAAATACTACAAAAAGCTGTCAGAAATACATCTATGAAATCCATGCTTGGACTAAAATATGGCGTATCGAATTGAATGAAAACATCAACTTTACAAACAAACGGAAGCGCAACACATTCAGAATAAAGGTCTATCCACATTAGCCGGACAAGCCACGGTCAATTCACGGTCCGGTCACGATCAAATCTTTTTGAAAGCATTCATACTATCGGGTCATGGCATCGTCATATTCGACTAGTGTTTCCAATGAACAGCAGGGAATCATACATAAGTGTTTTTTCAGAATATTTTTGCTTGAAGCATCGCGATCTGCAATCTTAAAAATTTTTTTTTATTAAAATCGCACTTATTTTGGATGCGAAAGAAGAACAGCAAATAACATAAAAAAAGAAACAGAAGATTTTGGGTATATCCAATGCTAAAAGACAAAATAAATATTGAATGCGAATTTTTTACATTGCACGAATAATCATGCACCATTTGGATTAAAATTTCGTCGTTTTCAGATGAACTTTTTTTTACAATAGCTATTTAAAAAAAATCTAAACATTCTCAGTAATCACTCTATCCTTTTCGATACTGCCGACAGCCCGCTTCTTTGTTTGACTGGTTGGTCGTTGAGCATCCACACTAGACGGTCTGTGCGTCAACGGACAATCACAGTCTGGTCAAATATTGTTGGAAATGATCTGCCCGTAACTTGGCCGTGGCTTGCTTGTTTGATAACCGGCATGTGTGAAGAGTTTAAAAAAAATCTCGTTTAAAAGCATTAATAATATGACAAATCATTTTTGATCGGACCGTGACTAGACCGTGACTTGACCTATAGTGAGAATAGACTTTTACTGATACTCAGAAAACTGTTTGATCATCAGCAGAATACTTGTGTGTATGACTCCAGACAGTAAGTATATACTCTTTTGACCTTTTCCCCCAACATTCTCAAAAGCTACTTCACCTAACCATACAAAGTAGATAATAAAAAGTGATCATCAACTTAGACTTTATTCCTTAAACTAACGAATATTATTACAATTTGATTTTGTGTTAAAGTAATTTTAATGTAACGACGTCTCCAATATCCAAAAACATATTCCTAGAGTAAAATAGAACTTAGACAATTTTCCAGAAGCAAATAATTTATTTTACGAAAACAAAAATGTATTTCTTTTATTTGTGTAATGTTCTAGCCTCTCTTTCTTCAAATGTCCATTAATGATGTCTTCTTTCTAAGATAATGGCAATGAATTAGATGATTTACCAGTACCAGTCCATATCCACCAAAGTGATCCGACTTCTTAAATGTTTAATCCACATTCTGAATTTTTACAAAACCTTGAACAACTCGTGAATCAAATTTCTTTTTTCCGCCACGTTTTATCATCTTCATTCTATTCTGTATAGTTCTGTACAAGTCGAATATTTTTAAATAATCAACTCTCAAGAATTGATGGTTATTGGGAACTACTACATAAAGATATCCCGGTTGGAATTCAAAGGCATCTTTTATAGAAATTCCATGAATAGTGCAAATCTTTCCAATACCTTCTGGAATACTCAAAATCCTGGATAAATAGTTAATAATAATGTACCAGTTGTTGAAGTCGAATCTATTAAAAACTACTTTTTGTGGTGGTTGATCGTTTACCCCATTTAGGGTGGCATAAATCACTGTTACATTCTTTTTTTGTAACTCAGATATGAATCTGGTATCGCCAAAGTGTTTTGGGCCAGCATACACTTTCCTTATGGATTTTTTCCTCTCCAACTCGAGTTCCTGATTAGTTCTGTATTCTTTGGGATTAAGTTGCGTTTGTGAGGAACTTCCAAATCCTATATATTTATCGTTTTCACTTAAATCATCGTAATTCCACACCTCTTCGTTGGATCTCAAAGAAATCAATCTTCTGATTGCCCCAAAGTTAGGTTGTATGACATCGGTTATGTGCAACAAGATGGAATTCCACGTTCTAAATTGTTTGGGGTTGATAGTAAATTCGTGGCAATTATGGTCGCCTTTCACCCATACTTTGATACGTTTGGCCTTGTTTTGCTTTAGCGGTGCGTCGAGGTTTTGGAGGCTGAAAGAAAACAACATTGCGGAATAAAGTCCCACTGGTGATTTGCAATGGTAAAATCGTGATAAATTTTCAAAGGGAATTAACGATAATTTGGAATCTGGTCTAAAGTTGACAGCCCATGATTGCCACTGTTGGCAACTGCAGCAATAAATTGTTGTGATCTATAAAGACGCAAAATTGACTGTAGTTGGCATGTCTAATGACAGCGCAGTCAATTTTCTATGTAAGTCAATGTAAAATAAAGTGATTTTTTAAATAATTGATGAAAAGAATCAAAATAATGTGAAAAAAAGTACCTGAGTACAAGTAACATGAGTGACAAAAAACATCAAAGCAAGATTTACGTCGTTTCAGATTGTAAAACAGGATAAAAATCAAATATAAAACTAAAAAATACAAGAAGAAATCAATTTAATGTCTTTTTAAAGCTTTTAATGTAAGTAAAATAATGTATTCATGTCTAAATATAATATTTATTGTAAACTAGTCACAATATGTATCCTACGAAGTGTAGTTTATTTTATTGTTTCTATAATATAAAATTTTACAGTTATAGATGCTGACTTACAAACAACAATAATTATGCATTAAATTTAACTTACTAGAAAAGAAAATTTATTTTTTAAAGAGTTTTAAGGCTAGATAAAGAGTTGCTACTGTTATTTTTTTTTGGACCCCAATTGTGTCATTGTAAATGTTTTTTATAGGATACTAAACGTTTAGAACAGTGGCAGTATACATATCGTTCCTAGTGCCGATAAAGCACTTTCTAGAGATGATGCTGTTCTATACTTTTTAGAAGATATTATCAAATATTATGAGACTATTTTTACTGATGGTACTGTTAGCAAAATAAAAAGAGGAAAGCTGAAATTAAAGGATGAGGTAATACCATGTACATTCACAAATCTCCCTTTATACTTGTATTACAATACAACAATAAAAAATCAGTTAACTGTGTGTTATTTTACTCTTAAAACTATATATTGGTTCAATTCAAAAAAAAAATTGCCACAAAATTGTACCAATCAAATTTCAGCAATTAAGAAACCTTTTTGAATTTGGTCATACATACCTAATTTGTATTTTATATAGATAAAATTAAATAATTTATCAATTAAAACATGCAAGACTTATTTAGAAATAAATACAACAGTATGTTCTGTGCTTTATTTAGCTGTAAACAAGTTTATTTTTATTATTTTGAAAAAATTATGTATAATTCCCATAAGAAGCCATGTATTTTGAACAACGTATGCAGTACCAGCGCCCATGCGGTTAATTATAGAAGCTCAATTAGCATGCGTTTTTTGGGACCGTATTTTGAGTATGCCGATTCATCTCCTTATCTCTAGTCTTCATATTGTGATCATAAAAAGCCTAGGAACATGCTTGTGATCAAAAGATGTCAGAAGCCACAGAAATCTTAAAGAAGAAGAAAGTTAATAAATGTCAGAAATGTGAAGTTTTTGTTCATTTCATCCCCATTTTGTCATCGAATGTGCTCGAAAAATTGCAGTAATAAGAAATCATCAAGTGGAAGCCGTGTTTCGACAGTTCAAAAACCAAAAAAAGTTAAAGTGTATAATAACGGAGAAGCTCATTTATATCCATTCAATTTGAATCCTAGAGAGTTTAAAGGATGGACGGCCATTTTGGATCACATGACGTCGATAATAAAACCACGGACGGGTGTAATTGCAAAACTAATTGCTCTTAGTAAGTTAAATACAGTACTTGATTTTTATATTCGCGTAAATTGTACTAATATTTTAAAATTTACTCTATTTTTAAGGTAACAAAAAAGAAGTCCAATGCTTCGACGATTTAGATCCGAAAGAGGCTTACGTAGCTTTAGGAATCGGTCGCAAATTCCAAACAGCTCCTGGTGGTTACGAAGTTACCTCACATAGGGATATTTTGAAAAGGGAAAGCGGTTTAAAGAAACACTATGAGGGTCAAGTGGATCCAAGCATTTTACCGATGCTCAAAGAAACCGAAAAGAAGCATTTGACAGTAGCGTATTTTTTGGTTAATGGTGAAGATTTTGTGTTAAATAATTTTCAGATTATATCGCTAGTTTCAGATTATACATCTAGTGAAATGTCCTTCAACATACTCATCCATATGAGACTATAATAAAATAGAGAAACGAATTCTCTCTTCGCTACTGAATATTGACTCCTAAACTTGAAGTACTTAAGTACAAAGGCAAGAGTTAAGTATCATTATCATTAAACTTTGATACATTTGGTACTTCTACTTCCAAGCAGAGCTGCTTGCAATAGAATTGACAGCCAAATAGATAATATAATAATTTGACAGGCAATTGACTCTTAAGAAACTAAGCTTTGATGGCTATTAAGAACCTGAGCTCGTCAGAATCTTAACTCTTATGGAGTGAAGCTCTTAAGGATCTAAGCTCGTAAGACGTAGAGTTCTAAAGGAGCTGACATTTTGAGAACCTGAGCTTTTAAGAATTAGAACACGGAAAGGCTGAGGAGCCTAGCTTTTGTGTAGCTGAGCCTTCGAGTACCTGAGCTGTTCAGAATCTGAGCTTGATTCAAAGTTTATTTAAAAAATTATTTGGTTCTCAAATCAAAGTTATTAGGATTGTAAAAACTAATATTACCTCTCTTAAATTTAGAAGAGAAGCAGCTGTTTTGAAGTATTATAAAAATCAGATTATAGATTAGATGAATGAGAGACGAATGGATAAATACCTGTATTTCTAAAGGACCTTGAGTTTCCAGACAGTGCAATAGACATAGTGATTTCATCAATAGAAAAGCTAGGCTTATCTTCTTAGTCTTAATTTATTAGGAATTTTTTTCTGAAACCCGAAAGCAGGTCGTGATCTGTTTTTACTTTACAGGAAGAAATAAACAATGCGGCCTCAAAATTATACTCAGTAGATGCGATCTCAAACGTCAAGTGATAACCAAAAATTACCTTGGCAAAATTTTGGACGTTCCGGATGGTATCCAAGACATAGCCACGATTTTCGGAGATATCTTGGCTGATTTAAGAGAAATACAGCACGGTTTTCCTTACGTAGTATTACCTTATAACAAACCGTTTGTAGACATAGATTATTTAAAATTTTTCAGTAAAAAGAGTGGATGTAAACCGGTGTTGAAGTTTAATATTCGTCCATTTGGAAGCGAAAATGGTAAGTTCGTTTGGAAATCTGTTTTATAGTTAATCGCTCTTTGCAACTTTAGCGTTTATTTTTATTCTGTATTACATAGGTACTTAATTTTATTGTGGTTCGTTTAAATTTCAGTTTCATTAATAAATGTATAAAATAATTTACGTTCTTTAGCATTTATACGTTTTTCGCGTTTATAAAGTTTTTAGCGGTTTTCAGCATTTTTTTTAGCATTTTTGGCGTTTTTTTTTAGCGTTTTTAGCAGTTTTTTAGCAGTTTTTTTAGCAGGTTTTCAAGCGGTTTTTAGCGTTTTTTAGCGGCTTTTTTTTTAGCCTTTTTTAGCGGTTTTTAGCTGTTTTTTAGCGGTTTTTAGCGATTTTTAGAGTTTTTAGCGTTTTTTACATCTCACTACAGTTAGAAATCAGTTAAAACACATTTGGTCGTTGATACTGCAAAATGTAGTTATGTCAAAATAGCTACTTTTCAGGAAACCAAAAAAAAAAGAACAATATATTTTTTCACATATGACATCTTAAAATACTTTAAACGCTTGCTATTGGTTCGCGGCCAGAGAAAACAGAGATATAACCATTCATTGATATTCACGATACCAAGATTAAATCGACAATCGACTCTATTTGTAGGTCCGCGGCGAGAAGACGAAAGGTGAGAAGTAAGAGAGGGGATAAAGAGAAGAATTTCACGCAGATACAACTTTATTTTATCAATAAATAAATGTGTAAACGATGTGCGCTTATAATAAACAATGTAACGGTGTTCGCCCTGTTGCCACTTCCAACTTACGATTACTAGGTTTTGGATTTTATTGAAAATTATTACATTTAATTTAGTAAAATTACATCTAATTTAGTTAAATTTGATATGACTAATAATTAAAAATTTTTTGGATTCAGTTGCAATAAAATAGGTTAAATTATTTTAGCTTTTTTTAATATATGTAAATAATTTTGTAAACAAAACAAGAATAATAAAATAGGCCTATGACAACAGCGGATATTATATCCTCCTGTGTCCCTTAGAATAGGTCTTATTCAGGACCGCACGATATTTGTTAGTAGTTACATCTCCTATTATCTCTGTTCGCGACTTTGGAGGATTAAGGGCTGGTCAATTTTAATTATGAATTTGCATTAATTTAAACGTGCGTTTTTGACATACGACTAATTGAAGTATCAACGACGATTTATAATTGATAAATTTTCAATGATGCAATATTAGCTAAGCAGGGATCTACCCAAAACCGCAAAACATGGCAAGTGGTCTACGAAACAAAACAGTTTGGAGACCTCTGCTTTATACAGTGTAAAAAAATCAAAAAATGCAATCCTTATTTATTAAACTCATATTTTTTAGATTCTTCGAAAGGCAGTTCATGTAAATGTGCATCAAAATCGCAAATTTCTTTACGAGCAGGAAGCAACGAGAAACAACCTACTATTGGTAATTTTATAATGTCTATTATCTTTTACATTCTATGCCCGGATATTTTAAGCCAAATTTTATCAAGAAATTCCTACTCGTGTCAGTCCCAATCTTTGTAAAAAAATACGTGCTACGCACTAATTTTATTTTCGTCGTTGGGACTGACATTCGTGAATATTAAAAAATTGTCGACAAGAAAGAGTAAGGTTCAACCCAAAAATATTATTTCTAATCTAAAGACAAGATTTTAGTACAGCTTGCAAGAGAAAGTGATCTAGTCGAAATTATATTGTTTTGGAGTTCTACTTTACCACTCACCCTTAAAAATATATCATTTATACTGAGTCGGTGCAGTAGCCAGGGACGCGCCAAACTGATAAGCCCCTTAATTTGCATTGAGTCAAAATAACTTTAAAAAAAAATATGTTTAGAATGTACTTGGCTTTTTCCATGAATAAATACATCAGAGATAGTATATAGAGAAACTGGACCTTTAGGTTTCATTTATTGTAAATAGATTAAATTCAATTTTAGACCAATTTGTTTTTAGAAAAAATGTATTTAGATCAATTGATATTAGACTAAATTTTGTTAGACCAGCTTTCCAAGCTCCTTGAAAAACATATTCCAAGTCTTGCAATCATAGGAATATATTCCCATATAACTGGCAGACATAGCTATGCGAATCACTAGGAAGGAAAGTGCCACTTTTCCTCCCTAGGATGTAGGATGATCCTAGACATGAAACTAAATCTGTTTTTTTTTTCAAGTTTATCTTATTTTATAAATAAGTAATAGTCATAAATTATTTTTGAATTAGTTATTTTATCCTAATAACCTAAAATTATTTTTAAAATTTGTAGTTTTTGGTTAGTGGGTCGTAGAAAAAATATAATGTACGACTCAACTGGATTTTTTTTTATTTAATATAAATGTGTTGTTTAAATCATGCTAGCTTACCCTGACAGTAGTTACTTCATTTTTAATTTAAAGTCAGGCATTGTTTTCACTAAAATGTTAATAATTTTACAGATGTTCGAGGATGTCCACCAATGATAGTTATCAATCCATGTCAGTGTGAACCTACGTAAAAAATGAAGAAAATCTGATTTTTTATTTATTACTGTTGTAACTGTATACATAGGAATTGAAACTTTATTTTCTCTAAATAATTTCAAAAATATTATATATCTGCTGTTGCTTGTAAATCAAGAAAAGTAATATTTTCCAAAATTTAGAAAATCATGGAAGTATTTAAAAAAAAATCGTTTTTTATCAATTAAAAATACAGTGCGCTTCAAAAAAATTTACACCATATTTAAAACAATAATCTGAAATTATTTGCAAAATGTGCAAAAATTTTTTATTACCAATTTCTTAAAGAAAATCACGTAATGATTAAAAAAACAAAATATCTTAAATTTAATTTGATTTAATTGATTTATATAAAAATAAAGTAGGGTGTTATGATTTTGTTATTTCTGGAATAGCTTTCGATTTTTTATTTTTTCAAAAATAAAGGTATTTATTTCTTAATTTTATATTCTTATAATATCATTTTTATTTTAGTGTCTAGAGATATATAATCATCAGTAATTATTTTTGAAATTATCTAGAAAAAATATCCTTTTATCTAAAAGCGAAGTCGTACATAATCTAATACTTTAATATTTCCTGCACATTTAGTTCATTTTTCATTAAAAATTTCCATCTAAAACTGTTTATAATTGAAAAAAATAAAAACCTAGACTTACCTATTTAGTCACGCAACCGTGTCACTTTACTGACACTGTTGCGTCACACGTCACCTGTCATCGAAACTTCCTCCGAGGAAAATGTCGGGTCTTTATAAATCAATTTAATCAGACCTAGTATTAAACTAATATATGGATATAAATTTAACTAGTAAACAATTAGAAATAAAACTAATTTGTAAAATGTCAAAGATCAGTTTTAACATAACAAACAAAAAGAATATAAAGATAACAACAATAATTCACGAAATATCGTTCATATGTAATATTGTTTTTGCAAAAGCATCATTTGGCTCTGCAAGTGGTCTTTTATAAAAAGTAAAAAATATATTTAAAGAAGCTAACCAACCAGCTATATTTTTTATTTGATTTACATTTAGACCTGCTCTAAATACTGCGGAAGTTGAGGCATGGCGTACGCTATGGCTAGAAAAAAGGGATGTATCTACTCCACCTAAACCAAGAGTTTTCTTTATCCAACGGCTTATAGTTTGGGATGAAGCCGTATGAAAAGGTTTTTTATATGTAATAATTAGTCAATGTTGGGGATTTCGGAAATTGAAGGTTTTTTCTTAATAAAATTCCAAAGTGAACGCCACACACAACTCTGGTTTAGCTCTAAAGAAAGGTAAAACTAGAATTGGTTGTGGTTTATTGGGTTGAGATATTTTTATTCTTTCTGAAATTCTAATTTCAATTTTTTCTTGGTTTTTTATGATATCTTTTATATTAATTAATGATAAAGTTTGTACTCTATGACCTGTCGTTAAGGCCATTAGAGTAACCAGTCTATATGACAGTTGTTCAAAAATTAGCGTCGTTAATGGAAACCATTTTGAAAGATTTTAATAAGGGATCTGGGTTCCATGTAACAGAATATCTTGGACTTGTCGATCGTATATTGCAAAACCCCTTCAAAAACCTATTGATTATTGCCTTATCATCTTTAGATATTTGACTAAATATTAAGTGCATGTAGATTTTGAAATGTTAACAACTTTATCATTAGGTAAGGCTATTGTCATATCTGTCGTATTATATGAAAACCCTAAAAATCTAATAGACTGTTGTGGTACTAAACTACTTTTTCTAAAATGAATTAAGAACCCTAGCCTTAAGAATAAATCTATTGCAATATTTGTATCCAATTTACATTTCTGTTTAGTAGGAACTATTATCAAAATGTCGTCTAAATAAAAAACACAAGTAATTCTAAGATTTTTTGCTATTGGTACAAGTAATTTTGTAAATAAAAAAGGTGCAATATTTAAACCAAATGGTAAACAATTGAACTTATATAATGTGTTTCTGTATTTTTATCTACATTTTTTATATTTTTTAAAATAGGAACAAGAAAATAAGCGTCTTTAAGATCGATGTTAATAATTTTGGTTTATTTTAGCTGTAATCTTCCATTTTAAAGTGCGATAATTGTATGAAAGAATTAAGATTTTTTAAATTAAGGATAAAACGATTTTTTCCGTTAGGTTTTTTAACTAAAAAATAAGACGACAAAAATTATTTTTGGGCAGGACGGCATTTCTTAATAGCGCCTATTTACAAGAGCTCCTGGATGGCAGTCTCATACATTTTAAATTAAGTAGGAGGTATGCAACCTCTAGGTTCCCTTGACTGAAAAGGTTTTCTTTTAAACGGAATTTGTATTCCTTTAACCCAGCCAAGAACCACCTGTATCTGTGTAATGGTTTTCCAAGTCTGAATAAATGTAGTTAGATAACCAGCATATGACTCTACCTGTGACGTTGAAACTTCTATTTGCGCCGGTAATGAGTATATTCCTGTCTCGGTTTTCTGTACTGATTCCTGAGGTTGTCCGTCTCTCCCTTTTTTTTTAATTTTGTCTAGTATTGGGGTCGCTTGTAGTTTAAAGACTTCTGAGTACCTGATTTTGATATTCTTGCAGGTTTAAATGTTTTCGTCTTTAATTCAAAACTTGCTTTCCTTAGTGCCTGGTCGTTTTTAAATACTTCTGAAAAGTTTTTGCTGAATAGGAACTCATCCAGCTCCAATGAGTCTGCGACTTTCTTGTAATCTAGATTTAAATAAGAACTAATTTTAAATTATCTGTGTACCAATAGTGCCATTGTGCGTACTGGTAAAAAGTTGGCAGGCTTCTCTTAGAGTTTTTGCATTTCTGACTGGTCTTCATTTTGAAACATAATATCTAACACCACAGCTACAGCGGTCAACCCGCGCAGCTTCGGGCAAATACGGTAAAACCTCCCTATTAATCTGAGGCGGTAACAAGAATTTGCAGTTCTTTGGAATTTTATGTTTTGTCATAATTTCGTTTTGTTCCGATAAGCTAAGTCCCTTGCGTAAATATTTTTCCCATCGGACTACAAGTCTTCTAAGATCTTGTCAGGTCTAGCACTTAATGTGACCTTAAAAAGTTGTTTGACCCTCTGTTGCAAGTGGCTGCTCGATTTCAGCTTCTTGAGTTTGTTAAACTACCCTTAATTTTGTAACGCATTTTACATAACTCAATTATTTATTTTAAGTGAAGAATACAAAAATGTTTTTAAAATGTATAACGACAACGCGTGTTGTCATGAGCTATTTATATTGTAAACTAGCGGTCCCGAAAGACGTTGTCCTGTCTTAACTATGAATATTGATTTCGAATTCGTATAATTAACTAAAAAAATATTTCAGAAACAAAGTGTTTATTATTCTAATATTAGCCGTGATAGCTGTAAACTAACGGTGATGTGCACTAAGAAATTCAGTTAGAAATAAATAAAATAGTTTATATGTATTTTATCAATATAATAACTCCGATCGAAGCATTTGTTTTAAACGATATTCAGCTTTGACGATATTTGCAGCACGCATTCTGTCAATGTTATATCAAACGCCATAAGGTTACATCAAAAAAGTTTGAATTGTAAAAGCGCTATGGTTACATTAGAAATAATTTAATATGGTGGTTATATATTCTTAAATTTTCTAATTTTCCGCTCAATTTTCTTAATTTTTTCATCATAAGAACCTTCTCCTGACAATAACAAACACAACAAAAAAAGAATTAGAGAAATCGGTTCAGCCGTACACGCCATGATGCCATGACCAAGGGAAATAGGAATTCATTTTTATATATATTCTTAAATTTTCTAATTTTCCGCGCAATTTTCTACAAAGAAAATTAACTTTTTTTATATAAAGCAGTCAAAATTATGATGAAAAAAAAAATCAATAATATTTATAAATGGGACAAAATTTTTCTTTTGGTTTTATCTGACTTTCTAGGATTTCAAATCTCTGTTTGCATATTTAAGAGTCTTATAAATAATTTAATGGTGTACATTTTCGCAAATTGTTGGCAAGGATGACCAAATTCTACTTTGCTCATCTCAAAAAGGTATGCGTTGGAAATCCCAGGCTTAGTTGACAAACTATCAAATAGAGATATAAATATTTTTTCTAATTTGAAAATATAAAAGAGAAATTTTTCGCTGGGAGATTTTAAATTGCCAAACACTTTTTCTTCAGAGTCGTATGCTTTAAAATGCGTTAACAAGTTAGAATTGTTAAGTAAATTGCATTCTTCTGAGAAATTTACGCAAATTTCGCAAGAGTGGATATGTAATGATTTTTTTTATTAAATAGCCACATACATAGTTAAATGCATTTTGAGTGGTCACATTTAGCTCCCTGTAGTCACATTCAGAAATCGTTATTGCCCCAACTGATTGTTTTGAAATATATTTAATTTTCATTAAGCGGAGAACTTGTTTTTCTAAGGGAAAAACGAATCTCGGGATTCCTTTCCAGTGTGTGCCCCACTGCCGCTAGTGCCCACGAGCCGCCACTGTGTATAATTAATTTTATGTATAAGAATAAACTCATAATATTATATTATTGAAGCATTCTTATTAGGTACAAGTCTAACAAATGTATTAAATCTTTATTAAACTTCCCACGTTTCAAATGAATTAAAACCAACGTAAACTTTTCAGCGTAAACAACTTTGTAAAACTTTTCGTATAGGTACTTACATAAATCGTGTTTTGATACTTCAACTTTGCCAATTTCATTCTCGTTTCCCCCATATAATCGTGGCCGTATTTATCATCGTCGACAACAAGGATATGCAAGGACTTTTTCATCAGGTCGCTTTCGCTGATATCGTAAAAGGTCAGATTTTCGTTGAATTCCGGATTCCTTGTTTTGTGCACCTGAAAAGAAAAAACTCTTGAATTAAGAATGAATAGCGGGACCCCAATCTTTTTGTAAGGTCAATATTTCGGTTTAAAATTAATGACAAGAAAAACAGGAGTAATTGAACCTACATTAGAAGTAAATCATAAATAACGTAGACGAAAGTACATTTTTTTATTGTGGAACTCTATTATTTATTTATCCAAATTAGTCATAGGGTAGGTACACGTCAAGAATCCGTTAATATGTGCTTGTCGACCTCACGTGGATTCTCATAGCAGCGAAAGAAGTTAACAGAAATAATATTACTAGAAGGAACATGCCCATCTATACAGATAACAGACAAGCACTCCTCATCTTGAACAGACCACAAATTTACTCAGGGTTAGTATTAGAATGTCACGAAGCTTTGGCCGAAATATCTATCAACAATGTGGTCACAGTCAACCGAATAATTTTTGGTCCTTCCATTGGGCTGAAAACATTGGTAGTGACAAATCTAATTATAAAACATTCGCAATGAAATAGGGATAAAACAAGAAGCTGCATAGTTACCAAGGAGCTTCTAAGTTATCTTTACAACCGCACAGTAAACAAATACTTAACTATGGCTAGATTTAATCTGCGCCTGATTACATACATTCTGACTAGTCATTAGCCAAGTACAGAAGCAACTCCAGGACTTGGGGCTGTTAGAATCCACACTCTGCAGTGGGTGTAAATAAGAAGATGAGACCATCAAGTATAACCTCTACGATTGCCCGAAGATTTGTATTCAACGAGAATTGGCTGATATAAGAGATTCTCCTCAATCAACTTAGAATGCGCAATGGGCCTAGTAAGGTCCTTGATATTCAGAATGTTTACAAAACTTCTTATTGAACCGGTTCTCAAACAGAAATGATTTGTGGATGCAGCACTATGCGGTCTTGGTGAGAAACTACTTGAACAATGTCTTCCCAAATTGATGGATATGTAGAAGAGGATTGAATGCCCACCTAGGTCACCAGATTTAACTCCTCTTTTTATTTGGATACTTGAAAAGTAAAGCATACCAAAATAGACCACAAAATATCAATTAACTCAAAGAACGAATACTGATTGAGATTGCAAAAGTAACTCTGACAGTTATGGAGAAAGTTCAAGAAGAGTTCAATGCTCGTCTTTCCAAATGTACTTTAGTTGAAGGACATCAATTTGAGCATTTGATTTAAATTTGGTTATATTTAATAAATATTTATTTTACAAATTCATGTATTTAAGATGTTAAGTTTTAGTTTCTTGTTTTTACTATGTTGATTTTTTACTACCTTTAAGGAGGTTTTTTACATGGCCCGTTTCTCTGAATTTCTTCTTAATTTTGCTAACTGTAGATTGGAAAATTGGTCATCGGTTGGGATACTTATTATTAAATAAATTACATACATATTTTTAACTCCTTGTATTAACTAAAAAAATATATGTACACAGGGTACTTAGTCTCTACAACGAAAGCGAGCAAATTGTGTATATTTTTTTGCAAGTATAACGAATAACAATGATAAGATTGTAATGGGTCAGGAGAGTTATTTTAACATTCGACATTCTTACCGTTTTAGTCCTTAATCTAGTCGACATCTTGGCGTTCGGCAGGATGTTCAGCTTGCAAAAAGGATCTGACAAACCGGCCATATCCATTGAAATCAAATTTTTAGCCCGATATACTGTACAGTGTAAGGTATTGGTCTCTTGGTCATAGGTCAGAGAAAGTTCTATAACACCCATTGAGGTGTCAATTGCCTTTTCTTCGTTGGTAGTCTGCAAAATATAAAATACATACTGAATACACTTCAATAAAAGAATAGAATATATGAATTAAGCGTGGATTTACCACAAAATACAAAAGAAATTGCCATATAACTTGCTTGATTTTTATGAAAATGCAATATTTCTTTTTTAAAATGTTGTAGATCATTTAAAATTTGAAAACTCTGCAAATTTAGCAAAATTTTCAATTAAGTTACCGTTCTGATTTAGAGATACATTTTTTTAAATAAATCTTACCTTAAAAATACTGCTGTTAATACTAGAAGTACTAGGCGATATTTTATCTTCAGTTCTATTATCTGGTGACCAATTATTCCAATCTGATAGAGATTTCGTTGCCATTGAATCTCTCCTCGATAGTTGAGAACCTTCTGTAAAATAATGAAACAAAGAAATATCAAGAAACCAACCTTTAAAAAAGTCAATAAAAGTAATAATGAGAAATTAAAAACGATGATAATAAATGAAGCAGACAAAACGCATAACATTCTGTGGAAAATTCTGATAAAAATAAATTGTCAACAAAATGTTACTCTTCTCCATTGCTATAGCGCCGTTAGTATTTATTACAAAAAACAGTATTTCAAATAAAAGTATGTAAAAGAACAGTAGTAAAAGGAACAGTACCTCAAAGAACGGTATCTCAAAAAGAAAAGTATATCAAAGAAATATATCACAAGCAACTGTATAATAAAGAACAATATATCAACGTATAGTACCTCAATTGACAATATTTCAAAGAATAATATCTTAAAAAACAGTACATTAATAAACAGTACGATGCAGGCAATAACGAATAATTGTCTGGTAATGTAAATTGTTTAAAATTAAAAGGAAGTCACTCCTTCCTACTACTATAATGCTGTCAGAGTTTATTACAATGAAAAGTATCTCAAATAAGAGTATGTGAAAGAACAGTATATCTACAAGAACAGTATCTCAAAAAGAACAGTATCTCAAGAAGAACAGTATCTCAAAAAGAACTATATCGCAAGCAAATGTATAATAAAAAACAATATATTAAAGAACAATATATCAACGTATAGTACCTCAATTTATTTCGAAAAACAATATCTCAATGAACAGGTCCTCAATGAACAGTACGATGCAGGCAAGACGCATAAGATTAAAATGAATTGTCTGATAATGTGGATTGTTGAAAATTAACAGGAAGTTACTCCTGTCCACTACTATAATGCAGTCAGAGTTTATTGAACAGTATCTCAAAGGACAGTATATCAAAGAAAAGTATACCAATTAACGGTATCCTAAAGAAAAGCATCTCAAAAGCGTATATCAAAAAACTATATTGCAAAGAAATGTACAATAAAAAAGAATATTTTAAAGAACATTATCTTAAAGAACATTACCTTAAAGAACATTTTCTTAAAGAACAATATCTCAATAAACAACGTATTTCAAAGAAGATTATCTAAAATAGCAGTATCTCGAAGAAGCGTGTGTTGTAGACAACGCACATAAGGTTAAAATTAATTGTATGCTAATGGGGGTTGTTGAAAATTAATGTTAAACAGAAATTTTACTCGTCCCTATTTGAAAAATGTATCAAAATAGTTTCTCAAATGGAAGTATCTCAAAGAAGAGTATATGAAAGCACTGCCTAAAAAGTTTAATGATATCACAATGGTGATTTATCATCACATATAACACATTTTTTCATGAGCACAGGATAGTAGTTGATGTGATTTGTATTTGAGACTACATAATATTGTGTTTTATAGGCGATACAATTAGAAATTAAAATTCTTTAAGACCCCAGTTAGTCATAATTTCAATTCTGACATTTACAATATAACAAGAATTATTTCAATATGATATTTATGGTAGAAGAATCAGAAATTTAACAGAAAAAATTAATTACAATAGGTTTCCTACAGCATTCATAAAACGCCAGTGATCGTCATGAGTGTGTGTAGTTATAATTAAGACGTCTCAACAAAATCCAAAAGCATATTTGGTTAAAACAATTCATTGTTTCAACAGTTCAAAGGACTAGTGTTGTGACTACAGAGATTTATAATCCGACGCATGCGCTATTCACTCCGTGCGCGACAGCAGCGCCAATTCGTTTTGGTACTAATGGACTATTTTTGCGTATACTGACAAATACAATTTTTAATAGAATTCGGAATTAAAAAGTATATATGTTAGTTTTAATAAAAGTATATGGATTTGTAAAACATTAATTTATTATTATATATTTTTATCGCTTAAATTAAAGAAAATTATGTATAATCAATAAAAATCAATAATAAAATATAGGCAGGCAACAGTATTTACTGGAAAATGTATGAGAAGTTGCCTAAGTCTAATAAGTTGCTTTAGGTAGTTATAAATTAGCATTTTTTCATTTATTAATTGATGCTTTATTTAAAGCCTAGCCTATTCTGTCAAAATAAAAAATACCATTTAATAATAGCGTGAAGTTAAAAGGTATAAAAAAGGGATCGTTATTTATATTTTCATTTTTGTTCGAAAGAAAACATAGAATGATTAAAACTGGTTTCCCATCAGTAATTCACAAAATTGCATTCCAGCCACATAAATAATCAAAGGCAGAAATCTTGAATTAAGTGTAAAGGTTAAAGAAAAGGTCCTTTATTTCTCACAAGTCAATTTATTGGCGACCGGTTTCGAAGTTGTCACTTCATCATCAGGCACACCTTGACTAATTCCATAAAGGAAGCGCTACATTAAAATTTTTTTAAAAAATACTTATTACACATGACTTTTTTAACTCGTTCTGTTAAACTTTTTGTAGCGCTTCCTTTATGGAATTAGTCAAGGTGTGCCTGATGATGAAGTGACAACTTCGAAACCGGTCGCCAATAAATTGACTTGTGAGAAATAAAGGACCTTTTCTTTAACCTTTACACTTAATCCCTACTACTCACATATGGCTACCCTCACTCCAAAAAAAAAAAAAAAAGAAATCTTGAAATCTTGTCCTTGCTGAATGAACATTTAAGAATAAAGGGATATTAAAGAACATCATAAAATGATAATTTATTGTTTATTTAAAACCTTTCAAGTTTCTGATGTCTACTATTTCCAGCATTACTGTTATTATTACAAAAATAAAGGTAATTTTTCTTCTTATTGTACACCTATTCATTTATTTCTTTGATTTAATTTCCACTTTGCTACTAAAATTTTATATATAAGTTTCACTTTTTTTTGCTAGTGTACAATTTTCAACACATCAACTCCGGTTGCTTATTGTATTGTTTTTACCTACTTTTAAAAAAAAATGTAAAATGTATACATGTATTCCACATAAATATTTTTTTTTATTCACAAACTTATATGAGAAATAAGAGAAGAAAACAAGTGTTTAACAAGTATACATTATAATATTATTGCGTGCCTAAATAATAGGTGATAAGCGCATACAATACTGAGACGTCTCAGTAAAATGATTTAAAATTAAACGGTAATGGTTAAACACAAAGCACCAACTGGGACAAGGTAGTTACAAAAATAACATGTTGGAAAAGGAAATTAACAAATAAATTGAACAAGAATGAGGCTCACAAAATTGTTATATTAATTGAAAAAATATTTTGAGCAAAAACACTATTTTTCGTCACCAAAACGTGTTGCTCCACAATACTAGTGACCCTAGCACCTGTTCTGAGCACATTAGAGCAGTTGGATACCCTTTTTAAGTTAGTTAGGTCATGTTGTTTTTTTTATTTAATTTTTTAAAGTAGACAGCAAAATCACAAAATGCGGCAAATATAACAAATAAATCGATAGGTAATGTTTTTTTTTATCTTCTATTTAACACATTTGAAAACTGTTTCATCAAGAAATCAGAACTATGAAAATTTGACTACGCACACCATTAAATAATAAACCACGCATGTGAAATGGAAGAGTCAGAAACTTATTGGTAACAAATCAGTGACATATTGTTGGAACAAATCTAATAAATCATCGACAATATAGAGAAAATTCAAATAAGTTTTACCCATATCCTGACGGCTATCGCTTCCAGCCTCTTCCCAACTTTTTGTCTCGTTCAGGGTCATCGAACTCACTTGTGTCTTCAAGGAATCCATTTCTCTGGAGACTTGCGATTCTCCGGAGCTATTCTGCCGACTGGAAAGGATTGGGTATCATAAATTAGACAAGAGCTGTTTTTTTAAAGTCATATATATTAAGCTGTTCATCAACGTCTCTTTTTTTTAAATGGTTGATAATTTATTCAGCACGTCTTTTGGATGTAATTTATCTCGCTAAACAGTTTATAAGCTCGTCTAAATTTTGAGGTATACAGTTTGTCCCCGTTCTGGAGGACCACGCTGTCTTAAATAGTTTCTATTTTGTTATGCATTTTAAAATCGTCAGCAAAAATTTAATAAATATAAGCCAGTTAATCAAAAATAAACAGTATAAATAGTTAAGGTGCAGATTAGAACGTTGATGAATTGACATCGTACTTTCCAGAAGTATTTTCATTGCAACAAACTTTAAAAATCTAGTTTCTAAATAGATTTTAAACATCTTTAAAATGATTTTACAGAGCACATAACTATACCATGAGAGAATTAAGTCTTATCCCCAAATATAAACTTGTTTATTTTAAAGAGTAGATAAAAACGCTTGAACATGTCAATTTTTAAACTCATTGGAGTACCCAAATGTATAAAAATTTTAATATTCCTATGAACCTTTTTCATATGATACCTCGCCCTTATTTTTTTTTAACAGCTAGAGGGATCGTATGGCAATTTATTGCAAACGTAATTTTAGGAAACATGATACCTAGTTTTTGATTTTGTTAAATTTAATCCTTCCAGAAATAATTACTGAACTCAGAATATGTATATTTTAGTAATTCGTAAATTTAGTTCATCCATTGAATAACTTAGTTTCTCCTACACCACAGCAAAATTATGTCTATAACAAATTGCCTAAAAATTTATGTCGAAATTTACAGTAAAACATTTACGTAATTGTTGTCACTGATTCTACCTCTAGCCAATCTGCAACTCCCGAATAAAAATCTATTTAATGTAAATTCGTCGAGAAATATAATTGACCTCGTGCTTGGACGTCACTTTTAAAATACCAGTTAATATAATATTTTGTGCACAATTTAGGTTTTTTTTTTCAGAATATTCAATAAATATACATTAATAAAAAAACAGAAAACATTTATATTTTTATCTTACCTATAATTATATCCAGGAAGGTTATTATGGTAATTGTGTTGATCCTGTTCTATAGCATCTAAGAAGAAAAAATGTATGGGTAAATAAATTGTTAATTCAGAAAAAACAAGGCAGTTTTATTTTTTAAATTCAAATGGACTAAAAGGTTAATATTTTTTTCTATCCACATGGATATTAGCTATTCTACGCACAGATAACTAAACGAAAAAGTATGCTATTTAGTTCAATTGAACGAATATATTTCATATCCATTCTACCTAGTAGGAACACTACACAAACATGAAATCCAGCAATCACAGTTAATAATATGTTAGTCGTCCATCTACTATTATTTTTTAAAATTTTAAATGAGTGACAATTCTGTCAAACTAATTGTCAGTATATTTTTTAGTTATTGAGATTAAATATACATTAAAATGAGTTATTCTTGTAGAATCGATAAATAATGGCATTTCTATTTTTATTTCGTCTATATTTACAAATAAATAATAAATTTCAATAAATCTATATGAAGTCAATTTAATTACGAGTATTGAAACTTAAATCTTAGGTTTGTCGATGGAGCTGAAACTAGCGCATTAGGCTGTCATGCGAGAAGTCCCGTGTTCAAATCTAGGATTGGAGAACAATTGAATTTATTTATTTTATTTTACAAATTAGTAAAAGTCAAATTATTTTTTAATTAGTAATTTTATCTTAATAACGTAAAATAATTTTTAAAATTTGTATATTTGGTAGGATTCAGACGATTCAGCACTTCGTCAATAAACACTCTTATTTTAGAAACTACAATTATACTTTTATAGCTGCCATAATTAATTTGAATTAAAAATAAAGTCTTATGACTTTACAAAAAGAAATGAAAATGAAATATTGAAAATACTCACTTAACACGAAAAACTACCAAAAAAATATTAAATTTATTCTTTAACAAAAAAATTTCAACACCAAATTTTCCACCCAAATCTTCGGAGCTTCAAGAATACACTGAAACTTATCAATTCAATTTCGTAAAAGTTATTTTAAACATGTAACTCGTATATTAATAAATGTGGGAATAAGAACACTTTTCTTAGTATCGTAACTATTAATTTGTAATCGATATTAACCCAATAGGTCAATTTATTACGTTGAAAGGATTAATTAATTATTAATTTTATTAAACTATAGGGTTTGTTCGATTATAGTTCTAAACCTTAAGATGATAGCAAAGCAAAGCTTAAGAGGAGATCAATTTCATGTCTGTAGCATGTCTAAATAAATAAAAACAATATTTACATAGATTCCCCTGATTGTAAAACTAAGAATAATTTGTAATTCTTCAAATAAGAGTTGTGTAGACATTATGGAATTTTTGACATCATCTAAACCTGGGATTCCCAAAGTCGTCAAAATCGGTTTCCCCAGGGGTCGACATAAACTAAAAATATCAAAATCATGGAGAAGGTCCAGAGTCACCTTTATTCCAAAAGTAGAGTAAAAAGATACCACACATCCTAAATCCTTTCAACCAATCAGCTTCACATCCGTTGTATTAAAAACAATGGAGACGGCTTTTGATAATTATATCAGAACAGTCCTGGAGAGGGTGCACTTTACCACAGCCAGCACGCATACCGAACTGGAAGATCTACAAAAACTTCTCTGGTAAAGCTGACTGATGAAATCAAGGATGTACTGACAAACAAAGAGACGGTCGTGTGTGCCTTCCTAAACATAGATGGAGCGTTTGACAACACGACACAAAAATTTGCCAAAAGAGCACTTGCATGTAGATAGCACCACGTCCAGATGGATGGCGCAGCTGCTATCTACGAAAACTGCAGACATACAGATAGGGCAGGACACCATCTCCATCTGCACAGCCAGAGGATGTCCAGAAGGAGGAGTTTTATCCCCACTAATATGGAGCCTAACCATAGACGAACTTCTATGCAGATTAACTGACCTTGGCATACCCTGTCAAGGTTATTATACAGAATCTTTACCTTTTAACGAGTTAAAAGTAAAAATTCACAGGTACTTCTCTGTAATAGTTTCTATTTAATCAAAGAATATATAAATTTACTAAATTATAATAATATGACTTATTTTACACTTATATTTATATTATTTTGTGCAGTATTTTTAAAAAATCATTATTTTTTGTATTAAGTATTTTCTAACTTGTAACAAAAAATATTTTGTAAAATTAATAAATGCCTATTTACCAATCTATTTACCTTCCAAAATTCACACTTTTAGTTTCAGCAGTTTAAATTATGGGTTGATTTGACTTTGATGGTATAATCAATCAGGTACAAAAAACATACCTAATGCACTTTCTGTACTAGAATTCGCCCTCTTCCTCCTTCCCCACAATCTTCTCTCTTCATCAGAACTGCTGTCATCGTCTTTATACCTCCTGGAAGCTCTAACGCTTTTGCTTCTCTTAAACCTAGAATTATCTACTGGAAGAACGTATTTCGGAATACTTTTGTAGAACCATGCTCCAGATTTCTTCCACATCTCCCTAGTTTCCGCGCAGATCATACATAGCCAGTGCTCCCTAGCAGCGGTACTAGAAACAAACAGTCTTTTCACTTTAACTTTACTTCTTTTGGTCAAAAACAAAAGGCTCACTAGCAGTTGGGGTTTCTTCGACTGGGGCTGGTACGCGTGTCTAGAAAAATGCTTGAATTTAGTTTGAAAAGTTTAATTTTGGCCGACACCTACACCGTGATTAAATCTCAAAGCAAGAAAGAAATGATATTGCGAGTTAAAAAAAGTTGACACAAATCTAGAAAATTGTTTTGGTTAGTTTCTAAAAATTATATTTTTAAACATTGGGCCAAACCCAAAGCAAAAAAATTGAGGAGCATACGACACAAATCTGGAAACATATTTCAGTTTTTGTAAAAGTCTAGTTGAAAAAAAGCACGAGATATATTTTTTATATATTCCTTTAAATATTGTTGGTGTGTGTCATCGGCAGTTATATAGCTCTACCTTTTTTGTACATCGATTCAAATCTCAGATTATACACTCAAGCAAAAACGCATGAAAATAAATCAATTCGTCCCCTGTGTGCATTAAAGGAATTTAATAAATAGGAAACAATATAATTGCTAAATCAGGAAATTTGTATTGTAATAAAATAGAAAGAAAATGTTGTGAAAGCGCTAACAGTGTACAAATTTTTAGTACCATTATAAACAAGACCAAAACGAAGATTGGAAGGAACAAGTAGAAAATTACATACCATTCAACGGTGAAAGGATATATAACGTAAAAGAAAAGAAGACAGTAGAAAATAGTAAGATAAAGATCGATGTTGAAAGTTTAGAATAATAGCTATGGAATAGATTTACAATTAATGTTAGTATAATGCTATTAAAAACATGAGCATTTTGCCAAAGACCAATCACCTGAAACATGCAAAAACTAATGATAATTTAGGAGAATATCATTAAAAAATTCTGTACTGATGCTGTTATAAAGAAAATTTAAACAACACACTAAAATCAGTCTTTTTTTTTCTCTGTTCTATCAATTATTTTTTAAAAAGTCTCTTCACACTAGGTGTGAATAGAAAAATTGTAGCTTTTGTTTCACAATTTACCATTATTTCCTTTAATATACTCGTACTTTTCTCCACCCTCCCTACACCGCCCTATGATAGTTTTCATTTCTCATAGCAGTGATGCTTTTTCTTCGATTTATTTATTTTTGTATTACGGAATAAAACCGGGACAAACCCACAGAAGGGGTTCTCAAATATGAATTCTATAATTATAGTATTGACTTCAATTCTCTATTATTATTATTATTATTATTATTATTATTATTATTATTATTATTATTATTATTATTATTATTATTATTATTATTATTATTATTATTATTATTATTATTATTATTATTATTATTATTATTATTATTATTATTATTATTATTATTATTATTATTATTATTATTATTATTATTATTATTATTATTATTATTATTATTATTATTATTATTATTATTATTATTATTATTATTATTATTATTATTATTATTATTATTATTATTATTATTATTATTATTATTATTATTATTATTATTATTATTATTATTATTATTATTATTATTATTATTATTATTATTATTATTATTATTATTATTATTATTATTATTATTATTATTATTATTATTATTATTATTATTATTATTATTATTATTATTATTATTATTATTATTATTATTATTATTATTATTATTATTATTATTATTATTATTATTATTATTATTATTATTATTATTATTATTATTATTATTATTATTATTATTATTATTATTATTATTATTATTATTATTATTATTATTATTATTATTATTATTATTATTATTATTATTATTATTATTATTATTATTATTATTATTATTATTATTATTATTATTATTATTATTATTATTATTATTATTATTATTATTATTATTATTATTATTATTATTATTATTATTATTATTATTATTATTATTATTATTATTATTATTATTATTATTATTATTATTATTATTATTATTATTATTATTATTATTATTATTATTATTATTATTATTATTATTATTATTATTATTATTATTATTATTATTATTATTATTATTATTATTATTATTATTATTATTATTATTATTATTATTATTATTATTATTATTATTATTATTATTATTATTATTATTATTATTATTATTATTATTATTATTATTATTATTATTATTATTATTATTATTATTATTATTATTATTATTATTATTATTATTATTATTATTATTATTATTATTATTATTATTATTATTATTATTATTATTATTATTATTATTATTATTATTATTATTATTATTATTATTATTATTATTATTATTATTATTATTATTATTATTATTATTATTATTATTATTATTATTATTATTATTATTATTATTATTATTATTATTATTATTATTATTATTATTATTATTATTATTATTATTATTATTATTATTATTATTATTATTATTATTATTATTATTATTATTATTATTATTATTATTATTATTATTATTATTATTATTATTATTATTATTATTATTATTATTATTATTATTATTATTATTATTATTATTATTATTATTATTATTATTATTATTATTATTATTATTGTTATTATTATTATTATTATTATTATTATTTGCCGTGGCACCGTGAGCCGACTTAAAGATGATTGATGATATTATTTGATCGAAACGATAACGCACTGCGATTTATAATCTTAATGCCATATCAACAGAAATTTAATTATTGCTAATATAGCACCCATCAAATCCTAAAATGAACTATGCAAATTAACTAAAAATTTACATGGTCTGCTCTAGGATCTGAAGCCGTGTTCACTAACAGGTCGATTACTGTCGAATGCGGTCGATTACGGTCGATCACTGTCCATCACTGTCCATCACTGTCCATCACTTTCCATCACGGTCGATTAGTGTCGATGACTGTCAGAGACTATCGATTTCTGTCGATTATTTTCGAAAATTGTTAATTACTGTAAATTACTGTCAATTACTATCGATTTCTGTCGATTATTTTCGAAAATTGTTAATTACTGTCAATTACTGTCAATTACTGTCAATTACTATCAATTACTGTCAATTACTGTCAATTACTGTCAATTACTGTCAATTACTGTCAATTACTGTCAATTACTGTCAATTACTGTCAATTACTGTCAATTACTGTCAATTACTGTCAATTACTGTCAATTACTGTCAATTACTGTCAATTACTGTCAATTACTGTCAATTACTATCAATGACTGCCAATTACTGTCAATTACTGTCAATTAGTGTCAATTACTGTCCATTACTGCCAATTATTGTCGATTACTGACGTGTATTTATGAGGTTTAAACTAAAACTCAATTTAAAGTTGGGGAGGAATGAAAGACGTATTTAAAGTGTGCAAAGTTGTATGAATATCTAAATATTCCTATCTAGTTTAATAAAATTAGTCGAGCGCTAAAAAAAGATTAACAGTAAAGCAAACTAAATAAAAGTAAAAAGTCACCACTTACTTGTCAAAAAATAATTATGCAAAGGAATTAAAATTGCACACTTCGGCCAAAATTAGTTACTGTGCCATCAAGGTACATTTAATTGAATGTTTGTAGTACAAAATGTCTCCAAATATTCCCGTAGAGACACCGGGATATCGAAAAGTTAAAAAATATACAGAAAAGCAAAAAAATTCAACGGCGAAACTGGTTGTCACTGATCAGGTCTTCGGAGCAGCGGAGCTACCACAGCTCTACCCCACTCCACTCTAGTCCATTTGCTTCCCACCGCTCTGTCTCCACTCTACTTCAATTCACTATGCTCCGCTCTCCACTCTACACAACTCTACGTTCACCCTACCCCACCCTACCATCCCACTTGACCCCACTCTATTATCCCACTTTGACCCACTCAACCTAAATCTACACCTACTTTACTACTCCACTGTTCAAGCCGGTTATTTTCTATTCACACCTCGTGTTAATAGACTTCCAAATTTGAACTTAATTTAAAGATAGTTTATTCTTTAAATTTATTTTGCAAGGCTATTTTAGTTTTTCCGACATAATATATAAAATAATTATTCCTAAGACATTGCTACTAAATAGTGCAGGACAATATAACGCGGGACGAAATACTTCAAAAGAAATAGCGCCAGGATAAAACAGCGCAGGAACAAATAAAAAGCGCTTATAAAATAGCGCCGGAAAATGGCATTAGGACGTAATAGCGTGATTATAGAACAACGAGGCTTTAAAAAAATACTGGGTCAAAATATCAGGAAAAAGCAGCGCTCCAGATCGCACAGGCCAGGTAAATTATTTAAGTTTTTTTTTATTTTATGATTAACCTGTGCTATAGCGGGTTTCTTCATATACATATTATATATTATACATATAATAAGACTTGGAGCGCCCCGCGATGGCACAGGTTAAATGATTTAGTTACGTTTTTTTCTGTTTAATAATATTATTAAATAATAAAAAAAAGCACTGTTGGTAGTTGTTTAGTGCTAATGTAATCAACGCTATTTTTCCAGTCGCTATTTTCTGTACGTGTTTTTGTCACCGCACTTTATTTTTCCACTTTTTTGTACCAGAGGTATTTTGTCCTAAGCTATTTTGTATCATTACTATTTTTTCTTTCGCTCCTTCGGCATTGCGTTATTTAGTCCTGCGCTATATTGTTCTGCGCTATTTAATGCCAGTGTAACTTCTTATAGTAGTCTGCAATTACAATTATACTAATAGATAATTGAACATTCATGTACTGAAAAATTAGACACTTTAATACATTTGGGTTTTCACAAATGATATTTATCGATTTCAAAATGTTTAGTTTTGTTAGGCAGAATTTTTCAATTGATATTTAAGCTTTTTTGTACGAATGGTATACTGTAAAAGGCATTGGTGAAAGGTTAAAACAGACATTTAAAATCTAATTTAACCTACCTTGGTCCTCTTCCAGCTAATGTATCTATAGAACATTTAGTACAAGCGAGTCTTCTACAGTCCATACACACGATTTTTTGAGCACCCAGTATACCAAAATTATCGCCGCACAGTAAACACTGAGCTGCATTCTTTCCTAAAGCGTTTCTTCTCATGCTATCCAATTTTTCCACTAGTTTTCCAATCTGTCACAAACAAAAATTCAAAATTTACTACTGGCAGAAATAATTAAGCAAAGTGAAAACTGCAGGTCGATATAAATTTTCGTTCGTGCATTTTCGCATACATGGTGATCGGAAACGTAGAGAAAAGTATTTAAAAGTGAAGATAATATAATTTTCTCGTCGGTACAATTGATATACTGAGGCCCAATAACTAGGGGGTCTCAATAATAATTTTTTCTTTAAACAGTTTAACAGGACGAGTATTGATTTAAGCAGTAATGAATTTTAATTAATTAATTACTGTGATTTATACTGGAAAATATGTAAAAAATTTGTAGTGAATTTTCGAATAAATCTTAGAAACGATGAATAAGAAATATATCTAAAGATGAAATTTGTTCAGGGTCACTAAAAATAAAGACATCTAATAAAGTAGAAGTAGCCATTCTTGTGGGTTTGTCAACTAGTTGTGCTAAATTAAATGTGTTCAGAAAATTATTGGTGCTTTTATTCTTTTTCTCAAGGAACACAACTTCTTTTCAATATCTAGATTTTATTCCTTAATTTTTGTATTTTATTAGAATTTTGATCTATAGACGATTTTAAATTGTTTATGGGGTCTATTCTGTAACAATTCCTTTATATTTAACGGCCTTTAAAAATATTGGCGGCCTTTAAAATATTTTCGTATTCGTTAATTTACTTCTGTCATTACTTAAACAGATTTCTTTAAGATAGTTCTTTAATGTATTTTAAAGATCCGTTTAAATAATGATAGAAGTAAAGAAGAAAATATTTTTAAAGGCCGTTAAATATAAAGGAATTGATACAGAATAGACCCCTATATCTGTTTTAAATGACGAAATTTTAACCTTTAAATCTCTTCTAAAAATATTTTCTTGTTAATCGTTTTCCTCTTTGATAAACTGAATGGATTATAATATACATTATTAACAAATAAAAATAAAAGAGAATATTTGATCAGATATTATAGTTAAAAAAATAAAGAAAATAAACTTTTCTGAATCTAGTTCAGTAATACGTCCTCATTTAGATCAATAACCAAGGGTTTAACAATAATATTAACGTTTATATAGGTATATACAACCTTAATTACATGTTCAACTGACTTTTTCCAGATCACAGAAGGAATATTATCTGTCACAGTTCTAATTAATTGTATCACAGCTGCGTTTGATGTGGGTAAAACATTTTCGGATCTAACTCTAAATTTTATCTGATGCCGCAGGTGTTCTATAGGGTTAAATATACAATATTAGGGGAAAAGCCGTAATAATGTGTGTCCCATATTTATAGCGATAATAAATATATATTATTTTTTAATGTCTGCTGATAATAATTCTGAAAGAATAGCTTTTTTGTACCATTCTTCAAAATAAATATCATTGCTAAAGAAATATTCTTGAATTTCCGATTTAGTGTTTGCACTATTTGGCAATTTATTTAACTGACGGCTATGATAAAGTTCGTTATCCATCACAATAATACTGTCATTAGATATATATGGTGTAATAAGTAGTTTTCGAGCCACTTTTCAAATAGTTCTGCGGTTCTATCCCCATGGTTAAACAAACTGAAGACCTTCATGTTTTTTTGCTGATAACAATAAATCATTTGGAATCCAACCTTTTTTTTGATCTGGCATGAATTGTTATTCCCATTTATTGTTATTCCTTTTTCTTCATTTGACAGAATTTTTTTTTCACACTTTCCAGATGAACCTAGCCAATCTTTTGCTTAAAAATCATGGGTTTGTCAGGATAGAAAAAGTAATAGGGTTTTCACATTTGTGTTTTTAACGTTGACTAAATAATGTTCCACATTCTTTAACGGTTATGACTCCATAATAGCGTGTCTTCTATTAATAATGCAGTATTTAAACCATTTAAGAAATAAGTCTTCACAGACTTGTTCGGCTGCATAGAATTTTAATTTCGTTCTGAATTAGCCGTCTTACGCATCTAAATGTAGGCATCATTTGTTCTTATATAGAGCATATATCTTCCTTCGGATTATTATCTATTTGGTACCAGCTGTTGCCCGCGGCTTTGCACGCGTGGGTCGTGTTTTTAATATGACTGCCCCAAAAAGGATCGATACATGTTTTTAGGGTTCTGGTATGTGATAATATTACAAATTAGAGTTGAGTAGAGTAATCTAATATTTAAGTATATTAATCTAATTAAAAATATTTTTGTATATCAGATTACTGGTACGGCTCTCATCTGTTAATATCACCAGATTTCTTGAGGAACTGACTCTATAACAGGCAACATAAAACTGTCCGCGATAAAAGCAGTTCTCCCTTAAGTCCCTTAAGTCCACTCCGACCATCTGCAGCGTTTACCTCTGAACTTTATTTATAGCTATGACTTTAAGGAGGAACGGCAGTTTTTTGAACTCAAACGAACATTCTGACAGTATTGTTCGAGAAAGTCTCGAACACATTCAGTTTAGTATTTACAATAAATATATATTTTTTTTGTATCATACTGTAATATTTTTATTCATAGTATAGACCCGCAGTGGAAGAGCTCTGGTTTTCCCTAATCTTTTAAAATAGCAAAATAAGCTCCAATCAAGGGTTATAAAATTTCTATTTAAACGGATAATAGTCCGTCATAACTTAATTAACCTAGGTACTAATCCACAACAATGTTAACGGACGGTTTTTCCCGAGCAATAGGCCTGGTACTTCTGGGGTTTAAGGAGGGAGACCGAGCTGATAAAAAGGGTATCGCTGACAATAATCAGAGACTTCAACGATATTTCGTGTTTAAATAAAACGTTTGTAAACCGTTAAAAATTACATGGTCCTTCGAGATAAAATAAGTTTTAAACAAGTTTTAGTAGTTTTTCTTCTTCGACAAGACCTATGGTGTAACGAGACGTGTAGTTCTCCTACAAGTATTATAGGTATTCGCAGTATGAATATGCCGTTTCACTTTGAGCATACCATGACCTCTATAATATTTCGGTGAAGTAATGTATCTTGCAGTCTGGTATCATTGCATAACTTTGGAGGTTTCAAATTCCTTAATAACATAACAGCCTTATATTAAGAGACTATGGATTTATATTGCCATTCAAATTATTTAAAAAAAAAATATCATTAATATCAGCCGCGTTATCAATTTTTGGAGCCGCCCTATGGATTCTTTATATTGGCAATATCCGGGTAATCTTTTGTAATAAACTCTTGAAGCGATTCTATTAACGTTGCCAGGCATGGTGGTATAATAATCTTATCACACACACAAACACACACACACAGTAATTGAGCCCAAGTCGGGAAGGCTCCCATCCTGGATCAGAATCCTCCTGATAAACTTCGCTTCAGGGGGCCTCAATTCTCCATCCTATGATTAGTATGCCATTCCTTCTGAAAGAGCTGTGAAGGATGACATATTATCAGCATTTAGACAGGGTTTGCTGAGGGCATTTCCCTGTTTCGTCGTCCATTTATTTGTCATGTGTGTGCCGTTCTGTGAAAGTCGCCACCTAAGAAAGCTTCCCCAGTCTCCTACTTGGCAACTGACGACGGCTAGTCGTCAGTTGCTCAGTCCTTGTCTGAATCGCGTGATGCGCTCTGTCGGGTATTCTGAAAGACAATGCTGAAAGAGAACGCTGAAAGAAACATCTAAAATCTATGAGACTCTTGAATTTTGCACCCAAGGGTCGATCACTCGCCGCCATAGTCCAGCACCTTGCGTGGTATGGCGTGTCTTCTTTAATCCGCTCTTTCGTACTCTGTGAGTTCTCTTATCTCAATGTTCGGGTGTGTTCTTAATTTTTCGAAGGTGTCTGTGGCCTTCTTGTGTATGAAGTCTAGAACCCTTTTGGATTCTAGATCCCTCCTGATAACGTCATTTTGGGTATATCTGTATGCGATTGAGGCCCATCTTAAGCCGATGTTCTGCTGGCTTTGGATCTTCTTTCTGTTTGTTCTACAGGTGTATCCCCATGCCGTCGATGCGTACATGAGGATAGGTATTTTGACCGCCTGTATGAGCCTCATTTTTGTCTGTAGTAAAAGCTTGCTTTTACGTCCTATTAAGCAGTTCAATCTTGATCTAGCTTGTTTTGTTTTCTTAACTACCATGTCCACGTGTTTTGTAAAGGTGAGTCCTTTGTCCATGATTACTCCTAGGTACCTGGCTGAGTCGGTCCATGGGATGTCCTGTCCATTCATCGTTATTTCTTTTCCTGGGGGGTCATGTCTCTTCTTGAACAGCACAGCCTTTGTCTTCTCTGCGTTGATCTTTATCTTCCATCTAATGCACCGTTCTTCTATGTCTTCCGCTGCGTCTTGTAGGCTGATATCGCTGTGTCGTCCGCGTAGAGGGACATGGTAGTATTTTGGTTTTTCTGGATATCTGCGGTATATATGGTGTACAGCAGTGGTGAAAATACCGCCCCTTAAGGTACTCCTGCTTCTGGGATTCCAGGTTTTGATAGGACATGTCCCATCTTGATCCGGAACTGCCTTCCGCCGAGGTACGACCTGAGCAGCCCTGTCATCCCTGCTGTGAACCCTTGGTCTTTCATTTTGAAAATCAGCACTGCGTGCCATACTCTGTCGAATGCATTGGCGACATCTAAGAATATGGTGCCTGTGGACCGATTTCTGTTGAATCCTCTAGTGATTCCTTCGACGAGTCTTAGGACTTGCAGTTCGGTCGAGTGTTCCTCTCTGAATCCGAATTGCTCGTCGGGGATGATGTTCAGATCCCTTGTTTGTTCTCGTAGTCTTCTGAGGATGACTCTTTCCGCAATCTTACTCATAGCTGGGAGCAAGCTAATGGGCCTGTAATTTTGCGGAAATTTTGGGTCCTTGTTATAATCTTATCAATCAATGTGTTGTAATTTATATCCCCTACTTGTAACAAAGTCTTTGAAAACTGGCTAACAGTTGCGTCACTTCCTAAGAGAAGCCTCATATTTGTTTTCAAGGCCAGATTCTTAACCCTTCGTTGGTGTTCTGGGATATATCATACCCCATCACGTCTATTTACAGCTATAAAACTAAAATTGCAACATCTAGAGACATCTAGCGGCTAGTAGCTTTATTTCATATATATATAGCGATTGAACGCGCCCACAGTAACGTCTCTCTGAATAGTCTGAATCTTCAGTACGAAATCAGATTTTCGCGAAGACGTTTAGGGTATGGTATACCCCGGAACACTATTAACGTAATTTTTTGTGTACAGCAGTTGGAATGGTAAGTAATAAAGTTTTTATTTTATTCTCATAGTTTACTTGCTATTATGTGGCATATTTTAGCAAAATGTCCTACGAAAAAGAGCAACGACGGCTTAAGATGCTATGGGACAAGTTTGAAGGTATCGATGATGATGAACCTATTATAAGCAGTGATTCTGAAGGAGAAGAAGAGAAGCTGGAAATAAACAGAGTAGAAGCGGCAGAAGAGGAAGTGGAAGAATTGCAAGGGGAACCGGGAAGAAGAGTCAGAAGAAGAAATGGAATTTTTGTGTAATTTAGAAAATGATAGATTTGAAAATAATGGAAGATATTTGATGGATAAAAATAAATCAAAATGGTCAAAACTTCCCCACAATCGAAACGTAAGGACAAGATCGGAAAACATTATAACTGACTTACCCGGCGTGAAAGGCATCGCGCGGGAAAAAAACACACCTCTTGATTGTTGGATACTATTTTTTACAGAAGAGGTACTAGATGACATTGTTCGGTATACAAATGTAAAATTGGCTGCCAAAGCACCTAATTATGATAACAGGCATTAGTACTTAGTAAAACTACACCAATGGAAGTGGGATTGATTTGTTTCGTACAACAATGTCACAACAAAGGTACTATATTTTTGGCAGCTATTCGAGGCGTTTTCGAACATTTCGTTGAAAACTGTAAATTGCATTAGATACATACCGGGTGAAAACCTTACTATTGATGAAAAGTTGGAACCATTCAGAGGGCGGGTGTCATTCCTTCAATACGTCCCCAACAAGCCTGCTAAATATGGGCTAAAAGTGTTTGCTCTTGTTGACGCGAAAACGTTTTACTGTCTTAACATGGAGGTGTACGTCGGAAGACAACCAGATGGCCCCTTTCAAATGAGTAACACCCCACAAAATATTGTCAGTTCAGTGTTTGCCTTCAAAGAAGATATTACAGCGTTGGCATATGTTCCAAAGAAATCTAAAAATGTCATTCTGTTTTCAACTTTGCATCACGACAATAAGATTGTTCCAGAATCTGGTGATAAACAAATACCAGAAATCATCGATTTGATACCTTGGATGAACTATCTGCTAATTATAGTGTAGCTAGAAACAGTCGCCGCTGGCCTCTTACTCTATTTTTCTCTTTTTTGAATACTGACGGAGTAAATGCTCAGGTAATATAAAAAGCAAATATAAAAAATCACAACTTGAAAAGACGAGCATTTTTGAAAGAACTTGGCATGCAGTTGATATCAGAGTTCAGAGGTCAGCGAAGACAAATCCCCTGTTTACGTAGAGGACTGCGAGACGCCCAGCAAGCTGATCGTCATGAACCTGCTGCTAAACGACGTAATACAAGTAGTAGATGTTCAGTTTGTCCAAGAAACAAGGATAGAAAGACATTTTATGTTTGTATGCAGTGTGACGTCCCATTGTGCATAGAGCATGCGTTTTTCAGCTGTGAAAGTTGTGCCACATTCGAGGCCCCATAACTTTTTGAATTCTACTGATACTGGTTTGATTCAAGGTGTACCATATTTTTTAGATATTTGTCAAAAACAATTTTTAGTTCAGTATTGTAATTCTTGATTTTGTAGTTTTTTATTTAAAATATAGTTGCTCTTCTTTTTTTGCAAGGCAGAATTGATGTTTCATGATGTTTTTTTAAATGTTAAAAATAAAAACTTATGTTACTCATATTTTTTGTTTTACTCGACATTATGACTAACTAAAATAATATGTTTAATATTTAAAATGAGGAAATTTGAAAACATCTGCATTTTATTTGAATTTTCCTTTTGGGGTATGATATACCCCAGAACACCTCTTATGCATTTTTTTTATGGTACACTAACGAAGGGTTAATATGAGGCCACCATAAATCTGATGATTAGAACTGTGTTATAGATAAGACAAATGTTGAATAATTTCTTCCATGACTTGAGTAACATTGCTCCGTTGCTGCAACTATGACTGAACTTGACGTTTTATATCTTCCGATAAACTATCCTTGTATTTTTCACACATACTCGGGGCCTCTGTTAGTTTTTTAACTTCATACAAACAAATATGATAATTATTCAATTAAATAATACCATTTTTGAAGTTCTTATATTAAAAAAAAACGATATTCCCATATAAACGTTCACCCTTAAAATGTGAAAATCCAAACTCTAAAATACATTATTATTTATTTATGCTCAGTACCTGTCATTCAAATTCTCATGTTTCTAAATTAAAAGTTCCGTCCCCATTTCCCCTCCTTAAAGTTGAAATTTCCAAAAATCCTTTCTTAGCGGATGCTTACGTTATAAAATAAATATCTATTTCAAATTTCAGCTTTCTAGACTTACAATTAGTAGTTTTGGCACAGCTTATGTTTCGGCTGTGCCTTGATAGATCAGTCAGTCAGGACTAACTAACGATTTTAGATTATCAACATAACTTCGTTTTTTGTTTACGTATTGTTTACTGACAATATATTTTATTGTAAATACTAGTGTTTTTATTATCTGAAATATTATATTGCTGTAGCTATACTAAAACCTCGATTCTGTAACGATTAATGAAACATTTTTCACAATCACTTTCTCATCAGATGACAAATGCACTTTTTTTACTCAAGGTCGCCACATCATTATTTTAGTGATAAAATGTTTACAATAAACTAAAATAATCATTCGGAAACACCTACTTTAGTTGAATTAATAATTTGAGATTCAATTTAAAGTAGTTGATAGAATTAAAGTTAATAAGAAAATATAACCTTTTATTTTTATTAAAAACTACTTCGAGTACAAAAATAATAACTCTATTAAACATTAATTATAATTAATTCTATCATTATGATTATATATGTGGGCAAATTTAAGGATGCTTTGTGAGTACCTAAAAGTTCTAATCGGGATTTAGGGAGACAACACTAATGAAAGTAATTATTACCCTTTGCTGTTCAGACATATCTAACTGCTCAGCTCTCTGTATGACTTGGACAATAGCTTCTTGTTCTTCCGCAGCCAATGGCGAAGATTGCGGTACTTTATGGCTGTATCCGAGGGTCGCCGTCTTGACACTCCATCCTGTATTTAATCTGAAAAAAAATATATATATATATCGGAAATGTATCGCTTTAAACCAATTTATAGTCTGTAGGGAGTTCATTTCAGGCTAGGGGATCTTTAATAGGGAAATGCTTACTCGTGTTGTAGTACTGTGCACCACCCATAGATGGCGCTACATTACACAAAATTTGCTCGTTGCGTTCGTCGAGCAGATTCAGAGTGTATTCAGAGCAGGTTCAGAGTAATGCAAGTGTACGCAAGTTGTTATTTAAAACTTTCAACAGCTATTCAATACTATTCATAGAAAAAAAAACGCTATTAATGGCAATAATAGTAATGGTTGATTTGTTTTATCAGGTTAGTTGTTCGAAGAGAATTTTTAAAGTTTTAAATATATATAATTATGGTGCGAATTGCGAATTCATCCTTGTGCTGATCCAGATTGTCAGGATAAAGTTAGTCGCAGGTAAGCAATAAATTTACAATTTTATTTCTTTACAAGTAAAAACTTCTTTTTGTATTTTATTCTTAAATACTTTGCCAAATTTTAAGAGCATATATTATTACTTAAAAGTACCCAATTTGTGAAATAAATTTCCAAAATAATGCGGGTAACCTAATGTTTTCTAGGAAAAATTAAAAATCTTAACCTAACTTTTATCATTTTCTATACAATTTCAGTAACTAGATAAAATATGTGAATATTAAGAAGATTGAAATAAATAGTGTTATTAGTATTTTTTTAGAATTATACAATATGTAATGGATACTTTATAGTAGATACCTATATACAATTTTTTTTCCGAATTCAAAATGAGGTACTTTTCAAACATACCAATAATTGTATATTTTATATTGTGCGACTCTTATTATTTTTTGCTCCATATACTGTGACCTACCTCACCTAGGTATCTTCACAATTTATTGATTCCAATTAATAAAAGTTGCATTCTTACTAAATTCAAATTCCTTCATTTTATTGAAAAATCTTCTACGATATATTTTTAAGAAATGCCGATTCATTCTCACTAGCTAATAAATTAATAGCTCAGCTGAATTGACTCAAAACAAAAATAATAAAATGAACTTTATATTTTTTAACTGATACTCTTCTTAATTTTTTACATGAAAACGAATCAGCCAACACTGCAATAGGAAGTGACAAGTACACCCAACAGCAGCCAGAGCCAACTTTCCCCAGGAACGTTCGTTACAACTTCTAGTGGATACAACCATGGGTGAACTTCGTAATAGTTTTATATTCATATTTCTTTATTATTGTGTACTGTACTAAGAATTCGTGCAATTTTAATTTTAATATTAATAAATATATGGTTATAATCGTGCTTTACTTCATAATAAGATGTATTTTCGGTTCCACAAATCCAAAATTATAATTTTTCGTTTTCTTTTTAACTTAAAATATTTCAAATTTTATCTATCACAGAACATTATATCCATCTAAGTATGTTGAGTGAAGAATAAAATGTTTGAATCATTTTAAGTAAAAAAGAATGAAAAATTATAATTTTGAAAACTTAGTAGTGGTTTATTAGAAAGGCCGAGTTTGAAAAACCCGCGCCCATTGACCCCTACCGCCATCTATATAATAAATCTTGAACAAATTTTCAATTATTAGTTATCTTCTTTTTTTTTAACTCAACTATTTGCAACCGCTACGGATGGCGCTGAAAGATGAGTAAAATTTTTCACTGTTGAGTGGCCCATCTTTAAAGGGTATGGTCTGTGGTTCATTTAGATGTATATGTACGCCTCTCGCGAGTTTACCGTGGGAGGATGTCATTTTGTAAAAAAATTGATGGGAATAATTTACTTGGTAAAAAGAGATGGTCGGTTAAATTTAGAAGCTCTAATACTAATTTGAAAAATTAGTTTGTTCTTTTCAAAAACTATATGTATGCATCAAATTATGACACAATCTTAGTATTTGAAGCAATCATACAGAGTGTCCCAAAAAAGGGGTGAAATACATCGACCTTGATTTCAAGGGGGACAATTTACCATAATACTTGTATACGTAACTTCACCCCTCTACCCTACATACAAAATTAAATTTCAAGGAGGTCGAGTAATACCTCCTTTAAAAAATCTTTCAATTCTCTTTACAATCGTCTACATTATTTTTTATAAATTTTATCAATGGGTTTGTGAAAATAACTGTTTTAATAATTTTGGATTTTATTTGTGGGTACTTTCCGTTGGAACACTCTGTATAAAAACAAACAATTCAAATTCTTGATAAAATAAAGTACCTAAATGATAACAAAAAATATCTTATATTCGATCAAATAAAATAATTAAAATAAGAAAATATGAACAAAATTTTAATATTATTTTTTTTCTGTCAAATGTCTTAAAACTAGCTACTTTTAATCTTTACCAGAATTGTTGTTTTATGTTTCATGTCTGCTATGGCAGGAAAGGAATTAAATAAATAAATTGGGAGCTTAGATTGATCTCTTTGATCTAAGATATTAATTTAAAATGTTAAATACATTATGGTAAAATACTCCTGCAACTGCTACATTTAGGTGTACATCCCAAAGCCCATTGTGTATTGTAACATTACTGATTTTATAATCAAATTTACACCTTAGGTGTGCTGGAGGAACGACTCCCCATTAATCAATTCATCACAAAGTGGAATATGGCACGTGCTCGCTTTTTATGATACTATCGCTGTTCCACTTGTTCATTCTCAATACCCAAGAAAAATTTAAGCAAAATGCATAATAGTTGTAGTTTGGAAATCAGGTAATTTGTATTATGGGAGTTATTTATATTTGTTAACGTCTAATACATCTTCTTAAGGCTAATTCAATTGCAATAATCCTATCAAGTGCTGTCATAATAATACACAGTCCGGTCATCAGCAAAACTAATAATATATCTGCAACTTTATATTAAATAAATAATTTATATGAAGCCTATTGTACTTTGTGAAACCCCGCAGTATTTTTTTTACATTCACTACGCATCAATTTTAATATAATCTGCCCTCAAGGTAAATCTGAATTACTTTTAGTGTACTTCATCTTAATCCAATGATTTCTAAAGTGATCCAGTAGGTCAGGATGACTGAATGTATCAAACGCTCTAGCTAGGTCGACAAGGACACCATCTTGTGTCGATTTACATTCAAAAAACATAATTTCAAATCTTTCTATTATTTGTTTATTCTTAGTTTTATGATTTTCTCAATATTTTTTTTTTAATTTTGACATCCAGCTGTGGATTCGCTTATTGTATTTTAATAGTAAATGCTTTTTGTACCATTTATTGCTTTAATTAGGAAAAGGAGTTTTTAGTATGAATTTCCTTCGTATAACTGAGTTCTGTTAGCGCAACAGAATCACGAATTTAATCTGTGCATGGCCTTGTATCAAGCGAAAACAAACAATGAATATGAATAACGACGTGGATATTTCTTCGATAAACGGATTTAATGTTTAACCCGAATTTAACCAACTAGGGTTTAAAGCCGAGGTGAGTTGGATAAACGACAATGTTTTACTTTATTTAACTATGAAACTAAACATTAAGATATTGTTAAGGTAAAGAACCAAATAGCATCTTATCTGTAACTTACTGTTTAAAATTTTCAAGAAAGTAGTAGGGTGGTTAGAGAGGTAAAAAAACACATTTTTTCTAATTACGTTTAATTTTCATTGACAGTACTCTGTCTAAACAGATCTTTTATTTTTAACTTTTTATTCACAAATAAAATGAATAATATTAAGAAAAAAATCTTGTTCGTGAAATTAGTGAAGCGATTTGTTAATTTATGCCTCGTCTGGACTCGTAGCTGTGTCTTGGCAGGTTTATGATATAGGGTGTGACTTCGAATGACATAACTACTCGCTTGTGTCAGGTTAGAGTTAATATTCTTCTGCTTATAATTGTCCACTGCATTTTAAATAATAGTTTGTTTCTAAGGGCTTGTACCTGCACAGGGGCGTATTCAGTTTTTGGTTACGAATAAAGATATATGTTCTTGACAGTAGGTAAATAGGATATAGAAGATAGGACCACGGACGCTTCCTTGTGGTACTCCTGCTACCTAAAGTGTTTTAACTTAAGAGAACTTCTTCCTTTTGTTTCAATCTATAAAATCTTGTCCGAATTGCATAGTAAGTTCTATATCTTAGACCAGGCCTTCACAACATATGGCCCGTGTATGGCTAATTGATATTTTTTTTACTGTATAAGTACCATGACATTGTCAAATCAAACAATGAAATTTGTACGAAATATGAAGCTTGGTTTTTCATTTTGATAGAAATTCGGTCGCCGAAAAAATTTTTGTAACGAACTGTTATGGTCTCTCATTAGAATTTTTCTCTCTATAATTATTTTCTAGCCTCTTTGATCGCAGCTTCTTAAAGAGTTATAGCAATAGGTTCCAAAAATATGGCTAAATCGAGTTTCTCCAAGATTTAATATATTTGACTATGGTAAACATGTAATGCCTGCTATTGCAGTAGTTACTACCCTTCACCTAACTCGTATCAATCTATAACCTTCAATTTTTATGGCAATCTTGACGGTGGATAAATATTAAGCTCATTTCAACGTAGCTCCCTGGTTGGCGGAAAATAATATAATCGGAGATAAACAAAAATGTTATAACTTTTTAGTATTGTATTTTAAAACTTGTTATGCCTCTACAATTAATTACATTTACATCTTCGACAATTATTTATTTATTTATAATAGGATCTATAAATTAAATACCCCACAAAACATTAGCAAGTCTAAAGATGTATTGTTGAACACACAATACAATTTTCAGTCATCTTAGATAGAACAGAGTAAGAGCTTAGTATTTATTTACACCCTCAAACATAAAATAATAGTTAATTGTTCCTTAATCACAATACCGGAGTCTAAGATATATTAACTCAGCGCCAGTCTGTCGACTACATCTATTGATTCCTTCTCCCTTATTAAAATAACTATTTATATGTATACTGGATTGCTCAATTATTATTTGTTCCACAATAATTTCGGAATACGGTGGCGTTGAGAGGAGGAGGAAATGTCGACGTGGTTCCCGTTTTAATTCTATTATTCATAATTTATACAAAATTAATAGGTTTTCATTTTAAACTTAATTACATGTAACGAGAAAGTTGCACGAATAATTAAATTAATAATTAAATAATGTAAAACAAGTAATAAAGGTAATTTTAAAAACCGACTTCAAAATCGTGCAGATGCCCTTAAAAATTTAGTTTTTTTTATACGAAACTACCCATGAGGTATCCCCTTTCTAACAGAAAAATAATCATAGAAATCCAACATCGTGGTACAGAATTATCGTTGAAAATACATAAAAAATGTAGAGTTTGATGATTTTCTCATGGACCCCATTAATAAATCTTGATCAAATTAATATGGTACCATCCCTGAGGTACGCCTCATTTACTTATTGATATGCCTTCTCTTCTGTTTTAAAAGCCATGACTCGCAAAATAAATGTTGGTCTTTCGCTTGGTAAAATTCGGCTTTTGAGCTTCATTTTCTTTTTATACAATGAATTATGTATAATCAAAAAATATTATTTTGTCGATGTGAAATCATGTGAGATTTAAATTCGCAAATAAGGTTATAATTCGGCATATATAACAGTGACAACAAATATCTTTCTCTACAATAAATATAGTGACTTTTTAGACGTAACTAGGTAACTTAAGATTGTGCCGGAGAGGCTAATCGCGAGATTAGTGTACATCCACGTTCTCGCAACAATTAAGCAGTAAGGTCTCCGGTCACGTCGTAAATAAGTGACGGCTGGGACGTTCCACCCAGAAACTTAGCCGACTAGCGTTCAACCAAAGTCTGACCATCGACAACGTAGTGAGAGAATGGGAGCGTAGTACCACATTTCACGTCTATGTATTTTAAAATCAATCAATCTTAATCGTATCATTTCTGAGGTACGTCAATGGAGAATTATTCCAGCTTTCAACGCTGCTATGAATATTTTATACTTCACGTTTTATGAAACATTACAGGATTCATCTGAAGCGCACACGAGGCTATAAAACGTATAAAACGACGCTTGACCTAATCTAATCTGAATTCTGGATTAACAATGTTTTACTGTTTTTAACGAATAAAATCGCGGTAATCGTAACTAAACAGATAAAACATTTTATCTAAAAATCAATATGTAAAAAAATAACCGTTGAAAGTAACATTGTAATTATTAGATGATTCGTCGTTGCTAGATACACGCTGTTTCCATTTAACTCGATTAGTGAGGGGAATTTGGGGTCCCTTGGGGGAAAATGGGAAACGGTCACGTGTTTGATAAATAGATACTATTGAGTGGCTTGTTTTTGTTTAATTATTTTTTCCGGATAATAGGGGAACTCTTCTATAAAAAATATACTTAACTAATTAAAAATATCAAAAGTATATGACATAAAAAACACTTCTAACAAGTGGTTTTCTTTTAATCGTTAAGAATATTTTTCACAGTATTTTAATCTTTTCAGGGACAACTAGCTTTGGTCAAAAAACATCATCAGTATAATGTACGAGAAAATAAACAATGTTTCTCTAATAATTTGTAAATATGACAGGGTAATAGAAACAAATTTTTACCTAATCTTTATTATCAGTAGAAATATTACAGAAGATAGATGATGCAGAATTATAATACGTACACTGGTAAATATTATTCTGGAATATTGACAAAGTAATTTATTTACTCTAACAAAAAAGGTAATAACAAAGCACAAAATCCTAAAATATATTGGTTAAATCAAAAAATTCACCTTTTGTTAAGAGGAGTATTTACTTGGCTTTAGAGCAGAGCATGTAAGGGTTTTGTAGTACCCCACGTTTATTTTTTACTTATTCTGAAAGAAAAAAATATGTGCGTGTAGGTAAAGGTTAAATCTGTGCTCCTCTGTAGACACTTTTTCAAAATTTGAATCTGTCTTCTCTAAAAAATACAAATCTCGACTTTTTTTACCCTTTTTCTCAATTTAAAAAAAAACTAGAAGTTTAAAAAAGTGGTTCCAGAGGAGCATAGATTTAACCTTTACCTACACGAACATAACTTTTTTCAAAATGGTCAAAATTAAACTTTAAAAGTGGGGTACTGCGAAACCCTTACATTGCAAGATTTTTCGTCTGGACAGTGTTAGATTTTTGAGAAATTAATATTTGTGAATAAAAACAATTTATAATATATTTTTCTGATGTTTTACGAGGGATAAATAAATGTTACGTATTTGTACACCTTATTGTTTTACGTAAATCATTTCTGTATTACTAAGTATAATATGCAAGGGTTTCATAGTACACTAATTTTACGGATTATTTTATTTTTACTACAAGAAAAATTATGTCAGCACAGATAAAGGCTCAACCCGTACTCGTTTGGAGTCACTTTTTGAAAATTTAAATCGGTTTCTTTTGAAAAAAATCTAATAAGATATCTTTCTAACAAAAAGAAATACAAATAAAAATGCTAGAAGGGAACAATATATTTAATTTTTACCTACAGGAGCATTTATTTTTCTTACAATTAAAAATATACTTTAAAAGCTTTTTCGTCTAGAGGGTGACACCAACATTTATAAGTGATAAATAGTATGCAAGTGATTTGAATTTATATTGTTTCATGTCTGTACACTTTGGTATTTTTTACATACAGTAATTTGGCTCAATTATTTTAAATTAATTTTATAATTTATTTATTAAAAACATATATAAAAACATATATTCGAAATTAAAAGATATACAGTGAGATGTGAATTATAAACTTTATATTGCACGGGAGTTTTTTTTTTTTTAATGAATACATCTTCGAGTTAAGAATAATTAATTCCAGCATGTTAACAACTCTTTGATCTGTTAAAGTAATGTATATTTTTTTTCGAACTAAGTTAATCATTGTTCTTGTTTTCGCGGTGTGTGGCTTTGATATGTCGCACTCTTTGATACACGTTGCAAAAGAAGATTTTCTAAAAAGTTTGCTAATGTCTATCGATGATAGATGATATTGAATACTAACTTTTTCTATATAACTTCTTATACCCGACATTGTGAGATAAAATAAACTTATTATATGTAACTTTTTCTTTCAATTTATTTGTAGTTTTTGCCCAAAGGGATACATTTTTTTAAATGTGCAACTTACAACTCGGCTGCTGAGAGCCATAATAACAAAACGGGTTTTTATGAATTTGTTCCTGAAACTGTACCTAGGTTGTGATTATTCGAACAACAAATATAATTTTTGTTAAAATATAAATAATATGCTGAAACATTATATCTGATCGTTACATAGCTTCGTTCGCGGTAACAATCTTGAACTGATTCAGAATTAGTAATTCATACTTTGAGCGCATGCCCTAATCATTATCAATTCTGAATTTTTACCGCGCGCGCAATCCCTATTATACCTCGGTGTTTCAGGTATAGACAAGCGGTTCAAAATCAATAATAATTTTTCCGCGAACCCAGAATAGAACCAATAGTTCAGTTCTTTTTGTTCCGCGAACGCTTTTTACTACTGCGCCTGCGAAATCGTTACTATTAGTAGTAATAATTCGGTTCAGGATTCTTACTGCGATCAAAGCTATTATAAACCCAAAGTACCTTTTCATTAAAATAATTCACTCATGGCTACCCCAAGTTTGAATATTATAAATCCGCTTGAATATAAAAAACAACAGGTATAAAATGTCAAGAGACCGTTTATTGTCCGTTTACATTGACCTCCTGTATTTGTTACGTTGGCTTTTTGAATCGAGGATATCGGTGGTACAGGAACGAATTATTGTAAAATACGTATTAGTTTGTGCTATTGTGGAATATTTTTTGGTTCCTTTGTCTCAACTTTGCGCGTTTAGAGTTTAAAATATGTATCCCTCGTATCTAGATGCAATCGATAAAATTATGAATAATTGCTGATTTTGTTTAGTCTCTGAAGTAATTTTGTAGTATTTAGGCTCCACCCTTAAGTTGTAATTTTTATACCTACTAAACTACCTACCGTTGTCCCGCAGGTCTTTCAGTTTGTAATGTAAATGTTCCTCTTAAATCTTCATAAAATAATATCTACCGATTCTAAGTGAATTCCCTTTCGACTATACCATCTTGAGACACACTTGTAGAAGAAAATGACTAAAATCTGGTACTTACTTGGCTCTCAAAGCTAATTGCCTGTCGTTAGGACAAACGAACCTGTTGATTCTCTCTCCTGTTCCGAAATCGACCATTGTATAGGAATCGAGGAATTTTCTAATAAAGGTGTAGGGTAGGTAGCTACTGTGCTGCCAGGTGTGGATTTAGGATTTTGGCACACGATTTACCACGAACCTCACATATGTCAATTCTGCAAACAAATAAAAAATTACAAATATCCACAATTAATCTTCTCAGTGCTTGTGATAAAAATTTGTTTCTTTTTTTAATACATTAGAATGGTCCAATGTTTATTGGAAATAAATAACCATAAAACATTCAAATTAACAAAAATGCAGATATTTGTTTAAAAAGTATTTTTTTATTGCCTTGGCAGCAAACAAGCAAAAAATTAAATGATAATTTATTTGAATCCAATAATGTTCAGAAAATAGATTAAACAAATTTAAGCGGAGTTAAATTCAACGCGATTTTATAAGTTAAATAATATAATTAGCAGATACTAAATAATTTTATTAAATCAAATGACCCTTGCAAAATGCAACCGACACAAGCGTCAAAGGGCTAAAAATCAGTCATGTATTTTACGCGTTACAAAAATATTTAATTCAACTGATATAGCCGGAACTACTTCTTTTACTTGTGAATCTGACGCATGCGTATGTTTGTGGAAGAGTCATTGTAAGCTCGAATAATTCATGGAAAAACTCGGGGACAAACTTATTAAGATGGAAAAGAGAATGGAAACGTAAAGATAGAGGAGAAATGAGAGAAACGAGAAGAAGAAAATCATTTAAAAAAAGAATTAATGTTGCAAAACAAGAAAAGTTAGCTCAAAAAAAGTTAAGAAGAAACAACCTAATCATATATGGAAAGGAAGAAACAAGAATTAAAACTAGTGATGCCGCAAGAAGAGAAATTCTCGTCTTTCGTCTCTTTCCTTTTTTTCTCGTCTCGACGAGACGAGAGAGATATTTTCTCTCGAAAAGAAATTCAAGAGATTTCTCGTTTTTCTCGAGCTTTCTCGAACAATTTACTTTTTACTTCTTTGAAATTTTCAATTGCTTATCATGACTTAAAATTTAAATATATTAGATTAGATTAAAAAGTTAACTATAACACACGTATTCTCTATATATTAAATAATGACAAATAATACGTGTGTTATTGGGAATTTATAAATAATGATTTATAAGAAAAATAATTTTCCATGTCATTTATTTAAAATTAATTTTAAATGGAAACTCTAAGAAGTTTTTTGTCGACTTAAAATTGAAATTTCAAACGAAAAAGGTTATATTCATCGTCACTGATTAGTTAAAAATAATCACAGGAAAACACATAATTAAAATAGTTCTTGGGATAATTTTCAGAATTAACGCTACTTTAAATCGTATAATCGATACAACTGCAATTAAAAAGTGCTATTTGTTGCGGCAAATTGTAAATTGGTAAATAGGGCGGTGCGCAAGGAGAGTTAACACTACACGATGGCCATCACGATTTGATGCCATCAAAGCCCTAAGGCGCAGTTATGCATAAATAAAAAGATGTTTGGAATAAATATCTCAAAATAAAGAAAAAAATGTGTTGTGAGAGTTGAAGTTGTTTGCCGAGAAATTAGAGCTTCTTGAAAATGGCATACTTCTAACATTTTGGTTGGATATTTTACACCTAACAAATGAAGTAAATAAGATTCTTCAACAAGAGAATATGGATAAGTACTACATCTTACCTTTTAAATTCATTGACTCAATACTTTCAATAACTAAGAAACGAATTTGAAGCTAAAGGACTAGCTTTAAAAACCAACGAAAAATACACAGAACGACGAAGCACTAAAATAGACATTAGAAGAACCAAATACAGAAGTTATTTTGTATCCTAGAGAAGAATAAGATAACAAATTTATCTTTGAATTCTTGACAATCTTCAAACATAAATTATACGAAACATTTTTAGCCCAGTTCGAATTTTTGTTTAATTTAAAAAAATTAAGTGACGAAGCTATAGTATTAAATGCATAAAAATTAAAAGAGACATATTTTTCTGAAGAATGCATTCACTTAAATGAACTAAGGGATGAAATTAAAGTTGAATCTCCCCAAGATTTAGAGGAACCAACATATTCATTCCCAATGTAAATGTATGCCTTCGATTTTTCTATAATTTCCACGATAAAATGGGTGAAAATTTATCTTCGTCATTGAATTAATTGCGCAAGAAAAGCTAAATTTGTAAGCCATATTATTAATAAATTCAGATATTTTAAAAACCTTATACACTAACCAGATAATACAAACTTTTTCAAATTTAAAAGCAAGGAAAAGTGAGTCTTGTAAAACTAAATATTTTAATACTTACATTCTAACATGTTTGATTATGTTAATGCTAATTTCCAATTTAATATCAGGGCGGTTTCAGAGAGGCTTTGGGGGCCATGTGTATTAAAGGATTTTTTGTTTAATGACTTTGGTGGTATCTACCAAATTAGAAGGACTCATTTTGTGATTGATTGATTTTATTAATGTGTGTTCTGAGTAGGCTTTGTTATTATTTTTAAAACTGAGAAAGTTGAAACAAAAATAGACGCAGAAATAGGCTACAATCACAAATTAAATTTACTAAACCTCTAAAGAAAAGAAAACAGTGTGGAAAAATAGTTGCAAACAAAATTATACAGCAGTATAAAAATGAAATAACAGGAAGAACTTTAATGGAAGGAAGCGTAAAATTTGCATAAACGTAAAGTTGAAAAGATTTCGGAAAAGAGAATAAAAACCCTGAAAGGTCATAAAAAGAAATAAATAAAATCAATAAAAATAAACAGAGAATGATTACACAGATAAATTTAACGCAACATATCCCTAGGAAAATTTAAACAGAGAAGACGGACTAGAACATCGAGGATAAATAAAGAGAGAAGAAATAAAAATCAAAATTGGAAAGGCATAAGAGGAAGATGACATAGATCTGGAAATGGTTGGAAGAAAAAGGAAAGAAGGGAGATGGGCTATATCTATAAATTATTTTTAAAGGAATATTTTAAAGGAATCCGTTTATACAGGGTGTCTCATTAAGAATGGAACACAGAACAACTGAAGATTCTCTGATTAAAACTAAGTCGATTAAACGATATATGCTGAAATAAAATATTACTAGATTCCAAAATAAAAATTGAAAATTTAAAAATTAATAATGGGTATAATTTTTATTTCACAGTACAATTTTACTAAATTCGGTAAACATTTTTGGTGTAATAAGACACACCTATCTGTAAAACAATCAGTAAAATAAACTTGAATAGATAAGTAACACATTCTTCCCTCTAAATTTTACCCCACTCTCCAAAAACTACGTAGGTCAATATTTTTGAATTTTTGATGTTTTTTTGAATAAATCATGTACTCTTTTTGGAAAAGTATAAAAATATCCAAAATTACAAAATTAAAAAATAAGGTAAAATGAAGAATATCCCACAATAAGAGATTTATTTAAAAAATATATCCATGTCGTACGCCACTGGCAAAGTTTATTTAACTGATTGTTTGCTGATAGGTGTATCTTATAACACCAAAAATGATTACCAAATTTCGAAATAAAAAAATTATAGTCGTTAATAATTTTTGAATTTTCTACAATTTCGGAAACGAGTAATATTTTATTTAAGCATCGTATTATTTTTAATCAGAGAATCTTCAGTTATGTGTGTTCCATTCTTAATGATCGTTAGAAGTAAGTTACTGGATAGAAATGTTTTCAATATTTTAACAGCTAGTGGAATATTCTGAAAGAATGGACACAGTATACTTACTCTTTATATACTCTTTATAAAACGAATTCCCTATTCCCTTTTTTGGCATTTTTTTTTTAATAAAACGATCATTGATTGTAAAAATTTTAATCTCGGAGGACTATGGCTCCCTCCCTGGAGTTGCCCTTGATACCGACAGATGATGAAAAAATACAGTAAAACTGGCCGTGGAAAACGGTTTGATATTATATTTTTAAGTTTTTAAGACTGTCAAAAAAATCCAAGTATCTCATCTACATTTCACCGAAATTATTTTAGACATTCTAAAATATATCTTAAATAGATTTTATGATAATATCGTTAATTTTAGTTTAATTTTAATTATTAAATAGTAAATAGTGTGGGTGCATTGCACCGCTTGGGCTGCCGCCCGCTCTTCGTCTCCCTTAGTTGCTATATACTGCGACAAAATATTGGAGAAGGTGAGTCATATGCATGATCAACACTGTTGTCTATGAATGAAAATTCCGACAGAGTTAGCATAGGCGGCGTATCAAATACCAAATAATTATTTATTATTTATTTGTTAGTAAACTTTATAAAATTTGTTTGTGAGCATCTTTATTTAAACAAAGATGATGCGTTAAATATACGTTTTTGATAGTTTTCAAGAAATGAATATATTTATTCCCTATTGACTTCGTTATCTGTGTTTAATGGTTTAAAAATGTGTTTCAAGTAAATAAACGACAGACGGGTTACAGATTGAATATTGTCAGCACAGGCACAAAGACAGTTGAAAACTAACTTTCGACGAAGTTAGATTTGTATCGCTTTAACTATTTATTTTATATTTTATAAACACTTTTTTGTATAAGTGCTCTATTCTGATATACGAGTATTTAATTTGCCAATATAGTATTTCTGCGCCACTGGAAGAGTGCATTTTAATATGATAATGATACCTTTTGCAGTTTTAAGGTGCACTTTCTTCAATATTTTGTTCTAGTATAATACCCCATTTAATTTTCCAATAGTGTTTCTACGCCACTGGCATAATATTTACATATTTTAACAATAAACAAAACAAAATTATAAACATAAATGATTATTACTACAAAAATAGATTACCAACCTACTTTCATATAATATTATTTACTATTACCGTATTTAATTTGCCAATAGTTTTTATACGCCACTGGCGTAATTCATTTTGGCAATAAACATGCATTTATGACTAGTTGGTACGTGATACCGATAACTTCTGCAGTTTTAAGCGCGTGATTCCATTCATTATGCTCTGGTATAGTATTATTGTTG